AAACCATAGATATTGCCCTAGGCAAGGTACAGAATAAACAACAGAGATGGCTCTGGACCTTGTGAACCTAAATGACTGGAAAAGATTAAGGAAATTGGGCTATTTTTCAAGTGGCTTAACAAAAGTTTTGGAAATTGTGAAGTAGATTAATCCATATATATCAAAGTTTAAAAGTTAGGGATATCATTTTACAATGAGGAAATTTTAAGTAAATAAAAACATAGGCAGAACTATTTCCATAAATATAATAATAGTCTTTGCATTTGATGTTAGCACTTCATCACGTCTTCGAGACGTCTCAAAGCGCTTCACAGAATAAACTGTAAAGTGAATTGATTGTATATTTTGTGGGCGAAACGCGGTAATTGACTGAAATGTACAAGGGTAAACTGAAAGAAAGCCATTAGAGCAATGATGATAAAGGATTCGAGGGATAACCGGATGCACTGCTGGAGAATGAAGGGACAGGGGGAGTTTTCTGGGAGATGTTTGTGGCTGTCTGTGGTAGGCCGGCAAGCAACTCGGAAACTCCATCACCCATCCACTAATCACCACCCACACCCAGTTGATAAACCTGGCTCCATCCATCACTGCCTTTGATACTGTCAATTACTCCACCCTGCTCCGGCATCTCTATTCCCTCTAGTCCCCGAATCGACTCCGACACCGTGCTTTCCTGATCCCACCCCGAGCTGTCTCCACCCACATCTCCATTCTCTCTCATCTAATGACCCGATTTACACGAAGTATTTACACTGGCACTTGCTGAAATTTGCCCTTGAAAATATTGCAAGGCTACAAGACGCTAAAAGTGAAATGATTTTTAGATCACCGATTCGGTTGATCGATCTGCATCAGAAAAATCTTATTCAAATGAAGTCTGATTTCAGACAAACATTAGATCTTATCACAAATAATAATAATAATTCTAATTTGGTCACTCAATCCACGGCTGTTTGTGGGACACTGCTGTGCACAATTGGCTGCCACATTTCGCCCACAAAATATACAATTCACGTTACAGCGTGAAGGGCTTTGAGATGTGATAAGGCACGATATGAAATGCAAGGATTATTATTATTATTATTTATAGAGATCATCCAACTCCCTTCCATCCATTACATCCTGCTAGAATCATTTCTCAGCTTTCTTATTTGTAATATGTGAAGGATATCCCAGGGGAGACCTTTCTGACATTCATTATTCAATACCCTAAAAGTTATGGACAGACTGATATGTTAATATGTTTAACCGAGACACAAACTTTGCATTAGTGGACAGAGACTCAAGATAAGTGGGAAGGTGAACAGACAGAATAGGCTCAATTATCTTCTACAAATAATAGTGAATACAGTGTCTATCCTGCACAACCCAGAGAGGTGAGAGGCAGAGTGTGATGGCAAGTTTAAATGGGAATTAAGCTAACCGAGAAATGTATTTCCCAACTGATTCATACTGCAGTGATATTGGATTAAGCTTCACCAAATGTTATGTGTATATATATCATCATTTAGTCCAGTAGCTCAGTGGTTAGAGCACTTGGCTCGCAAGCAAGAGGACATGGGTTTGATTCCTGGGCAGACGAAATGTTAGGCAAGTTTCCTTACTCCACATGTCTCTATTTACATAGCAGTAAGTAGGAACCCGGCTGTTAGTCGATTGGCGGATCGCTCTTCCGGGGGTAATAATTCCTTCCAAAAAATATATGAATAACAAATTGGTCACTTCAATCCACGACTGTTTGCGGGACTGTGTGCTGTGTGCAATTGGCTGCCGCGTTTTGCCCACAAAAATATGGTTAATTCTCTTTACAGTATTGTCCTGTGAAGCACTTTGAGACGTCTCAAAGACGTGATAAGGTGTTATATCAATGCATTGTTATTATTATCATCATGGTATAAACTAACTCTAAAAAAGATAATCACACAGTAGATTAATTTAGATCGATGAAGCCAGAATTTATTCTTTCAAAATGGTTCAAAAGGAAATACCATTATCAGAAATTAATTTTCTTTCATAATGTTTTTCTTTTTTTCCAAGTTGACGGACTGTTCTTGTTGATTTTGCTAAATGCTACTTAAAATGTAGAAAAAGAATATTTAAATTTTCAAACAAGAGCATTATTTGAAAGCAATAGCCTTAAACGTAATAATAATAATAATAATATGTAATACGCAAACTTCCTTTTTGTGCTTTCAGATGAAAAATATCAGCGCTGAGGAACTCAATATGATTCTATCCAGGGCATAAATAGTATGGCCGGATGCAGAATAAAGCTCCCTTAATCCAGACCTCAGTAAAGCTCACTCTACTGTACTGGTGTGACATTTCCACTTGTCACTCTGAACCAATTAATGTTGAATTATGTGCAGTTGAATGCTGTGGCCTGAGAATCTGAAGTGTGGCTACTCAAACCAATTTTACTTATGATCCTTGCAGTTTGCAGTGTATTCTTTCTCCTGACGCGGACTGACTTATGATGGGGAATGCTCAGGGTTTCAGTCGTGTGAGCCCAGTTACTAGGGTTGGAGTTAAAGGGGAATCACAGCTAGAAATTAAGAGCGCCTGTAACTTTTGATTAAGTTCATGTTCTTTCACGTTAACTCCATAAGGTCCAAGTTTATCCCAAAAAGCTCCCAAATCTAGAACGAGTCTTTCGCCAACTCTCTCTCTCTCTCTCTTAAATTATCGGGAAACCGGTTTGCAGAGTTGGACTGTACTGTAAGAGGCAAAAGAATTAACATCAATGAAAATGCAGTCATGAATCTGTCTCTGGCGCTGGTTCAGCATTAACTGTGCGTGTTGAATTTTGCTCCCCTGTAGAGTTGTAGACTCGGTAATGATGCCAAATCAATTCACCCTCCCTTCCCCCTCCCCAAGATGTCTTCACTCTGCCTGAACCGGTCAGAAGAAAAACGAAACCGAACTGCTTGCACGGTTAAAGGTCATCTTAGTTCTTGTGGCCATCGCTGAATTTTTAATTTTTAATTTTTTAAATTGAAAAAAAAAGGGAAGTCCTGGCGTTGAATTTTTTTCTCCTGGAATTACTAAGGAAGCAGCGCTCCTACTGAGTCCCCTTCAAGGCCATCGTTTTAAATGCTGGTGGCTGAGCAGATGGCAGTTAATGTGTTCGCTTCCCCCCCCTCCACCCCCTGCCCCCCCCACCAATCTGCAGCCTGACTCTGTTTCCCAGGCAGGGCCACTACAGTGACAGATGTGATAATGCTGCTATTGTGTCCATCACTCCAGTGTCTTGGAGATTGGTGGCACCGTCTCCAACAGCGAATCAATTAAATGTTTCTGGGGGGGGGGGGGGTGGTGGGGGGAAAAAAATGAAAGCAGCTCCTGCAATTCAACTGTTCGCAAACTGCTGCCCAAGTCCTCCTTCCCCGCAGGTACCTCTCAGGGTGGTCACTTCTCGGGTTGGATTGGATTGGAAAACGTGCAAAACGTTCTTCGAGATTGAAGTAAAATGATAAAAGCGGATCACATGAGCAGCGCATTCCCTGCCGTGCTATTTTGGCTCAGAGTAAAGACTCTCGCGGAGCGCGGCGTGGAGGGGATGATGGCCGGCTCCCTCCCGTGTTCGGCACATTGTAAAAAATGGTGGATTAAAGACGGTGATTCACGAAACTCAGAAGAACTGGGTGGAGTTTGAATGCGTCGGATGCATTAGCATTAACGAAACGCAGTTCAGCTCAGCAACGTGGGGTTATGGTGAGAACAGGATTCCAATGTAAGGAAATGTAAACCGGCAGAGGAGCATTCAGCACTTAGTGTTGGCAAAAATAATAATAATAATAATAATAATAATCCTGGCATTTGATACGGCGCCTTATCGCGTCTTCGAGACGTCTCAAAGCGCTTCACGGGATACACTGTAAAGTGAATTGACTCGATGTTTTGTGGGCGAAACGCGGCGGCCGATTACGGCCGGAAAAGCAATCCGCCAGTTGACCAAAGCGCGTGACCGGTGGAGTGAGGGAACTTGCCCGACATTTTGCCCTGACCCGGCCACGCCCGGGAATCGAACCCAGATCCTCTCGCTCGCGAGGCGAGGGCTCTCACCCCTGAGCTGCAGCACTGCACGTGATGAGGATCGTCCCTTTGAGTGCACACAGGTGATGGAAGTGCACTTATGTGTGGAGTAGATTGTGTGAGTGGACACATGTGATGGGAGTGGACACGTGCGATGGGAGTGGACACACGTGATGGGATTGGACACGTGCGATGGGAGTGGACACGTGCGATGGGAGTGGACACGTGTGATGGGAGTGGACACGTGTGATGGGAGTGGACACGTGTGATGGGAGTGGACACGTGTGATGGGAGTGGACACGCGCGATGGGAGTGGACATGCGTGGCGGGAGTGGACACATGCGATGGGAGTGGACACATGATGGGAGTGGACATGAGCGATGGGAGTGGACACACATGATGGGAGTGGACACATGTGATGGGAGTGGACACACGTGATGGGAGTGGACACATGTGATGGGAGTGGACACATGTGATGGGAGTGGACACGTGATGGGAGTGGACACATGTGATGGGAGTGGACACACGTGCGATGGGAGTGGACACACGTGTGATGGGAGTGGACACACGTGTGATGGGAGTGGACACACGTGTGATGGGAGTGGACACACGTGTGATGGGAGTGGACACACGTGTGATGGGAGTGGACACACGTGTGATGGGAGTGGACACGTGCGATGGGAGTGGACACATGCGATGGGAGTGGACACGCGTGCCATGGCCTGGTGACCCCCCCCACCCCCCCACCCCCGGGGGCCGCTGTGCCAATGCCCCACTTGGAGTTGCTGTCGCAGTTGTTGTGGTTGTCCTCCCTCAGCACCAGCGCCCCCCAATGGCGAGTCAGAGAGAGGCAGGCGAGGGGAGGGGGGGCTGACGTCACATCCGGGCGCGGCGGCGGCAGGGGCGGGGGCACGTGATTTCCGCTTCCTCCCCCCTCCCCCCCCCCTCCCCCCCTCTCTCTCCCCGTGGCCCCGTCACAGCCCGAGCTGTAGGCCCCGAGTCCCCGCCGCCGCCGCCATGACGGAACAGATGACCCTCCGCGGGACCCTCAAGGGCCACAATGGTTGGGTCACGCAGATCGCCACCACTCCGCAGTTCCCCGACATGATCCTCTCCGCCTCCCGAGGTACCGTGTGTGGGGGGGCGGGGGCGGGGAGGGGAGGGGGGGGGAGAGGCTCCGGTGGTCCTCCCGCCTCGTCCGCGGTGGGCAAAGCTGTACAGACTTCTCCCTCTCCTCCTCCTCTCAACCTCCTCTCTCTCCCTCTCCTCTCTCCTCTTCTCCCCCTCTTCCTCCTCTCTCCTCTTCTCCCCTCTCCTCTCCATCTCTCTTCCTCTCCTCCTCTCCCTCTCCCCCTCCCCCTCCCCTCTCCCCCCCCCCTCTCCCTCTCCCCTCTCCCTCTCCCCCCTCCCCTCTCCCTCTCCCCTCTCCCTCCCCTCCCCCTCCCCCCCCCCCCCCTCTCCACCCCCTCTCCTCTCCCCTCCCCTCTCCCCACCACCTCTCCTCTCCCCTCTCCTCTCCCCCTCCCCTCTCCCTCTCCCCTCCCTCTCCCTCTCCCCCCCCTCTCCCCTCCCCTCTCCCCCCCCTCTCCTCCCCTCCCCTCTCCCCCCCCTCCCCTCTCCTCTCCCCTCCCCTCTCCCTCTCCCCCTCTCCTCTCCCCTCCCCTCTCCCCCTGGCTCAGGGCTGTTAGATGCTTTACTTGCTGACACAGTGATGTCTTGCTCTGATCACCTGTGCTCCCAACCCTCAGTCGCTCTGCCAGACAAGACAAGGCATTGTTTTCGCCCACAAAATCCACGGTCACTACACTTTACAGTGTGTCCTGTGAAGCGCTTTGAGACCGTCTTGAAGACGTGATAAAGGCGCTGTATGAAATGCAAAGGTTATTGTTGTTGTTATAAGCCTCCAGACAAACTGCTGTAAAGGAACAACAAAGGTGTAAGTGAAGAGCAGTCAAACTGTACACCGGAAAGGGGGCGACATTGCAGCTTTGACGCCTGACCTGATGTTTGTGTCGTGTTTCTTTCCAACTAATATTTTTAAGACCAATTTTAAGGATGTCCCGTGTTCAGGCGATTGAGTAGAATTTCCGTCGCCTCCCTTCTTGCATCAGTGTGTGAACTTGCCAGCTTTGGACAAATCACCAGCTATTTTAATTGCTGAGGAAGTATTTGGACCTTTCTTTAACGTGCAGCCATCGACTATAGCATTGCATAAACGTTACTTGGTGGTTGGATTGAGTTGAGTTACTTTTTTTTCAATGCATTTTATTAAGAGGCAAGGAAACTGATCTGCGGATTTACTGCTTCAAGTCCGCCCAGATTTCCCTTGTTTTAAAAGCATTGTTTTGTTTTCTTTGTAGACAAAACCATCATCATGTGGAAGTTAACCCGGGACGAGACAAACTATGGTATCCCCCAGCGTGCCCTCAGCGGCCACTCTCACTTTGTTAGTGATGTTGTCATCTCCTCCGATGGTCAGTTCGCCCTCTCTGGCTCTTGGGATGGAACCTTACGACTTTGGGATTTGACAACGTAAGGACATAGATAATTCACTCTTTTAGAGACATCGGATTTGCAATTGCAGTGAAACTCGCATAAATCTGCTCTGTAAAAAAAAATTGTGAATCTTCCCAAGTCCCTTTCCAGAGCTTATATTCTCTGCAAGTTTAACATAACTCATACTTTGCGTATTAAATGTATGGTCCCAACTGATACGACTTGTGTGAGATTTACTGTAGTAAGTGCTGTAATGGCACCGTGACATTTTCCAAGCAGCACAGCCGGAATACTGTTCCGTGAGTGTCGATTGCAGGATCTTTTCAAATGTCAAAATAAATTGCATTTGTTCTGTTTAACGAATTGGAGGAGTATGCCTTCCCATAACTTGCGTGTTACAACAAAACCTTTTATTTTTAATCCTCCAGAGGTTGCACAACCCGCCGTTTTGTAGGCCACACCAAGGATGTTCTGAGTGTTGCCTTCTCAGCTGACAATCGGCAAATTGTGTCTGGTTCCCGGGATAAGACCATAAAATTGTGGAACACCCTGGGAGTTTGCAAGTACACAATCCAGGTAACTTTTCTGAGCCTGTTTATTAATAATAATAATCCTTGCATGTGATATAGCTCCTTATCATGTCGTTGAGACGTCTCAAAATATTTTATAAATTTTGTGGGTGAATTACAACAGGCAATTGCATACAGCAGTGTACCACAAACAGCCGTGGATTGAGTGACCATATTGTTATTATTATTTTTAAAATAAAATTATATTCCTTGCTTTTCTACCAATTAAAGTTCTATGAAAATGTGGTTTACTTTAGGAATCGTCAAAGCTTTGGAAACCAGTGTGGGGGTGGCGGGTTGGGGGGGGCTTGAGATTGACTGACTGAGATAAATGTGTTGCAAAACATAATCGAAAACTGCTGAGTAGTCTTTGGGTGATGTTGATATTCATAGTTAGGGAGAAATCCATGCACTGTTTATTTCTTGCTTTTGCCAGGGGGAGTAATGTGAGCAGCACATTATACATTTGTACAGATGTGGATGTGTGTTTTCATCTCACTAACGTCTGTCTATCTGTTTTTATGTAGGATGAATGTCACGCTGAATGGGTCTCGTGTGTTCGCTTTTCACCGAACAGCAGCAACCCCATCATCGTGTCCTGTGGCTGGGATAAGCTCGTCAAGGTAAGAGAGATGAATTCTGGCGTGTTCGTTCAATTACCTTTTGAAATCGGAGTGAATTTTTGTAGACCTATATTCTTAGGTGAATGTCTAAATGAAATGAATAAGATGAGAAAAAAATGAACAGGTGGAGAGGCCTTGTGTTAAATGTTTAACAAATCCGCGGAAAGACTATTTCAGTGAGCAAGTAGTAAATGTATGGAGCAGATCACGGAAGCAGAAAATGTTGTCTGTTTCAAGAAAAAAATGAGATAGATTTCTGCTAGAAAATAATACCTGGGGGATACAGTATATAGTTTGGGACATGACATGTCAAGCGACTGCCAGGATGGTGGAAGGTGAACTAAATCGAGCTTGGTCTTCTTCTGCCAGCAAATTCTTATGTTGTTAACGTTATTCTTACCGTTTGTAGGTCTGGAACCTGGCCAACTGCAAGCTGAAAACCAATCACATTGGGCACACTGGCTATCTCAACACTGTAACCGTTTCCCCTGATGGATCCCTGTGTGCTTCTGGAGGCAAGGTAGGTGCTGTGACTGTGGTGTTAATGACCTGTAATGTACAAAAGGTCCACAGATAAAGGTTCTCTTGCTCTAGTTGGATGCTTTATGAACGAATAGTGTCCCTATATTACAATTTGCATACAAATGACACTTACACCGTGCCTTTCACTTCGGGAGGACGTCCCAAGTCGCTAGACAGTCAGGATTTGGACCCAAGCTGGGTTGGGATCAGGAGGGGTAGAGGAGAGGAGGGTGGGGCTGGGAGGCTGCTGAGTGGAGGCAGTGGACAGGTTGATATGACGTTAGCAGGTCACAGGTAGGAAGGAGCAAGGCTGTGTATATATGCAATATGTTAGGCTTGAAAGGTGAAGCCATATTAATGTAATATTTTGTATTGCATACGGAATATTATATAACACTAGGAATTGCCTGTTTAAAGTGCTTTTAGAGCTGCTCCTAACTGAAATGCGCAATACAAAATAAATTGTATTTCTCTCCTAGAAAAGAAGGTGTCTTGGCTACATTTACCCAGGTGAGCGCAATCGGCTGTTGGGTTTTATCCACAAACTATACAGTCAATTCACTTCACAGTATATTGTGTGAAACGCTTTGAGACATCTCAAAGACGTAATAAGGCGCCATATCAAATGCAAGGATTAGGAGGCTACTAATTATTATGATTTAAATTTTTGGAGCAGAAAATAAATGAAACTTTCTCAACAAAATCTGCCCCTTTTCTTGTGCAGGATGGTCAGGCCATGCTCTGGGATCTAAACGAGGGCAAACATCTCTACACATTGGACGGTGGAGACATCATCAACGCCTTGTGCTTCAGCCCCAACAGATATTGGCTCTGTGCAGCTACTGGGCCTAGTATCAAGATCTGGGTAGGTACCTTTGCTTGGAAGGACACTCAAATGTTAAGTCTCAATAATTCTTTATCAAGTTATTAAGTACCAATATGACAGACATCCCCATATCACTGAAGCCAATTCAACTGCACTCCAATCTCTTTTTAGGCTGAGATTTTTGAAACTCAGCAAAGACCGAAAATGCTTTCAAAAGTACATAAGAAATGCAAGACGATAAAAGACCAAGGTCCATCTAATTCTCCTTCCACCTTCCTCGCGGTCACATGAAAAGTGAAGGTTCATACTGTACAGAAAAAGGCAATCACACTTGCCTTTGGGTCACTGATGAGTTTCACTGCAGTAAAGTAAAATAGGAGGGGCATGTACTCCCTCATAGGTGGGGAGTGGGTGTGAGTGGGATCTGTCATGGGGGAAAATCGTCAAATCGTTGTTTGACTTCTTGTTTGACATGTCCTAACACTAATAAAACAATGTGGAATGCACAGGCTAAATGGCCAAATTTAGTTCATATCCCACTGAAGATTTTACAGGTTTATGTTCAAGTCATTACTGGAATCTGTTCAGTTTTGATCCCTGCAACCTAAAGAGGAAAGAGTAACAAGGCTGCTCCCTGCTGTTAGAGGGATGAAATGTGAAGAACAATTAAATAAACTCGGGCTCTTTGGCTTTGATGAGAGTTGTCTTAAAAGGGACCTTCTAGAGGTACGGTATATATGATGCTTATTGGCATAGAGGAAGCAAACCCAGAATAATTTGTGGGATAATTTCAGATACATCAAGGCAGAAGGACGAGAGGGATCTAGTTCAGTATTGTGAAGTTTAGACAAAAGTGAGAAATTATTTCTTTATACCGAGGATGATGGACATCTGCAGCGAGTTACCAGGAAGAGTGGTTGAAGGCAAGACACTGGACTCGTTTTAGGAAACAGCTTGACGCTGTAATGGAAAGCTAGGTAGGTTTGGGTATTCTGGGGAGATTAGATCCAATGAGACAAAGAAACAGAATATCCTTTATAATCCCAGTATCTTGCTGCCCAAACCAGCAATGGTCAGAAGGAAGTGGCTACTCTTATCTTTTTTGATGAATATCATTTGGCATCTCCTCTCTTTTTGCCAACTCAGTGTTCAGGGTATGGTTGTAGGTTGAAGACCAAACTTGGGGAATAGAAAGTTCTCACATCAGTCACTTAACTTCACCCTCATGTCTTTTGAGGTTCTCCATAACATAGCCAGAAATTGACGGTCAACCAAACTGTTTTTCTTGCCAACGAGACTTGGGAATGTTACTTACACTCCCTCAATTGTTAAATGTTTGGCAAAATGCCATGAATTAAGCAGGGTTTCGCTCTGGCAAATCAAACGTTTACTTTGATTTCTGCTAATCCAGCGAGATTTGAGAAATTCTGTCGTTCCATTTTTTAAAAACAATGCAACTGTGCTCGGAAAACGTTTTCACTCTTTACCTGAAACATTAAAATTCTCTTAAAGCCACAGAATTCTGTCCTGTTGAAGAAGGTGCACGGTGTGACTCAAGTTGGAAATTAATAATAATAATAATCCTTGCATTTGATGTCGCGCCTTCTCACGTCTTCTAGACGTCTCAAAGCGCTTCACAGGACACACTGTAAAGGGAATTGACTGAAGATTTTGTGGACAAAAAGGTAAGAGTTAACCTGAGGGTGGATTGTTTTTACAGGATCTTGAAGGGAAAATCATCGTGGATGAGCTGCGGCAAGAGGTGATCAGCGCGAGCAGCCGAGCTGAACCCCCACAGTGTACATCCCTGGCCTGGTCAGCCGATGGGCAGGTACGGACTCTCCTCTTCCCTTCGAGCACAGCTCCTAATCGCTCACAGTTCACCAATATCCCAATGATTATACTGATTCACATAATCATCTGACCCTTATGGGCATGATTACAAGTCCTGCAAATATGATGGGATAGTGGATTGTAATTGACTTGCTGTGTGTGTCTTTATGTTTGTATACGCATGGCCATTAATGCTGTGTACTCACTGTCCCTCTGCCTCACCCCCTCCCTTACCTCCAAGATCCGTCTCAAGACCTTCCTCTTCGACCGCACCTTCAGGCACCCTACTACCCCTACCCTCTACCCTCCACCCTCCTGATCCCAACCCCCAGCTTGGGTGCAAACCCTTAATTGTCCATCCAGCACCATCCAGGGATGTCCTTCCCACATGAAAGGCGTTGTGTAAATGTAGTTTGTCGTTCTTTTCCAGACATTATTCGCTGGCTACACAGACAACCTCATCAGAGTGTGGCAGGTCACGATCGGATTCAGATGAAGTGTTTCTTGCCGTTTTTCCAGAAAAAGTTAGCTATTTGGATCGGCAAGAGGATAAAGAGAATATGCTCATTCGAGTCTGAAATAAAACCTTGCTGTTTTCAACTTAGTCTGTGTGGAAATACCTTTTGTATTTATAACGAAAGGTGCTGAATAAATGATTTTCTACTTTTATGGTATAGTACAGTCTTGTATAAAGTAACCAAAAGTTGTCGTACAATTTAAAAATGATGTCTCATCTGCTTTTTTTTTACGGGGAGAGTGGGAGGGGGGGGAGGAAGAAACCAGCTGGCTCTGTGCACAGTGAAGTTGTATCCTACGGGTCGGTCTCCAAAGTTCCTTACACAATAAGGTTTGACCCAGTCCAGTGAGGTTACAGTGTTGTTGCTTTAATTAAAAAAAATTGTGATATGTTCGAGTCCATTGGTCCCTTCCCCACTCCCATTTGAATAGCTCTTTGAATTTCATAAATATGGAGTTCAAAAGGCATCCAGCAATTACACGTATGAAACCTCTCCACCGGAAGCCTGTAAATTGGTAAGTGGAATGTAGAGTGGTAGAAGTACAGAACTCTCCCCCAAAAGGTCGTGGATGTTGGATCCATCCACACCTTGAAGAAAGAGATTGACCGATGTTTGGCCGGTCGGGTATTAAGGGATACGGGGAGAAAGCGGGAAATTAGATTTGAAATTCTAGTAAAGATGAAGATCAAGCCATGATCTAATTAAATGGCGGAACAGGCTCGACGGGCTGAATGGCCTCCTCCTGTTCTACATTCCCATGAATGAAACTGCAGACACACACACACACACACCGCAGATAAACAAGTTAACAGGACAGGAAATCAGCCAGTGATCGATTCTTTTGCTAACCACCTACTTGCTGAAATCATTAAAACTGCTGCTAATCATATTTTCATTTACTTAATCCTTTACACTCAGAGACAAATATATATATAATAAATAGTCTCTAGTATTTATAGATTGATTAAATGATAATTGGACAAAGTTCAATGGTTGAGATTGTTGATATTTTTGCTTCCTTAATAATAATCCTTGCATTTGATGTTAGTGCCTCAAAGCTCTTTACGAGATTGTCATTTGGGGAATTGTTGGTCAGGACAATGGGAGGATCTCCCTTTTACCGATAGTTCCCCTGTCTCTCCTCGCAGCTGATATTCTTTAATCTCCCATCAAAGAACAACCAAACACACACACACACACACTATTCTGCAGTCGGCTCATTGTGAAACTCGGAACAACGAATGACATTTACGCAGCGCCTTTCACACCGGGAGGACGTCCCAAGGTGCTGGACAGTCAGGGATTTTGGGATTGGGATCGGGACGGGTGGAGGCAGTGAGGGTGACCGACTGCGCGGTAGGGGAGGAGGGTCTTGAGATGGGTCTTGAAGGAGGCGAGGGAGGGGACGAGGCCAAGGCAAGGGACTGGGATGAAGTTCCAGAGGGTGACAGCGTGGATCTTCCTTCTAAGAGTTAATTTGCTTTTGCCAGATCTCCAGGGAAGAGATTGTCAACATCGGGTTCTTAGCAACAGCTACAGAGCGGAGCAGCGGCTGAACCACACCGGGAGCTGCTCAACACTCAGGACAACAGTTCTGGGGAACATTAATGCAGGGAAAGAGATCAACTTGAGCCGATAGTTTCCAGCTCCTCGCGCTGGCTGCGGTGCGTTTGTTTCATCGGGAAAAAAAGGCCGCAGCAGGTTTTGAGAGTCAGGTTCCTGATCATGGAGAAGAGACGGGCAACATGGCAGATCTGCGTGGAGAGAACATTAGCTGTGATCAAACCAGACAGCATGGACAAGGCTGAAGAGATCCTGGACGTCATTGTCAGATCCGGCTTCACTGTGATCCAGGTATCCAATCAACTTCTTTTCCCAGTTGAGTGAGAAGCTCAAAGACCCAGAGGCTTTGCAAAAGGGCTTTTGCTCTAAATCATTACACTTTGTGGCTGTGTTTCTCACCAGTTAAGAGCCACCATGGATAGAGTTTTTATGCAAAAAGGGAAACTAAACTAATCAAAACAGGCAGGTCAAAGAGATCTTTGGAGATCTAACTCTTTTTAAGTTATTATTATTATTTTTTGCGGGGGTGCCAGATAGAGCTGTATGATTGAATGCCGTTCCCTTTGTTTTCCCAACAAAAGGTTTCCTTTTAGACAGAGCCATTCACAAGGGGTTTTAGTCGCTGTTCCTCGCTGATTAACAGAAATATTTTGTATCACTGTTAAGCAGCTTCAAAGCAAATGTTCTTAGGACACGAGAAATAGTGGGCAGAGCAAAATGTAAAATTTGCCCTAGTTTTGCAAGAGGATAGCTTTATTGTTAATATAGTTGTTAGCGTTAGTGTTAGCACATAACCATAATGCTAATAATAAAGCATTATTGTTATTATGAGAAGGTTCAACATATTTCCAATTGGCTTCGGTGGATTTGTGGGTGAGGAGAAGCCAGGACTGCCCATCATTTATTATTATTATTTATTATTATTAATTCCTGGGTGCAATTGGCTGATGTGTTTCACCCACAAAATACACAGCGACTACACTTCACCGTGTATCCCGGGAAGCATTTTGAGACGTATGGAAGACGTGATAAGGCGCTGTATCAAATGGGAGGATTATTGTTATTTATTATAAACGGTCCCTGACTTGTTTGTGTTAAATGTGAATGTTTAAGTGAGCTGATGTGCTTCCATCGCAGAGGCGGAAACTGCACCTGAGCCCGGAGCAGTGCAGCGATTTTTACGCTGAACATTACGGGAAGATGTATTTCCCAGTTTAACTGCTTTCATGAGCTCCGGACCCATCATCGCTATGGTTCTGGCCAGAGATCAGGCGATCTCGTATTGGAGGGAGCTGATGGGACCAAAAAACAGTGAAAAGGCAAAACTAACTCAACCGGACAGGTAAGTTCTGACAAAGGGGCCGTGGACCCGAAACGTTGACTCGCTTTCCTTTCTCCATAGGCTCTGCCTGACCCGCTGAGGGTTCCCGCTGCCGTTTTTGTTTTCAGACGGGGAAGGTTCTTGAGCCTTGGAAATCAGAATTTAATTTAGAAATCAGAAATCAAAGTAAGAGAGAAATCAAAATAAATTGTGTTTCACTCATCACAATGAATCCACTTCAGTGTGTAGCCGGTGAAATGTTTTGCAACGTCTCAACGACGTGATAGGGCGCTATGTCAAATGCAAGGAAACGTTACGCTGATAGAATAAATCCTGATCCAGGTGGGATTATTACCTCTTGATTAGTAAACGAAAACACCCGCACAAGCAATTATCTGTGCTTTCTGACTCAATTTATTTCCCTAACTGCCCTGTATTTGGGTTCAAATCTGTTCTGCGCTGATGCGTTTAATGTTTTACATGAATATTTTACGGCATTCTGTAATAAAAAAAGCTGTACCCACCTTCACTTTGATGTACACGCGCAAAAAGCCGGTCCAATTCATGATCTGATCTGATCTGATCTGTTTTTATTCATTCCCGTTGCTTTTAGCCTAAGGGCGTTATACGGGACAGATGACCTCAGGAACGCGGTCCACGGTAGCGAAAGCTTTTTATTGGCGGAGAAGGAGATTCAGTTCATGTTTCCCGGCAGTAAGTGTGAAAATACTAAAATCGTGGTCTTTAAACTGAAGTAAACGGTTGTCGCTGACGAATTGAGGTTCCGCCCCCCACTCCCCTCGGTGTGCAGTGGGAAGAGGGAGCGCTGATCCCAACCTGATCATCGTTCCAGTTATTTTTCTCTTGGTTCGTGTATGATTGATCTTACAGTCCTTGGGGAATGCTTCGTAACTGTCGTAAAAAAACACACACAGCTCAATAATAATAATAATAATAATAATAATAATAATAATAATAGGTGGAATCTCAGCAAACGTAACAAGGAGGATGGGGGTGGGGGGTGGAGGTGGGGGGGAGGTGGCGGCGGTGGGCGGAAATGAAACTAAACCACACGACAGAGGAAGCAAATTGGAAAATAAAAGCTGTTTCAGAAAAATAAAATCCAGCGCTGTTTCCGCCCGGTCTCAAACCGGAGACCTGTCGCGTGTGAGGAGAACGTGATAACCACTGCACTACGGAAACCGCTGTCGTGACGGTCGGGGCCTCGGAGTCTCAGTGATTCAGAACCCCCCACTCCCCCTCCCCCCCACTCCCCCACCATCTCTCCCTCCCCCCATCTCCCCCTCCCCCCATCTCCCCCTCCCCCCATCTCCCCTTCCCCCATCTCCCCCCCAATTCCCTCCCCCCCTCCCCCTCTCCACTAACCGGGAACTCTAACCGGGAACTCTAACCGGGAACTCTAACCGGGAACTCTAACCGGGAACTCTAACCGGGAACTCTAACCGGGAACAAAGTGAAAGGACAAAGTTTCTGTTTGATTGTAAGTTTGAGCTCAAACGTTGTTTAAAAACACTATTTTACAGCGGTCGTTGAGCCAACGCCGACCGACAGAGCAGCGCACGACTACCTGAGCAGATACGTCAATCCAACACTGCTGACTGGACTGACGCAGCTCTGCAAACAGAAACCCGCAGACCCGCCCGTACGTACCCGTATAACAATAACAACAATAACAACAATAACAATAATCCTTGAGTTTGGTATCGCTCGTTACGATGACGAATAGAAAAAAAAACACCCCCAAAACTTTGTTTACCACGAAACGAACGCGCGGTCCCTTCGTTGACGTTACTCTTCCGAAACTGAATTGTTCTGTGTTTACCGCAACCCTCTGATTCTCCAGACGTGGCTCTCACAGTGGCTCATCGCAAACAATCCAAACAAACCCGTGGTTCAGGAGGTCCCGGTCAGTCGAGAAGGAGCGAAGCCGAGACCCGGCAGCTCCGAAACCTGTTGAGAAGATGGAAATCAGATACCTTTGGAACGTGTTGTTATTATTATTATTATTATTATTATGTTAAGATTTTATCATTTTTTTCATCGTGATGACCTTGACAACAGCAACGACGGTTTTTTGCAAAGAGCCGTCTGGAAGAGGGATCCGAATCGCGACCACCAATGGTTAGTAACGGTCAATCCAGTAATGTCAACACAAATAAAAGTTAACGGTAACTGACAACTGTCATCGAATAATTCTCTCTCCTCTGACAACGTCGCTCTTCGCGTCTCGGGATGAAGGCCGATCTGCGCCTCCGCCCCTCTCTGGTCCCGACCCCCCGGCTCGGGCGCGGACCCCTGACTGTCCGGAGCCTCGGGCCGTGAGGAAGGCACCGTGAGGTACCTCTCTCGTGGTGGGGTTCCTCAAAGTGGCCACTGGATGACGGGCAAGGGAGGCGCATCCTGCGGAGTGCATGGTGTAGTGACTGTGCAATGTGTGGGGCTGAAAGCCCTGGAACCGTCGAACTAAAGAGCGTGGACCTCACTCACCGGTGGGGGGTGTGTGGGGGGGAGAGACGCGTTCGAGGGCGGTCAACAAAGACGTGACCCCCGGTCGGGTTTGAAGGCTGCGCCAAGTGACCCGAGACCAGGACAACAGCGTCGGGAAAAACAAACGGCGATTTATTTATTGGGAGTGGATTATATTTCAAAGAATTGCATTATTTGACCCCACGTCTCGTGACGGACGTCGCGACGTCCCGAAGCGCTTCACAGCATAAACACACACACACACACATAGATATATAATATATATAATATATATATATGTATAATAATAATAATAACAAGTCTGGCATTTGACACAGAGCGTTATCGTGCGGTGGAGACGGTCTCGAAGCGCTTCACGGGGTACACGGTAAAGCGTGTAGTGAAGTGACTGCGTGTTTCGTGGGTGAAATGTCCAAAATACGCACACGCGTGTGTGTATACACACAACATATATTATAATAACAATATAATAATACATATTATACATCTGTTATCATTGTATATATACTATCACCCAAACCATCCACAGTCACTATATATAAACACACACACATATACACATATATAATATATATGTTGGATTGCGTTGTGTGTTAAAAAAGGTTACACCTGAAATCCACCCACGTGTGTATTATATATTATATAGAGAGAGAGAGAGAGAATGAAGGGACCAAATAAAGTTGTGTCGGTCAATAATAAGTGTTTCCGCCCGGTTTCGAACCGGGGACCTTTCGCGTGTGAGGCGAACGTGATAACCACTACACTACGGAAACCCGCCGTGATGGGGCTGCCGCTGGGGGCCTCCCTAGTGCCTGTTACCGCCCTCCCTCCCTCACTCGCTCTCATCACGTCGCGTCGCTCACCGAGACCAGACGCCGACGCAGACGACGCGCACGCACGCACGCACGGCCGCTCGCCACCCCACGTCACGTCACGATCCGTCGATCGATCGATTCCGATTTTTTTTACACATGCGCGGCGCGCCCTTCCCTTCCGGCAAATCGATTGATCCGCGCCTTCCGGCAAACCCCGACCCCCCCCAAACCCCGACCCCCCCCAACCCCGACCCCCCCCCCAACCCCGACCCCCCCCCCAACCCCGACCCCCCCCCAACCCCGACCCCCCCCCAACCCCGACCCCCCCCCAACCCCGACCCCCCCCAACCCCGACCCCCCAACCCCGACCCCCCCCCCCCAACCCCGACCCCCCCCCCAACCCCGACCCCCCCCCAACCCCGACCCCCCCCCCCCAACCCCGACCCCCCCCCCCAACCCAACCCAATCCGCGGCGTCAATCACACCCCTCAACCGCGCGTCCTTCGTTTCTTTTTATGTCGATAATTTTTTTAATATATATCCGCACATCAATCACATAAATCATAGATGTGAAAATAAACGCCGAAAACGGGATCGACGTTTGTTTACTTAATTTTGTTTATCGTTGTTGTCGTCGTTGTCGTGACTGTGGGGGAATGTGTAAACAACGAACTTCAGCAACTGACTGAATAAATAAATACACTTACATACATAATATATAAAAAAAATCTTACTTTTATATATATTAAAAAAAAACCTCCTCCGCCGTGTGTTTCCGCCCGGTTTCGAACCGGGGACCTTTCGCGTGTTAGGCGAACGTGATAACCACTACACTACGGAAACCCGCCGTGAGGGTCGTCTCACGCAACTCGCTACTAGAGTCCGACCAGCGTCGGTGACGCTGCGTAGGGGTGGGAGGGGGGGGTTGGGGGGGACAACCGTCCCGGCGTGTCACCCTGGCCTGACCCTCCCCCCCCCCCCGCCGACGGCTCGCGCTCGAGTGATGTCACGTTGGGCTACCTTTGGGCTAGTGCCGGGCGGGTTTGGGGCGAACTAACGGCTTTTTTTTGAATTCCTGGCGCCAACGGCTCGAGCCGTGGGGCGCGGAGGGGAGGGCCGTCAGCGCATGCGCCCTCCCGGCCCCGCGGCTCCGCCCCTAACGGTCACAGAGCCTCAGAGGGTCACAGCAGGTAAAGGGCCCTGACTTCATCTCATCATCATCTTCCTCCTCCTCCCTCCACACTCCCTCCCTCCTCAGCCCCTCCTCGCGTCTCCCCAGCGCCGCACTGTGAAGTGTAGTGACCGTGTGCTCTGTCTGTGAAGTGTAGTGACTGTGTGTTCTGTCTGTGAAGTGTAGTGACTGTGTGTTCTGTCTGACTGAAGTGTAGTGACCGTGTGCTCTGTCTGTGAAGTGTAGTGACTGTGTTCTGACTGTGAAGTGTAGTGACTGTGTGTTCTGTCTGACTGAAGTGTAGTGACTGTGTGTTCTGTTTGTGAAGTGTAGTGACTGTGTGTTCTGACTGAAGCGTAGTGACTGTTCTGTCTGTGAAGTGTAGTGACTGTGTGTTCTGACTGTGAAGTGTAGTGACTGTGTGTTCTGTCTGACTGAAGTGTAGTGACTGTGTGTTCTGACTGTGAAGTGTAGTGACTGTGTGTTCTGACTGAAGCGTAGTGACTGTTCTGTCTGTGAAGTGTAGTGACTGTGTGTTCTGACTGTGAAGTGTAGTGACTGTGTGTTCTGACTGTGAAGTGTAGTGACTGTGTGTTCTGTCTGTGAAGTGTAGTGACTGTGTGTTCTGACTGTGAAGTGTAGGGTGTGCGAAACCCGGCAGCTGCCCGATTGGGCCACCAGCCACCGCGTCCCTCCCGCAAACAGCCGTGGGTTTGGGTTGTGCGACATTTTTCATCGGGAGGGGGCTTATTGCCCCCCCGCCAACCTCCTCCCCCCCCGCCAACCCCCTCCCCCCACCGCCAACCCCCTCCCCCCCGCCAACCCCCTCCCCCCCGCCAACCCCTCCCCCCCGCCAACCCCCTCCCCCCCGCCAACCCCCTCCCCCCCGCCAACCCCCTCCCCCCCGCCAACCCCCTCCCCCCCGCCAACCCCCTCCCCCCCGCCAACCCCTCCCCCCCGCCAACCCCCTCCCCCCCTCTCCCCCCCCCCCCGCCAACCCCCTCCCCCCCTCTCCCCCCCCCCGCCAGGGGAAAGCAATCCGTCCGCCAACCGACTTGACAAGCGGGTTCCTACTAAATAAGACACTAATAATAATAAGACTTAAATATCTGAGACGGTGTTGAAGAGTTAGATTCGGAGACTTCTCCGACGGTAATAATTTACTGTCCCCGATGTACGGACGACGACGACAACAAGAACAACAACTCGTGTTTACAGAGCGCCCCTCACGCAGGGTAGCGCTCGAGACATCTTGACCCTGTAGTGGCCGAGCATTTCAGTTGTCTCGGGGGAGTCATAGATTTGGGTAACGTCCGGGATGTTCTGGTGGGTGGTATCTCCGGCGAGGCGTGAGTGATTGCTGTGTTTTGGGGATTTATTTGGTGACTGGCAGGACTGCCCTCTCTGCGTGAGAAAGTTCCCGTGGGTCTTTAACGTATACGTGTGGTTGCCGCACCCTCCCACATGCAGTCAGAAAATCAACGTCTTACCCCACTTCAGACTATCTGAAAGTAGACATCGCAGGGTAATGTCACTGACCTGTTCAAGCTTCGATGAATTGTTCATGTCGCTTAACAGTCTTTGTAATTACACGACTACAGCTGTGCAAGGTTTTAAAAAAAACCTTTTAAGCACTTCTCGTGTTATTAAGATGTATAAGACAACTTGTTCTGGGGTGGTCCTGTGATGCATTCCCAGGTATCCTCATTTTAAAAGTAATACAATAAAAGTCAGTGTTTTCCCTTGTATTGAATTTCTCTCAGCTGGAAAACGTAATAATAAACAAAAAGTCCCCAAATTGTAAAATGAATGGAATCAAAGAACTCTGTTAATTCCTCCAGAGAGGTTTTAAGCAAACATTTTCTTTGATGTTCCTTTGTTTTATTGATTCAAAATATCAGAATTGAAAAGCTTATATTAAGTTTTTTTTAAAAAAATGCATCCTAACATTATAATTATATTCACTTATCTAGTCACCTTCGCAATATGTTGGTTATATTGGAAGCCTTATCTCTATGGATACATTGCTTGCAAGATGTTGGCTGAGCAGTTTTGTATCTCAGAGCAATTTAAGAGATGTTAATCAGTCGATGAAAGTAATGATGTCCAACTTAAAATCATTTATTTATTGACTCCCTATTTGCTCAGCGTGTATTAAAGTAACGGAATCAAACAGAGATCCAGTACTTGATAATACTATGATTCTTTACACGGCTGTGCTGAGTTATCAGCTGAATCAGCAGCGCCACAATAACATATCTCAGAGTCCTGGGCTAGAAGAGGGAGATTCTGCCTCTCATTCCTATCCCGTGAGTGACTCCTGATGAAAGGTAGAATCAGCTCAGTACATTAGATTGTGGTAGCTCAGAGCCTTCTCGCCTCTTTGCTGCTTCCCAGCTCTACCCATGATGGAACATTGTCGGAAATCATGATAATATCTCTGCCTGTTGACGTGAAAGACGGAGCTTGATCTTCACAGAGCAGAACTGAACTATTTGTCAATGATGAATAAAATGTCCCTCTCGGTGGGGTGTGCCAGATACCACAAATCTACAAGACTCATCTCTTTTATTATGCCACTTAGTGTAAACGTCTCCCTATACTTACAAGAATCCCAGAGGAGGAATTATCCAGGACTGGATCTTGCCCTGAATTCCAGTGTCCTCCAAAACTAGGGTCCTGTTATCTTTTTCAAGTAACTGTGTCTAATGAAGCAAAAAAAATGCTAAATTGAAATGAGGGAATAAATACTTCCATAATTTAATCCCCTCATCTATTTGGGTGTTTAGGTTTACCACACTCCCTTGTCTGGTTTGCGTACTATTTATATAGTATTAATTTTAGAGATTCAGGAAACATAATAGCTGCTATTGGCTCTTATGACTATATTCCAGAGAATGTAACAGGTATCCCAGTTTTTGTAAGTGTTTCTCTGCAGTGTTAATAATGGGTTGTAATGCAATAATGGGACAACTGCCTACATATTTTATTTAATTCTACATTTTGTATCTTTTCAGATCAAATATTAACTAATCCATGAAAGTGATCCTTTTCCATTTCAGAAACATGCTAACAGAGTACAGAACTAGCTTCACTTCTGCTCTTGAACCCAAGTCATATACATTTTAGTTTAATTACTTGCATCCCCAGTATAGAGCAGATCTTTACAGAGAGAATTCTTAACACTTAACAATAAATTGGAGCTACGTGGTTAATACAGCAATGCAGTTTAGTTTCTTTGTCTAATGACTTAGAGTTTAAAGTTTAAATTCCAGTCTTTTTCAACATTGGATACTCCAAAGCCACTAAAACGTGAATATTATCCATTTCAACAAGGTTATACGCAAAGAGGAGGCTGCCTTTGCTAAAATATGCCTCCTGAGGGTTTGACTTCACAGCAAAATATTGACAAGATCCACGGCAATGTCCGATGACAGTAACATCATACCCTCCTAATCGGGGACGATCTTGTAGACGTAAGTGGCTAACAGTGATGGGAGAGGGAAGTTTAAGAAATTGAAGTGTTTTCAAATTAAAGTACTTGCAAGCTTATCTATGTCATGTATTTAATGAGTCTCAGCGCCCATAACAACTGGAAAATGGGTTCTACATAATAGCTAGTGGTGCTGGGAGCACCATTCTACCAACCCTAACCATCCTAAAATGTTTAGTGAAATTGTTGGCTACAAATTCCACACAGTTTTGCTTGAGATCTAAAGGTTATAGGTGTGCCCATTGACTCAAAAGAACATGTCTTGTTTGATTTAAATCAATGGAAAGATATTTTGTATCTTACAGTCGATATGTCTTATTAGCCCAAATCTTGAAAAAAAATGAGAATCTTGTACCAAATGATGCTTTTGACATTGTCATTTTCCAGTTACAATTTGTTTATCTCAGTTGATCTTGTTGATGCCAGTAAATTAGTTCCTTCAGACATACTGCTGAGCTTGATAAATTAGTAGAATTGTGTCACGAGCTGCGTCCTATCATCACTCAACCATATGTTGTATTAGTGTCGTATAGCCCATCACATCCAGCGGTTTGCACTGCAGGGATCTTCAGTCTAAATGTTACCGCTGTCTAGCTTCCAATAGGTTCCACTCACAGGCCCCATTTCCACCAGGAGCCTCACTACAGGGAGCGTGAATGGTATCCTTCCCACAGCTCAAGCTCTGCTGCCTGCTCGTCTCATGCCACTTTAACGTCATGATTCACACCACAGGGAACACAGTGACAGTCTCCATCTATCAACTCTGCTGCATCTACAGTAACATATCTGCAAAATTTCAGCCGTCAATTGGTAGGAAAGGATGCAACAGAATCTTTATTCTGCGTCAATTCCGCCTTTAATTAAACACATCTCTGAATAGGTTTTACATAATACTGGTGTAAATATAATAGCAATCCTTGCATTTGATATAGGGCCTTATCACGTCGCTGAGATGGATAATCTCAAAGACAAAGATAGTGATAGAAATGTGATTTCATACAATCTTTCCGAAAAGTATTTTTGAAGTATTTAAGGATCTGCCTGGGATTATTCTGTATGTTACACCGTTCGGTGAAAAATGGATTTCTTTGGGACTTAATGCCAATATTTAGCCCTTTAGTTTAATTGTGGGTATTAAGCTTCCCTACCCAAGCAGATAATCAGCAAATAAACTGCTAATTCTTTGAAATTCCCTGAAACTCTATTGAAGTCTTCGATGTGAAAAGCACCACGTCAATTTAAAATTGTTATAATTAAGAAGTGAATCTTTTGTTTTTGAGAGCTGGTACGGACACAATGGGCTGAATAGCCTTCTTCTGTGCCATACATTTCTATGATTCTAATGGTGCCACCCACAGAGAAGCTTGGATATCACTTTATGTTACATTTTGGGCAGTAAGCACAAATCTGGTTAAAGGCTGTTTCGACTGATTCCCCCCAGTTTTCTCATTTCCTGAAAGCATGACTTATTGTGCAGTGTGTTTGGCAAGGCAGCAGTTCTCCTGTACCTCTTCATATGTGAGCGTAAGCAGGGTTATGAAGAAACTAAATATATATTGTATATTATTGCACCTATAGTGAGGAAACCAACCTTGTGTCTTACTTACTCTGGGACCTGTCTTCACAATTGTTTGGCTACTCTGCCGATGTATATTCTGGGGAGACTCCCAAGACACCTGATCTCAGGGAAATATGGTAGTAGAGATTATTCACCTCTGCTGTTGTTCCCAGGATAGGTCAACTCTATGGTCCAAAGAACAGTTTGTGTTCAATTAAATGGAACCACTGGATGATTCTATTGGATGCCCTCTGTGGTGAAGTCACCTCAGTGGTATAACAGATGAACATGTGGGTCTCAAGAATGGAAGAAATACAATACAAAATTTTATTTGTAAAGCGCCTTTCATGCCGGGAGGACGTCCCAAGGCGCTGAACAGTCAGGGATTAGGACCCTAGCGGTGGCGGTGGTGGTGGGGGGGTGATAGGGAAAATATATTCTAGCCTTTTGGATTTGTAAATTTTGTACTGATGACTTCTAAGGTCGGTTCCAAATTTAAATAACTTGTTTACACCTACATTATCTAAATCTTGTTTTCTGAAATGAAAATAAGTTTGGTACTTTGGGGCCTTCTCCTTATGTAATTTTCAATCCCAGAGTCACCCTTGCAGTTCTTCAATGAGAGTCGACATATCTCACAACTCTTCATGTCTGGATTTATGAAAAAATATGTGTAAATATACTAGATCTCACACTGCGAAAGGACCAATATAGATTAATGGTAAAGTATGAATTAGACAACTCTCTTCAAACAACCTACTCGTGGTTTGAAGTGCTAACTAAGAATTTGGAATGGAAATTGCAAACATTTTAAAGAAAGAGGCTTAATTAAAGTCTTACACACAATTTACGACACAGCAATGTGATGCTACAAAATGCGGGCGAAAGTGGCCTAGTCCTTTGTTGTGCTAGCAACCGCGATTTCGTTTAATCAATTTAGAATTTTGCATTTCCTTTAAACAACTTGTGAGACCGAGCATTGTATAGTGACAGCCATTAAGTCAAGAGAGAATAGACAATAATAGCAATGGCACTTAATTGTGAAAAAACACAAAACTGTGTGAAATTTCCACTTGACTACCAAATAATCCGTGAAATGCAGTGTCAAACACCCAAACTGTGTGACATTTGGCATGTCGTACTGCAGGAGGTCTTTAGCCTGCAGTCACTGTGGCTGCCATCCTGATGATATCTACCATCCTCCAGGTACACAGCCTGACTCGGCCATTGTAGTGATGATCTGGAAGACAGAACCGCAATTAGTGACACCGGCTGTCAATAATGAGTCAAAAGTGATTTGTAAGCAGTGTCTGTGGTGTTTCAAAACTATTGCATTACTCTTTTAGCTTGTTTCAAGGGGTTTACAAGTTTGATAACTTCACCACAGGGAACATTCAGACACTAAACACTTTATTGTAAGCTGCATTCCTTGATTATTCCTTGCATTCCTGCATTCCTTGAAAATAATAATTTGGTCACACAATCCACGACTGTTTGTGGGACACTGCCGTGGGCAATTGGCTGCCGCATTTCGTCCACAAAATACACAGTCAACTCATTTTACAGTACATCCTGTGAAGTGCTTTGAGACGTCTTGAATACGTGATAAGGCGCTATATCAAATGCAAGGATTATTATTACCCGATAATTATTAGTTTGTGACATGAGCGACTTATACCAAGAAGTTTGCAATGCTTCGGGAAAATATTTTAACTTATTTGATAATTAGACACTTAGGAATTACAGTACTCGTGGGCAGTGAAGCATTGAACTCAAAAACTCCAAACTTCTTTGTGGCCCATTTGTAAAAGTAATACAGCGGTTGTCAAGATAATGGGGCAATCAAATTGCAATGTACATGAATGTACTACAATAAGAATTTTACTCTGAGGTCTATCTTGTCACTCACAATGTTTTTTAAAATATATTCAAAGGCAAAACTATGATAATAATCTTTGCATTTGAGTATTGACCAGAGGGCACAAGGGCAAATGTGGGACCCCAGACTTGAAAATATTGCCTCTCCCCGATAATACAGAAGAGAAAGATTGAAAGACTTGGGGGTACAGCAGATAGGCAAAGTAACAACTATATTGTATCAGGAAGTGAGGAATCATCCAACTGAAAGGTGGTTTTCCCAGGCACCTTTGCGGAACAATGTTGTCAACTGTGATATTAATTGCTGTGCTCTGCATATTTTTATAATAATAATCCTCGCATTTGATAATGTGCTTTATCACATCTTCGAGACGTCTCAAAGCGCTTCACAGAATATACTGTAAAGTGAATTGACTGTGTATTTTGTGGGTGAAAGGCAGCAGTAGTATCCTACAAACCGTCGTAGATTAAGTGACCAAGGTATTATTTTTAAATTTTATTTTAGCCTATCGATTGTGTGTTTTTCCATTTATGGAGTCAAAAATTAGATTGCAGATTACAATTTCAAATTACTTTAGCAAATTTATGTATGGCTTGTTGTTTATCTGCCAGGCGATGCAGTGTGGGATTCATAGCGCTGGCAGCCTCAGGCTAAATCACTGAGCAGTTTGGTGAATCTCATGTTATTTAGGAGATTTTATTATATAAATGCAGAGTTAAAACCATATCAGTTACTGAAAATGTTTCAAGAGGTCTACCTTCTCAAATGAGTAAAATATCTGGTGTTCACTGGAGTTTCAGAGAACAAGAATATAACAGTCGGATGTAACAACATACATTAAAGTGCTGATTAATGTCTTCTTGTCATTGTTATGTAAAGGAAGAGTTTTTACAAATCAAAGGAAACATGTTCTTTGTTTCATTTCAACAAGAAGCAGCTAAAGTTAAAGCTTGACAATTTGAATTGATTGGAATACATATGAAAACTACTCCTGACACTTGTATAAAAGAGAATGTGCCATTTGTTGTTTTCCCTGATTGATAATCCCTAACCTAGTTGAAGTTAAATACTTTTCCAGGGGGGTAATAATCCCTTGAAAATAATAATGATAATTTGGTCACATTTTGCCCACAAAATATAGTCAATTCACTTTACAGTATATTCTGCCAAGCGCTTTGAGCTGTGAGATGTGATGAGGTGCTGTACCAAATGTAAGGATTATTATTATGACCAATGGCTGCTTTCTCCACCAATCCTGTACAATTGACAGCAGAGTGACATCAATGATATGGAGATGTCATTGCAAACGACCCTCCTGTACATGAGCAGAATTCTACCCCCATTTCTTCTGAAGCTCTGTTGAAGGTTGGAAACGGTGATGGGGTTGGTTCAGCAGATGCCAGTTCTGTAGTTCTTCCTCATTTCACCGGTGCACCAACAGTTTTTTGTCCATAATCCAAAGGTATCAGAATTTGGGGCAGTTTGTTTGACTTGGGGACATTTAGAATAGTATGAAATAGTGAAAAATAGGGTTAAAATAAAAATAGGACCGAGAAGGACCACGGAAGGTTTTCAATATTTCATTTTATTCAAACTTTTTAGAAGAAATGTGTTGATGGATTATGGTTAATATCACTGTGATAAAGCAATGTTTTCAGTAGCTTTATTACTGTAGCAGTACGCTTAAAATTAGATGGCAAGAAATCAATTATACTATAAATTAAACATTATGTGCAAACAAATATAAACATGAATTTAAAGCTGTATTTTGAACAGGTTTTATTTTCCCCATCAACTATTCTGTATGGATTATTTAGGTACCACTTATACTCATCTATATAGCCCCTGACTGTATTGTGCTACCTGTGAATTATATTATCCTTAAAATTCACAATGAATGGTCTGTCCTGGCCATTTACTGGGGCTAATAAATTCAGTAACTCGAATGACATCGTTTGTCATTATCTGAGAGCCTTTTGTGGTTATATATTTAACTGACAGCTTTTGAATGGCTTGGTAAATTTGCAATGGCTGAGAAACAAAAGGGAAGTAAATGAATTTGAATATTATAGCATACTAATGAAGCGATTGTCAAACCAGTGATCGATGGTGTGTGTTAAATCCATTCTATAGAAATCTACCAATGATTGATCCGACTTTCTCAACTGCCAAAATCACTCAGGATGGGAAGAGGAGAGGACTGATTTTTAATACTGTATTGGAATTGTTGAGTGTGGTGGAGGATAAAATAAAAAGGCACAAAAATAAAATACTTACATGTAACTTAAATACATGGGCAAAGGGGTGTTTGTTATAATGCTGAGATAAACCCAGGTTAGTCGGCAATGAAACACACTATGTTTTTACCAATTGTTACATTGCCAACCCTCAAATAAACTCAACCCTGTTATAATAAGGAATAATCCTCGCTTTTGGATAGTAGCGCGTGATCGTGTGGACCAAACGTCCCTAAAATGCTTCACAGTTTACCGTAAAGCCCTGGGACTACCAGGACAGCACAAAGCCCAAATGAATTCCCAAACCTTACATTTACTTTGCCATTAGTTATGCAAACCATCCACACTTTTTTTTCCCCCCTCTGTGGCCTGAGAAGCGCAGTCCAATACACTCCCCGGCAGCGAAGACAGGAGCTCAGTTCTTTTCTTATGTAGTTATTCAGAGACCTTTTGGTTTTCGTATGCAGTGAATAGGCACGAAAAACAAGTTTCACATGGCCGACAAGTTCACGGGATAAAAGGTCCGACACATTTCCTTTTTCTGTCGAAGTTCAAACAGAGAAGTCTCTCTTGCGCTGATAACCCCTGAATGGCTCGTGTTGGTTTCCATTTCAAAGGGAGGGGGATATTTTCACCCAATGATTTGCCCAGACTTTCGGGTTATTGCAGTACAGCTCTTGGCTTTCCTCAACTTTTAAACACAACGAGAAGAACGTGTATTGACAACCGAATTGCGATTTGATAAACATGGAGATGGCTGAATATTCTGGACCCATATTCCCGGGGCATTGACTCTGTATATTGGAGCACTCATAACGTTTTCCTTAAATAAAATGTACTCGTTTTAAATTTAAACGTTGGAATTCATATTTACCGACGACAAAACTCAGTCGTTTTGTCTGCACCTTTACGAAGGGTTTAGGATTTCCACCTGTAGGATGCACTTCAGGTTTTATGGTACGATGACAATTTTACCAGAGTTGGGTATGTTTGGCTTGTGCCGGGCGGGATGGGATGCTGGAGACTGTGCGCTATAAACCCTCTCCCCAGAAAGAAATATATACAAACCTCTTGTGCAGTCGTGTCCCCTGTGGATAGTGGAGAGGTCCCAGTGTATTGGTGGCGGCCTATTTGAGGTGAGAAGTCTATACCTTCTCCTCTCCAGAAGGCAGACCCACCTTTGCTCGGCTCACTCAGATCGTCAATGGCACTGCAGAGAATTAGAATGGATTTCTCTTTCTCTCTCTCTGCCCTTTCAAATACGAGAAACGTCTCTTCCATACCGTTCATTCTTTTACCCCCCCCCCCCTTCTGTGTTCACTGCTTTATTTGTCAAGTGCCTTGAAATTTGACGTGAAATATACATCATTATTAATGCAAAGTTTGGGGGTACCGTGAGTTTTGAAAAGCTGCAGCAAGTGTTAAAAGAACTCAAAAAACATCCATTTCAAACAGTCAATTGTAAAAGTATTTTATTGCAGAAGCCAGTACAAGCCAATTCTATAACCATACAAACTAAACCTGGTAAAATAAAAACTCAAACCTTAAGAGTATTTCAGTAAATACAACGTGCTGCATTTAACCCAACACCCTGCGATGTTGAAGATCTTGCCTCGCCGACACCACTCAATAGTCCAAAGCCAAGCTCTCAACATTTGTATTAAAACGTCTGGTCAAGTGAAGAACACAATCTCTCTGCAACTAAGATCCGATACCGTTAAAAGAACATAAATGTGACTACAGTAACGTACAGTTCCCGTGACAGTGCCAACTTTTCTGAACTGGTGCAACATAGTTAGGAAGAAAAGTGCATAAACCCTATTTAGCAGTGGATAAACAAGATACACCAAACACAACCCAGTGTTAGCTTTCATAGAAAGAAACTTGGGATTTATAGAAGTCCATTAATAAACGTTCACAAAACGTGAAACCTACAACTAAACATTGACCTAAAACGGAGAGATTCCCATTGTTTACTGAGAATAAAAACTCAAAAAAGACTTATTTTTTTAAACGTTACTGAGCTCTCGTTCAAGACACGTTTCATCTTTGTGTGTGGAAGTGGTGACCAGTTGCTGAGGCGCTGCTACATTGTGGGGCCAACCCTTCATCTCAAAACAGAGAAGAGGCTGAAAAGGGAACAATGTGTAGACTTTTGGAATAATAACCGTTGCATTTGATAGAGCACCTCGTCAGGTCTTCTGAGACGTCTCCAAAGCGCCTCACGGAATAAACTCGTCAAGTGAATGGACTTATTTTGTGGGCAAAACCCGACAGCCAATTACGCACAACATCGTCCCACAAACACGAACAGTCACGGTCTGAGTGACCCACATTATTGTGATGAAGGAAGGGATTATTTACCCAGTGTTATATAACCAGCCTGAGCCAACAAGGCATAACCAGCCTGAGCCAACAAGGCATAACCAGCCTGAGCCAACAAGGCATAACCAGCCTGAGCCAACAAGGCATAACCGAGCCAACAAGGCATAACCAGCCTGAGCCAACAAGGCATAACCAGCCTGAGCCAACAAGGCATAACCAGCCTGAGCCAACAAGGCATAACCAGCCTGAGCCAACAAGGCATAACCAGCCTGAGCCAACAAGGTATAACCAGCCTGAGCCAACAAGGTATAACCAGCCTGAGCCAACAAGGTATAACCAGCCTGAGCCAACAAGGTATAACCAGCCTGAGCCAACAAAGCCTGAGCCAACAAGGTATAACCAGCCTGAGCCAACAAGGCATAACCAGCCTGAGCCAACAAGGTATAACCAGCCTGAGCCAACAAGAGGAATATTGTTGGGAACAGCAAATAGTGCGTAAGATTGTTTTTCTATGATCTTTCACCAGTTGTGAGCCCGGTTTTTGCGCCTGGAGTGTCCGGGGGCCCTTCTCCTGTCCCGGGGGGAGCAGTAGTGTTTGGTGACCACTCGCCGACACTGCTCACACTGCACAGTGCAGCACCAGTGGAACTTGCAGTTGCAGCTGCTGACGATCTCGGTCCTCTTCTCCTCGGGCCGGAGCCCGCACTCGGTGCACAGCCGCCGGCAGCTCCTCCTCTCCCGCGGGGAGAGGCCCTGGCCGCCCTGCAGACACTCCCTGCCCTCCGTGCCCTGCAGCCCCAGGGTGGCGTTGCTCACGCAGTAGTCCGGGGAGTCCTCCAGGTACACCAGCTCCGTGTGCAGGATGGCGCTGTACGCCTCGGCGATGGCCGCCCGATTATCCGCGCTGTTGCCGCCCCTCATCCGCCGCTTCTCCAGGTCGATCTTCACCGCTTGCTCTTGTTTCACCCGCAAGTAATTGCCGATGTCCCTGAAGTCGGCCAACTGCAGCCAACAGGTCTGGACACTGCAGCTTCCCGACACCCCGTGGCATTTGCAGGTCCGCATCATGGTCCCCTTGACAGCCTGTGGGACACACACCACCCAACAGCGCTCACTGACTGACCGCAGACACCAACGATGGAGCCGTTGGTACCCACTGAACACGGTCTGTGTGTGATGTGCTGCCGGACAGGGACCGGGCGCTAAAGGCCGGAACCAAATGATGAGATAACAAGTCAATCGACCAGAGACCGTTGCCAGAGACTCGCTCAGCTCACCCGTGACTGGGCAGCGCTGTACTGCCGTGGGTCACGTTCACCCGTTATGGATCTGTACTGAGTTAAGTGACGGGATCTGTTGACCTCCTCATAGATCGTTACTACTCATTTTAAATGTAGAACAGGATCTGGGGGGCGGCCGTCGGTGCTGGGACACTGGACAGGAGCAATTGGAGAGTCGAATAGATCTGCCTCTGCCCCCCCCCCCCCCCGGGAAGCCACGTTCCCAACAGGACTCGTGGATACAAACCCAGGACACTCAGCTCTGAAGCCCAGGGAGATACATACCCGGGTCCATTGCTCATTTAGTGCGAGACATCGAGTCATAAAAGAACCGCAGGGCTTAAATTTGCAGCGAAAGACGGGGAAATCACACACACGCCGGGTTAACGGCTCAGTTAAGTTCTCTTTGGAATAATGCCCCAATATCAGCAATTATTATTATTATTATTATTATTAAGGGGGACATCTTCGACCCACCAGTTTGGGCAACATTCAGAATGTTAATCCCAGATGTGAGCGGGGTATCCCGAGCTAAATAAAGGCATCAAACCACCCCCCAGTGACCTGGGATTCTGAATATTCTGCGCTACTTTACACCGTCATTCTGAAATCCCACTGAGGAGATGTGTCTGTTTGTGCAGAATCTGTACCATCCTCACTTGACCGACCCCCCCCCCCCCCCCCGGGGACAAGTCAGATCGAAATTTACTGTTAAAATGTCACAAAAGTCTCCCCAAGATTTCTTAAGGATTCGATTAGTCGGAAGATGATTGTTTTTTTGGGGTGTGTGTGTGGGGGGGGGGGGGGGCGGTGGGGGGTTTACATGAGATGTCTGGGTGTGGGCACTCACATTCCTCCCCGCCTCGTTGTTGTGGAGGTTCATGGCGGCTCTGGCGTCCTGTCCAGTTTCGAGAGCGTCTACGAACTGCTTAGAGATTCTTTCCCCAAATTGCACGTTGTCGCTGCAGCCTCCCCAGATCCATCCTCTCCCCCCTGCGGGACAAGCCGACATGGTCAGGGGCACGACCCCCCCCACACACACACAGACACACACACACAGCATTGGCCCCTCTTTTGACGCAGACCGTGTGTGGACAATAACCGGTGCGTAATTTAACGAAAGGACCATTTTATCGGTGACCTTCGATGGGAGGATGCGACGCTAAGCGAAGCTCACCAGTCTGACCACTCTTGGATTCATCACAGCCGCAGTTTTCGAAGTCCCCCAGACTGCAGTTCCTGGTCAGGGTGTACATGACACCCGCAGAGCTGATCGCGTGCACGAAAGAGGTTTCCCTGGTGGCTTAAGGGGAAAAGCATCAAATCGCTTAGTGACGGCCAACGGGGAGAAAAATATATACATATAGAGAGAGAGAGAAATAAAATCAGGACATGTTATTCTGTCCGTACATCAGCAACAAAAAGGGGAGACGGCAAAATACTTACCGCTCCGAAGGCCGTTGTGAGTGGAGAGTTGCAGTGCGCTCTCCGGACAGTTCCAGCGCTCCCACGCGAACTGGTGTTTGCACTCCTCGATCCCGGATTCAGCCCCGGCAGCCACACTGCTGGAGTAGGTCAGGAATGCCTACACACCCCCACACACACCCCCACACACACACACACACACCCACACACACACCCACACACACACACAGGGGGGGAGCGTTAGTCACTACGCACTCCCGCGACGCGCGTGGAACTCCACACCAAGTCAGTGGATGTGCGTGTGACCGCTTCGCGGGGCGTGACGGTGGTTGGCAGCTGGGAATTACTTTACAGAGCAGACAGAGGAGTTTTTATTTTTATTTTTTTTTAAATGACAAAGCGTCGGGATATCCCAGTGAAGGTCATCATTTACTGCGTTCGGATCAATTCACCAACAGGGCTGTCTGTCGGTGCCCAAGTCGAGCGTTACTCGATGGCACCTCCTAAAAGCTAACTCTGGGGGAATGGTAAAGCTTTCCCAGTGCTGTATATGGTTCAAGTCGGTAACCATCCTCGATATAACGGTATTCTTGGTTAAGTGGACGATATTATAACGGTTCACAGCTGCTCACAGGATGATGCTCGAGGTTTGTGAATGCAAACCATCCGGTAGGAGGCTGTGTGCAATGTAAAGGGAAAAAAATGGGGCTAAATGTTTTAAGTGCGTCTTTCAAAACGCACTGACATTTAACCCTAAAAGATTTAAGTCGAGTTCTATTCGGAATTCCAAACCAGTAGAGAAATAAAGAGAATTACAAACTCGCCTTTGGTCCAGTCATCAGGAAGTTGTTGACGGACCTGCAACGACAGAACGCACGATCTGAGCTGCTTTCCAGAGAGGAGAGAGAGAGAGAGAGAGAAAATGCACATCGAAATCTCCCCCTAAAAAACCCTGCTATAATCAACACGAGTTATCCGAGGGGCAGCTTACCACGATGCAGTCGGGGTGATGATGTGACTGTAAATGAACAGGGTGTAAGCCAGGACTTGGGCGGCTCTCATGGTCTCTCTCTGCTCCTCTCTCTGGGAGTTCACTCTGCAATCAGAAAAAAAAAGGCTCCACAACTCAAGCAGCAGCGAGTTAGGGTCACATCACTCCCCTACTTATATAGGGCTGCAGTCAGGGGTTTGGGGAGGATTTCTTTTGTTGCTGGTTAACCATTTCGAAGCCAGTCAGTGTGTGAAACCGAGGTGTGGCCAACAACAGTCTGGAAAAGCCCAAGTAATGCATTTCAAAAGAACCTGTCACCACCTCTCCCTCTCCCTCTCCATGGGCATTCAATGGAAACCTCCACCATCGCGTTGCCTTCAGCGCTACAGCGTTTGATGGCATTTACGCAGCTCTCGAGAGAGACGCTTACTTTTCAGACTTATAGATAATAAAATAAAATAATTGACCATGGCTTCATTGGAGATGATTTGGGGGGTCCGTGAGTTGTGCGCCCGCTTCCAGTTTCGATGGGTTGCGTTTCAGAAGCTTTGCCAAGAAATCCCAATGCGGTGGTCTTTTCTGTGTCCAGAGTTCTTGTGACTGCAGAAAAATAACCTGCTCTGGTTTACCATCTACCGTTTATTTCTCTTTGCACTATTAGAAATACCTACTTTACCGATGGCAACTTTCCAAATATCACACACGTGGGGGGGGGGAATTAATTAGATCATTCCACGAAACCTTGGGCAAGTTTCCTTACTCCGCACGCCTGATCGTAAACCCTCAAGAAAGAGTAATAGTAAATTGTGGTCACTTCAATCCACGGCTGTTCGTGGGGACGCTGCTGTGCGCGACCGGCTGCCGCGTTTCGCCCACAAAATATACAGTCAATTCACTTTACAGTATATTCTCTGAAGAGCTTTGAGACGTCTCGAAGACGTGATAAGGCGCCGTATTAAATGCAAGGATTATTATTGTTATTATAATCATCAAAGCAACACAAGCATAAATATACCTTATAAAGCATATATATGTAACGGTTTAAATCCATTGCAAACTACATTAGTAAATCTTGACAGTAATGCAGCACACGTTTCTTTTAAAATTACAATCCCGATTGCTTGGATTGGAAATTGTATATTATTGTTCCACTTTTTAACGCTGGTAATAAAGGTTTATCAGGCGGTTTGTGTCTGTTGTGCCCCCCCTCCCCAGACACCAATTAATGCATATTGGGACAACAGTAAAAACAAAGGGAGCCTGGGGCTGGACTGGCACTTGTCAATGGGTATCGAGCTTTAATTAATGAATGCAAATGTTTCCTAATGAACTCACATCTAACTTATATTAGGGCTTTCGAGCCGTGCCCGAGAGACATCTACCAACGTGCAGTTTAAGTTGTTCTCCCTCCAAAATAATCCCTCCAAAACCAAAGACAATGATAAATTGGTCATTTTCAATCCACGACTGTTTGTGGGACATTGCTGTGCGCACTTGGCTGCCGTGTTCGCCCACAAATATACAGTCAATTCACTTTACAGTGTGTTCTGTGAAGCGCTTTGGGACGTCCTCCCGACGTGAAAAGCGCTATATCAAATGCAAGGATTATTATTATTATCATTTTCCGTATGCAGTACCCATTAAAATCCAATTCTGGCAAGTTAAAGATGGGAAAACTCTTAATATACGCATTATTTGGACCCCGCAACATGAAGGACGGCTCGGTTCTATCCAATAGAAAGCAAAGCAAAAGATGTAGAAGTTTTTCTACATTTAACAAAGTGCTAACGTAATAAAACGACGCATTTAAGTCGACAGCCACAACATAGCGACATTGCAGTATCAAGAGTGAATTACAGTGTCAGTTAAACCAGGGAGAAAGAGGTCAACTTTTTAAGGAATGTTACAGGGAAGTTTGGCGGATGATACATTTTACGGTTTCATTGGATTTAAGGTCCACACAAAAGTTAGGTTAATGTCGTTAGCTAACTAACTAACCAACCAACAATGTGAATGGATAAACTAGGCAATCAAGAAAATACTTCCTGAGTTTTCCACCAATATCAGTAGAAAATCCACTAACCAAAACCCAACATAGCTACAAACACAGGCAGGTTTATTACAAACCTTTGCACTCTTACACGCAAACCTCTTACACACAACACATTGTAACTTTTTTTATATATATATATATCTATTTCACAAGTTTCAGAAACCAGTCCCATTTTAACACCAGCTTGGATTTCCCATCATTTAGTTTAAAAACAAGTGGTGAATCTAAAGAGCTCCATTCGAAGTGAAAGTTACTTTCCTGAAAGATATTTCATTTGTAAGGTTCTGGGAATCCCACGGAGTGAATATGTCGATTAAAGCTTTTCACCTGGTTCTTGAAAAATGAATCTGACCAGTGGAAGAGGAAACCTCAGAGATCCAAGGTGTCAGAATTCAGGCAGCAATGAGAAGAAACTTTCATTGAGGCCCAATTCCTACAGAACTAGAATATATAGGCCCAACAACAGACTAAAACGGGAGCAAATTGGCTAAACCTGTTGTTTGATTAGTTAAGCTTTGATTACAATAGCTCACCGATTCAGCAGCTGAAGTATATTCATTGATACCAATGCAGCCATTTCACCCTTTAAATATAGTCAAAGAGTATTTCTAATTCAATTATGCATCATTTAGTCCTCGCTTAGGAAATCTGTATGTTTAAAGGTTCAACAAAAATGCATTTATAGCTGTGAAAAGTTTAATTCTCCAGTTATTTTTCAATTAAAGTGCAAATATATGTTTTTAAATCTACTCAATCCTGAGAATGTATCTAAAAGGTAAGGAAGAGAATATGCTTGCACATCAACCAGGATAGGAGTTTAATTTATTTAGAAATAAAGTTGTATAATAATACATTTCATTAAAAGGTTAGGACTAGCTACATTTTCCCCCTCAAATCAAATGGTGCTATTAGTTATGCAGGATAATTGTTGTTCTGTTACCGTCTGTAGAGTTTTTAGTAACATTTCTCTACTGTATTTGCAAACATTTGATACAAGTATGGTTTATAATAACAATAATAAAACTATTTGGAAAAGCGGAAGGATGTCCTAGAAACAAACAGGCTTGTTACTGGATAATCTTCAGAATAAACAAATAATATTGGTCAAATTGGCTAATAAAGATGGGAATTAATGATATTGCAATTGAATTTCTTCTGAATTAAGCTGCAAATGGTTGAATGTTACATTTCATCAGTGTAATGGCCCTATTCTGGCACCTGGTTGACCATAACGAGCCATTTTCTGTTGAAATGTACCTTCGAGTAATGATATTTTCCAGTGCTTTTTATCTTAAAGGAGATAGCACCCAATACCAGAATAGACCAAGGGTAATAGTATCTGCGGGCTGTTTGAGGTTAGGACAAGGTGCCAAATCTGCAACACCTCAAGTGTCACAACGTGATCAACTTAAAAGTCGGGGAAGTGTCTCGAATGGTGCTATTTTTTAATTTAAAAAAGTATTATATTCTGAATGAAAATCCTGCTTCTTAAAGTGAAGGTTTTAAATTACTAGTATTAATGTATCCTGATCAAATCAGATCTCCTAACTTTAAAGGAAATGAACATATTATAATCCATGTATCTGCCAAATGCAAAATTATTGTTATTTGGTAAAAGTGAAAGGATGTTTGGGTGTTGGGAAATTTACGTTGTATTAAATGACCTTGTGATACCCATGATACCCAAAGCCATTCTGAGGGCAATATTGCAATAGATTTCAATGTGGATTGTCGTTTTGGGTTATACACTTGGCTTTATCAACTAGAGGTTTTATCCAACTTTAATATAGTTACCTAAATATTAATATTCTTGCCCCTCTGCTGGAGGAATCTTGCTGGGACAATGTCAGCTCTCCAGTAATTCACTCAATTACACATTCTTCATATCAGACTTCAATCAGTAAGTGTCGGCTACTTATTTATGGAATACATCTCAGCTGAGTTTGAGTTGGTTCCTGCCCAACACTTCCAAAGGTAGACTTTTGGTGGCGGGTGGTTAGCAGTCTCCCAGAGAAAAATACAGTCAACCACTTCTTGACAGTTTGTGGAATGATGCTATGAACAAATACAGTGCTATGTTTTCCTACAATTGCACTGGCACTACACTTTACAGTAAATATTGAATGCAAGTACTGTAGTATTATTATTTCTAGTGACTAGAGGTCATTAATTTAACAAAGGCGCAAAGGGAGGAGATCAGGAGGATTTTATTTGCAGTTGTTAAGATGTCAGATACCTTGTTGGGTACCATGGTTGAAGCAGAATCCATATAATAATAATTCTTACATTTAATATAGTGCCTTATCGCCTTCAATTTTTTAAATAATTTGAAGGGATTATTACCCATGGAAAAGCAATCCGCCAAATGACTAATAACCAGGTTCCTACTTACTGCGAGGTAAACAGTGGTGTGTGGAGTAAGGAAACATGCCCAATTTTTTGCCCTCACCGAGAATTGAACCTAGATCCTCTCGCTTGCAAGACGAGTGATCTAACCACTAAGCTACAGGACTCCACAGATTGTCTTTTAAGAGAAAAATAGACGGATTCTGTATTTAAGACAGTAATTCGTGGATATGAGGAAATAACAGCTAAATGGGCCTTAATGGATTTCTCTTCCAAGGAGCTGGAATTAGATCAATTCCTATGTTTCTATATTATCTCACCCCAAGGGTGATTCTTGTATTTGGTCATCAACAGACTATTTGACTGGGAAAGAGGGAAGATGACTTGTGTAATGTCTTGGTCTGATGTCTAATTTCTAGCATCCGGATCACTCCCTCGCGTGAAGGGCGCTATATACAGTAAATATTGAATGCAATAAATTGTTGTTGTTGTTTATCCTGACCCCTCGCTCGGGCCCGAAACTCTGACTGTCCAGCGCCTTGGGACGTCCTCCCCACTGTGAAAGGGCGACACAAGCGTCACGTTGTTGTTGGTGGCGGTGGTGCCACATTGGACGTGATCGGACCTGACTTTGGGGCGATTCATTTATTAAATCCAGAATATCCGGTTCAATCGGTTTCATATATATATATATATATACATACATACAATATATACAATTGCAATTTTATATTTCATAACTAACATTTATTGTGTGACAGTGACAGACGTTTCAGTATTAATCACTGGTATTCCAGGTGAGTGGGTGTCTGGAGGGCACCAGGAGAGAGAGAGAGAGAGAGAGGGACTCCCTCCGCCTTTTTTTTGAACAGTGGCACAGATTCGATATTGCACCCGATACGATATAACTTACTACCGATAGGGCGGGACATGTGGGGGTTTTTTTTTGATTGACAATATTTAGGCTTTTTTATTACCAACGTTGTTCGATACCGTTTCGGCCGCAAATTGTACGGTCGATCAATTCGCTGCGCGCGGTGCGCTGCCAAAGGGGCTTTGAGGCGTCTCGGAGACGCGATAAGATAACGGCGCTGTGCGCCCAACGCCGGGGATTTGCTGCTGATTGTGGGCATCACGGCGTTCCCACACCACCGGCCCCTGTGCTCAGTGCGTGTCCCATTGGCGAGGCCCGACTGATTGACAGCTGGAATGTGCCCTTCTGGGGCGGGGTCAGCCGGCGGCCTCCGACCCAATCAGAGGCCGGGATACTGAGCGCCTGGCCGGATCCAGCCCGTGGCGGGGCGGCTTGTTGGCCGGTGCCGGTCGGTATATAAAAGGCCACGCGCTGGCGGTACCGGAGTCCATTTTGAAGAGAAATCCCGGCCGGGGCCCCGCTTTGTGACTGACTGGAGCGAGAGCGCGAGGGAGACGCCGCCGCCTCTGCTTCACAAACAAACCCACCCACCCCACCGACCGATTGAAATCTTCCCGATCATTCGTTAAATTTTTATTATTTTTTTAAAAAAAAATCCCGATTTCTTTTCTTTTTTTAAAAAAAAACCCCCCTCAATCGCCCGCCCTCCCTCCACACGCGCTCTCTCTCTCTCTCCCTCTCTCTCTCCATCTCTCTCAAAAATGGCGGACGCCGAGCAAAAGTACGTGGACGGGCCCGAGAACGGTCACTTCGAAGACGACGGGGAGGAGGGCGGTCAGGGCCAGGGCCAGAGCCAGGGCCAGGCCGCGGGCGGGGACAGTGCGGCGGCGGCGGCGGCAGCGGCGGCGGACGGAGCCGAGCCCCAGCCCCAGGCCGAGGGCGAAGGCTCGAAGATTAACGCCAGTAAAAACGAAGAAGACGCGGGGTAAGAGGGCGGTGCGGGGCGGCGCGGGCTGGGTTTTGCCGCGCTTTGCTCCCAGGGCCCTCCCTCCCTCCCTCCGTCCCTCCCTCCCGCCCGCCCGCCCGCGCGAGGCCCCGCTCTGTCCTCTGAGGGGAGGTGGGGGCGGGCGGGAGGAAGGTGCGGTGGTGTGGGTGGGGGGTGTTGGCTTCTACTCGAGTTGGCTTGAAGCCGGGGGTGAAGTGGCCCCTTTTTAAAGGTCGGTGCATCGCGGCCACGCGCTGCGGCCGGTACCGTCCCTCACCGGCCCCGGGAGGGGGGGGGGAGGGGTGTGTGTGTGTGTCTCTCTCTCTCTATGCCCCACGTCTTTTCTCCCCCAAACCACACACCCACCGGGGGAGCAGCCGATCCCGATGTGATTTGTTTTGTTGTTGTTGTTGTTGTTGTGTGGGGGGTGGGGGCTTTTTTTTTAAAAAAAATATTTTTAATCGGGGGATAAAAAAAAGACGCGAGAATAAAACCGTCACGGATCGGATTGAGGTGTTCTCGTTCGCGCCATCGGGATCAACGGGGGGGGGGGGGGGGGGGTGGGTGGGTGTGGTGGGGGGAGGTGGGGGTGTGGGTGGGGGGGGGGACAGGTGGGGTGAGGGGGGGGGGTCTGGCTCGGCCCCGCCAATTGCTTGTTTGAAGCTCTCTCCACTTGACCGCCTTTCTTTGTTAACACACACACACACACACACTGCTGGTGAGTCTTTGTTGGCGCCATGTGCTTTGCAGACTGGGGTGGTGGGAGTGGGGGGGTATGAAACCCGCTAACAAAGACTCCTCTTCTTACCCCCCCACCACCACCACCAACTCTCCCCACTGTCTTTTTTTTTTGCCACAGGAAAATGTTTGTGGGAGGCCTGAGCTGGGACACCAGCAAAAAAGACCTGAAAGATTATTTCGCCAAATTCGGCGAAGTGGTGGACTGCACCATCAAGATGGATCCCGTGACCGGCAGATCCAGGGGGTTCGGGTTTATTCTCTTCAAGGAATCTGTGAGCGTCGACAAGGTGAGGAGGACCGAGAAGGGGGCCCTGAGCGGAAAATGAAAGCAGCGTTTCCTCTGAAACGGCAATTACATTGTCTCTTTATGGTGCAACTTTTTTTTAAAACGGGACAGCAGTTGAGTTACTTAGAACAGAAAAATTGCATCTAATTTGAATATAATCTACTACGTGGTAGCAATTTAGTAGATTAGTTTAGGAATTTAGTTGGGAATAGTGAAGTAGATCTACAAAACGTCCAATTTTATCTGCAAAGTTTTATGATGTGGCAATTGAGTTGAAAGGAAGCAATCGAAAGAGTGCAGGTATTGTTTTTACGATTCAGAAGTGAAACAGCAATGACATACGTTACAGTAATTGTTTTCTAGCTAATAGGTGGTGCAGTCATACATTGATAGGTAGTGTCTAGGCTTTTTGAGCCTACATTAGAGAATTTACTCGGGGCCATACTAAAACTTATCAAAATTAATGTTGATTGCTGTATGATGGCATCTAAAGTCATGCACCTGCACAGATAGGGTGGTGGTCAGCTGAGAGCAAGTGACTGACGTCTTGAGTTAGTTTTGAGTTTAAGATAAAAATATTTTATGTATATGCACACGTGTTAAATTAGTTCTAAACTAAAGCACTGCCATTTTACTATAGGAGTCTTAACTCTTGTGGAAGGAGAATGAGTAAGTAAGACAGTGATGGGGAAGGAGAAAATGATTTGGAAGCTAAGAAAAAAGATGGGGGTTGGGTGGAGGGTATGGTATCAACTTACAATTTTAAGCATGTCTTGCCCATGAATATTAGGCAGACGTCAGTGTTACTTGCTACTCATTTCAACAAGATTTATTGCAGAATCGTGTTAACATCTTGGGTTTCATTCCATTCACATATTTTGAGTCTTGAATTTTTAAATCTAGGGCTAAATTAGAAATAGCCTGCATATTGTCTTCTATCATGTTCATATCTAAGATAAGGATAAATGCTGACCCATTTCATTCCTGTGGAGTCCTGTAGCTCAGTGGTTAGAGCACTCGCTTTGCAAGTGCGAGACCTGAGTTCAATTCCAGGCAGAGGGCGAAACCTTGGGCAAGTTTCCTTACTCCACACAGAGCCCAATAATAATCCCTCCAAAACCAAAAACAATAATAAATTGGTCATTTTCAATCTATGACTGTTTGTGGGACATTGCTGTGCGCAATTGGCTGCCGCGTTCGCCCACAAATATACAGTCAATTCACTTTACAGTGTGTTCTATGAAGCGCTTTGGGACGTCCTCCCGACGTGAAAAGCGCTATATCAAATGCAAAGATTATTATTATTATTAATTAGGAACTGTTGTGTTGCTATGAATGTTTTTAACTGCAGGGGGAAATTAGAGCAGTGTATTCAGAAGGTAAACAACTTTCTTCAGAATTTAAGATTAGTGATAAATGTATAAAGTTCTTAACCTCCAATACAAAATTACAAATTTCAAAACATAATTTACCCAGGAAGCCTCAAAATACGAGCATTTATAGCATCAAATTAAAGTTAAATATCAAGCCTGAATTTTTAAATTGGACCTCAGTCTGTCCTGTGCAGACTTCTTACATGATTTTCTTGTTTGTAGGTTTTGGAACAAAAAGAGCATAAACTGGATGGAAGAGTCGTTGATCCTAAGAGAGCAATGGCAATGAAGAAAGAACCTGTAAAGAAAATTTTTGTTGGAGGTCTTCATCCTGACACTCCAGAGGACAAGATCCGAGAATACTTTGGAGCTTTTGGCGAGGTTGGTTTATTTTCAATGAGTGTACATTTACCTCCCCCCCCCCCCACCCCCCCCTCTAACTGGACTAATAACTGACATATATGCAAGTTTATTTTTGTGACTGTCATGGGCCCCAGGGATCTTTGTTTGATTCCAGCTATTCAAATTTACTGTTGCAGCACTTGGACAGCATTCTGAATTCCACTATAAGATCAAAGTTTCTGGATTAGTGGTAAAAATCTGATCCTGTAGATAATATTTGCTGTCTTTCACTTCTGGTCTTGTGACAAGGAGAATTAAGGGGGAAGATGGAGATAATCAATACCCAGAGTTCCTCCGAGCTCCTGATGTCCTTTGTTTTGGAATTCCAACTTGCCTTCTAAAAGGCTGTGATCCAGAGTGGTTACCAGCTAGTATTTCATCCTAATGTCACTAATCACGGCCTGTGGAGTGACTCAGATGGTGGTATAACTCATTTTGAAGCATGACTGTGAAGTTCGATGGTCATCAATGGAGCTGGCTCTAAGGAAATTATAGTAGCTAAACATGGAGGTGCTGCTGGGTGAATAACACTCTGTCATGTACAATGTACAGTAGTACTCAGACAAATTAAAATGGAAGGCTGCTGCTGCATGAGCTGTTAATATGCTGAGGGTTAGTACTGTGAAAGGTTTTTTGTATGCATTTGGTTTAATAAAGTGCCCGACTCAGTGTCTTGATTTTATTTTTGTTCAGGTGGAATCAATTGAACTGCCCATGGACAGCAAGACCAACAAGAGGAGAGGATTCTGTTTTATCTCATTTAAAGACGAAGAGCCAGTGAAGAAGATTCTGGAGAAGAAATACCATGATGTTGGAACCAGCAAGGTAGCAGTCACACAATGTTTGCGTTGGAAACTGTTTATTCTTTAAACTGTATTTGTTGACATTTTTTCTTGTGTTTTTAATAGTGTGAAATCAAGGTTGCCCAACCTAAGGAAGTCTATCAGCAGCAACAGCAATGGGGAGGCCGAGGTTCCTTCACAGGAAGGGGCAGTGGACGTGGACGTGGAGGAGGAAGTGGGGAAGTAGTGGTGGTAAGTTATTGCATACTCCATTTACTAATGTAGGAATAAAAAGGCATGTTTAATAGTGCCTAATTATTCACTTTTTAATTCAAGGTCAAAGTCAGAACTGGAATCAAGGATACAGCAGTAGCTACTGGAATCCAGGCTATGGCAGCAGCTATGGTTACAGTGGTCAGGGTGGCTATGGTGCCTATGGCGGCTATGATTATACTGGCTATAACTACAATAGTGGTTACTATGGTGGATATGGACAAGGATATGACTACAGTAAGTATGTGCTAGAATGATTGTCCTATTGTGAATCCCACAGGGCCTAAACACTGAGCATGCTAAAGCTCTGTGCATGCTGATTCAGAATTAACATTTCATATGTTTTGAAGAATGGGAGTGATTTACTTTAACATTTAAGTAAAATTAACCCTGTGCACTCTAGTAGACTTCATCTACATACATGGGATTATTAGGTGATCTCAATTAGAGATGCACATTCATTTTGGTACTCTCTTGCACCTCACTTAAGTTGGCCTTTTTCCCCCCAAAACTTGCCAGAGAGCAGCGAGTTAACTATATGTTTGTTCTCATTCAGATCAGAGTAATGGTAACTACGGAAAAGCTTCAAGACGTGGTGGGGCGGGTCACCAGGGTGGTTACAAACCATATTAAAATGGACTGTGAATGCAGGTATGTCATTTCCAGTAATTATATACAATTCATCATAAATTACAGAATAGGTATTAAAAATGTGCGTCCTTTTGGATGGCCCACTTATACAGCAAATGTAATTGGACTGGAAATGAATCCATACGCACAGTCCTTTCAAATGTGTACATTACTGTTAGATGATGAGGTTGTGTCATGTTAACAAATCTAATGAAGCTACATTCCACATGGAATACATAGCAAATGTCTGCTAATCTGCCATTATTTGGTTAGATTGACATGAAAAGGCAACATTTGCACAAGGAATTCACACTGCTTAGTAACCCAAGCCCAATGCCATATTATTTAATACTTAGGATGTGAATGGAGGTACATATTAATTGAATGATGTAGGCAATATAGGGATTGGGTTAGAATCCAAACTGTTCCCATTGCTTGCTGCCTGCCAATTTCAGGTAGAACTCTGCTTAATAACTTGTTCTTGTAATGAAGGAAAGCAGCTTTAAGATGACTCCTATCAATGTCATAAATAAATAGGCTGGAGCCTATTTTTTCATGTGGTTATATTGGAATCAAAAAATTTCTTCCCAAATAGAAAGCTTGCCTTCTCTGTGCAGTGTAAACTTATGGTTCAGTACAACACTTGATGCAGTTAAATGTTTTATTTTAATCCTATTATTTCACTGGTCTGTTTTTCTACTAACTGTCTTGGATAATAGTTTGATAATTTGGGAGACGGTTGAGGAGTCTTGTCCAATTAAAGGGTATATTTTATATTTTATGTTCTTACAAAACTAATAGGCCATGTTAAACTTAGTTATGTAAAATGGTGGAGTTAAACTGATTCGAGGTTTGGAAATGATTTTTGTGTGATGGGTTTAGGTGGTCTTCATCAAATTCTCATCTCACTTGTGGGGAATTTGTTTGAGTGCAGTAGTGTGCTTATGCAATTGGATTTGTGTAATCTGGAGCATTGAAATGTTGTATTCTAATAGTTTAAAAGTGACTTAAGATTGTCCACATAGCCATTCTTCCCAGAACTTAGTGATGCATGTCGAGGTCTGTTTTTTTGCTTCACTCTGGGAGCCAGTCATGTGCTGCCATGGAGTAATGGAACGATATTTGAGTTTCAATGAAGGTTGATCCTATTTTTGGTTGACAATACACAGATGGAGAATGTAAGCCCACTTTCTCCCACTTATTGAGAGATTTTCAAGTCAGATGCAGTAGCTTTAAACATTGCCCAGACTGGCTCAACTTAGCATTGGGCTGAATTTTTGTTTTGCTTTTATGTAATTTCCGGATAAGACTCCTGAAAATGAAATTATTATGAAAAATGGTATTTGAAGTGTTCCAAATGGACCACAATATTTTAACCGAATGTTGAATTGAAACGTTTTTAACAGTCTGATTACACAAATGTTTGTTCTCCAAGTATTCCTTTGAGATTTTAAAAGTATACTGATTTACTGAGGTACAAATAAAGGGCAAATTTGTTGAAATCTGACTGTTCCTTATTTGTGCCATCTGGCAGGAACCTCTTGCAGGCCATTCCCCCTGAACTACACTTGGGCCCGCACATTGCACACGAGATGGTTGTGCTCTCGCATGCTGCACTGTGGTATGGTCTTTTCCAACCTGGTGTCAAAATAATGCAAATGTAGTGCTAACTATTCTAGCAGGTCCTGTAATGGTTAACTTAGACCAAGTTTCAATATTTGCCATTCACCGAACTTTGCTGTTAAAACATTTTTAAACTAGACTTTTGTAGCTTGCTTTTAAACTTCTGGAGTAATTTGTGTTGTAGAAACTTTAAGCATTTGCTTGTAGTTCAACAGCTCATGTATTGTGAACATGAATGCTGGCCAACAGTTGTGTAGCTTATTAGGATTTTTTGGGGAAAAGTTTTTAAATTAGGTTGATAAAATGTTGCAGTCATTTTGTCTAAATAATACTGACCAAATATGGGTATTGATTAAAAGTAATGCTTAATGTCAGCACTTGTAACTTCATGCTGTTGCTATTTTTTGAGGCAACTAATATTTTACTTTTTTTATTTTTTTAGGTCATCGGCTTGGTAAAAACTTTCATGGGTCCTCTAAACGCAGCTGTGTTGCACTTAGGGACTAACATTTCTTTGGACTGTTGACTCTGGATTACTCCCCAAATGTACAGATTAAGTTTTAGGGAAGCCTATGTCACTTTTCCACTTTTTTTATTTTGTAGTCTGTCTGTGTCGTACATTTCCTGTGATGGAAGTGGTTTTTACCGTACTTTTTGGTACCTTATGGACTCTAATAATGTATAATGTAAGTTTGTATTTTGCATAATTACTGGATTTGCAGCAATGACTTGGTTATTGGAGCTGTCCGAGTTCTTGAAATAAAAGTTCCTTTTGTGTATTCTGTGTTGAATGAATTCTGTTGGCATTTAAGATTTCACAAATCATCTTTTGTTATTAGACCAAAAAGGGGTTGTCACTGCAAATGTGTATAAATTAAAAATAAGACCAGAAAGATTAATATGTACTATTGTGTTGGTGTCTTAATATAGTTGGTTAGGTTATTTGGGCATTAAGTTTGCATTTTTAACTGCTTTAAATGCCCTTTTTTAAGAAAAGAGAAAGGTTTAAAATTCCCCCACCTACATTATTGTGAATCCTATTTTATATACAAACAAGCACAAGTGTATGGAAAGACAAATGGGTACACAAGCTTTAAAACAATTATTCAAAGACTCAATTGTGTAACTAACCCATTGTCAGAGCAGCTTGCAATTTATATTTTCATTCAGGCTGGAGGCTTGACGTTTGATTACATCCTGACTGACCTGGAGGAATAAGGGAAAACATCTTTTTAAGTCTGGCAGTTGTGCAATTAGTGTTCAATTATTATTCCCTCATTATTGATTTAATGTAATGCAGTAAAATGTGTGCTGCTCATCCATCCGCTTCATTTATAATTCACATCCTAAAATGTGATTACTTCCTTAATTACTGTAGTTAACTAAACCGTTTTAAATGGAGATTTATACGTATAAGGCAACCATTAGGCACTTTTGTTCCAAATGAACTCGATAGGTATTCCACCAACATTTTTGAGTTGCAAAATGCAGCATTTGAGNAAAAAGGTCTAACACTGGAGCAGTGTTGGGTAAGGATCTTTCCTCTAGCACTCTGCAGCATACAGGGGGCAAGATGTCAAGCTTAATGCATTTAACATGAGTATTTTCACCTCTGTCCCAACACAATGGATGATCCCAGAAGGTGTCAGATTTTTCCGGCTCCTGTTTTTGTTTAGTTGCAATACAATTTCTCGGGTAGCTCCGTTGGCTGCCAGAGAACCCTTTGGTCCCTCATCTTAAGGGGCAATCGCATTAGTCGAGAATGCAAATACAAACCAAGTTATGCAACCATAAGGGGCAACACTGCTAAGGCCTGTACTGATAAAACAATAACAAATTCAAAAATGCTGAGGCTAACTTGAATTATTTTCATACCCTGAAAAGTTATATTGCAAAGATTTCCCTGTGTGGGTTACAACTTAAATAGTAGTAACTGCCTCCCCCACAGATTTTCTTTCCCCCCCAACTTACCAGAAAGTATTTTATCTATCTTGTTGACCACAAACTTGGCATTTTCCATGGTGAAGCACATTGGGGGCTTGAATTTGATGACATTTCGGTCTGGCCCGTCTGTCGAAATCAAGATGAATTCTTCCTTCATCCTAAACAGTGGAGTACCATCAAATGAAATCTAGTTCACCTTCTACCATCCTGGCAGTTGCTTTACTTGTGTCCCACACTATACTATGTAATACTTATACTGCATTGGGTTGAGACATATTGCCCAAATAGCAATTTAAAAAAAAGCTTTGTACACCTGAAAAATCTTCACAAATATGATATTCATACCTTTCAACTAAATTCTTCGCCACTTCTGGAGCAGGTGTTCTCTCCTGTCGATCATTTACCAACTCGACTCCAATAAATAGGCCAGCCCCCCTTTGGGTACAAAATAAAAGAAGTGGTCTGAGGTAATGGCGGCAAGGAAATCAAAAGTATCTTAACACTGATCAGATCATTCCAATACCTGACATCACCGATGGCTGGGTGTTTGGCTTTCAGTTCATTCAACAAGGACATTAAGTAGGTACCAACACGTAAGGCATTTCCTCTTAGATCTTCCTTTTCAATGACATCCAACACTGCCAGGCCTATTGCACAGGATACAGGATTCCCTCCAAACTAATCACAGCAATGACAATCCAGTTAGAGTGCGAGAGAGAAAAACATCATTTCCCAGTGTGTGTCCTTTCACCTCAATGATCAAACAACAAGATTCATATTTTTTGAAATGAGCGTCAACTAAGGTGTCTGAACATGCAGATACCTAACGGGGATAATACTTCCTTCAAAAAAAATCGCAATGGTCACCGAATTCACGACGGTTTGTGGGGACGCTGCTGTGCGCAATAATTGGCTGCTGTGTTTCGCCCACAAATTACACAGTCGATTCACTTTACGGTATATTTTGTGAAGCGCTTTGAGACGTGATAAGGCGCTGTATCAAATACACGGATTATTATTAGCACGCTCCAAAGTATCCAACCTAGAGTTGCATGTATCTCACCTACACGTAGAAATTCCCGTCTATTGGAACTAAATGTTCACTCCCACTTTCTAGTAAAAGGTAATGGATTACGATGAGGAGGGAGGCCTCAAGCAGATTTTTCCCTTTTCTAGTTCAGTTACCACAAGTCCCACTGTACTGCTAATGGTCGAGCTGAGATTAGGTAACTCCGTACAATTATGAGATCAAACGTGGGAGCTTCCCTGTACACAGGGCTGGGTATACCTCGGGCAGTAGGTTTGAGACTCTTAATTGGAAATTTTCATTAGCTGCAAATACCTAAATCGGGGTCACCTTAACTTCTGAGTTGCTTTTGTATTTAATGGAATTAAATTAACCCCCAGCTCGGGTGCCAAAGCCAGTATTTTAAGCGCCTTGGGATGTTCTCCTGACTCGAAAGGCGCTATTTAAATGTAAATTTGGATTGTATCGTAATAACAAATGAAAATATTAATGAATTCGGCCTCGCTCAGCTGGTAGCATTCTAGCCTCTGTGACCAGAAGCTGTGGGTTTGAGTGCATCGTCTCAGCTGTCAGTCAGCGTCTTGTAGTGATGTCGGAGATGCCATTCTTTGGAGGAGACATTATAATATAATCCTTGCATTTGATACGGTGCCTTATCACGTCTTCGAAACGTCTCAAAGCGCTTCACAGGATGTACTGTAAAGTGAACTGACTATGTTTTGGGAGTGAAACGCAGCAGCAGCACAGCACAGTCCCACAAACAGTCGTGGATTGATTGAGTGACCAAATTATTATTATTATTATTTTTTTGAAGGGTTTATTACCCCTAGAAAAACGATCCACCAATCGATTAACAACCACGTTCTTATAAGTCATTGCTTTAGGCATATTTAACTGCCCACATTTGCCTACAAATACAGTCACGATACTTAACATTAAAGTGTTTAAGTGCTTTAAAATGTTTTGACATGATAAGTCAATATATCAAAAGCATGGATTATTATTAATAATATAATATAAAAGCTATTATACTCTGGTCCTTATCCCATTATATGAATAAACATTTCAGTGACCTTTTGATTTTATAACCGAGCCATTTGTTTACAACTGAATTTACGTGATGTTTCATTTTCACTTGGATGGAGGGGATCAGATGACTTACTGTGTTAAAATGCTCCACTCCAGTTGCATCAAACACATTTGCAATTTCTTTTGTTGTAGCTACACAGGATAAAGGATGTCCGTTCCCAATGGGTTTTCCCATGGTGACAATATCTGGTACAAAATCATCTCCTTGCAGCTGGAATGCCCAGAAGCACTTGCCAACTCTCCCGAAACCAGTTTGAATTTCATCAGCAACAAATACTGCTCCAGCATCGTGAACGTGTCTGTAAAAAAAGGGATGCAACATTGTGGGGGTAAAATTTGCATTGTTATCTTTCAAACGTTTAAAAAAAGTAACAGCAATGTGGCCCAGAGACCTTTGACCGAGAGACCTTGGGCCTATCTCACTCGATTGAATAAACATCAATGTCTTTTTTCTCTTTCGAGGATGCGAGAGAAACGTCTTATAAAAAGAATCCAATGTGGTCTCTTAAAAATTACAAAATAAAACATAGCCGATCTTAAGGGTCCATAAAGATGGCCCGAGGAGACGAATTACCTGAAGAGGTGCGCTGCTACCTGGTGGGTTTACACAAAAGGTAAATGAAGAATACTGCAAGCGCGCCAGAAGTTGTTCGAAAGATGCCACTTTTCTCCCAATAGAGTGCACGCTGTCACTGAATTTTCTCCCCTTTTTTGATGAAGAAACACGGGTTGTGGTTTCACTTGCGCTGATCACCCGGCTGTAATCACTAGTGATGCGAGTTTGTGATTCAACTTTATCCCACCGTTTTACTACTAATAATATAATAGTCTTTGCATTTGAGGTAACACCTCATCACGTCTTCGAGACGTCTCGAGGCGCTTCACAGAATACACTGTAAAGTGAATTGACTGTATATTGTGGGAGAAACACGGCAGCCAATTGTGCACGGCAGCGTCCCACAAATAGTTGTGGATTCGGCGACCAAATTATCATATATAAATATTTTTCTGAAGGGATTATTGCCCCCGGAAAAGCGATCCGACAAACGATTAACAACTAGGTTCCTACTTACTGCTAAGTAAACTGGCGTATGTGTGGACTGAGGTAGCTTGCCAAACGTATTGCCCTGCCTGGGAATCGAACCCAGGCCCTCTCGCCTTTTCGAAGCAGTTGCCAATGATAGGGCACTAACGGCAGCACCGCCTGTTAAACGGGTGATCCGGATCTACATTTACATAAAAAGGCGCAGATTTTATTTGCAAACAATTGCACTGAGACATTAATTCTGATCCAAAGATGTCGTGGATAATGGGAATTAATGTGACTGGAATGAACCGCTTATGTTCAGCTTATGTTCAGAGAAGAAATACAAGTATACGTACTCCAAAACCTTCTGGAAATAGCCTGCTGGTGGGATAATTTGGCCAGCAACACTTGGCAACGATTCAACGAAAAATGCAGCAACCTGAATAAAGAAAGACGAGGATCTAGGGAGTTGCTGGGAATTGTGAGAATCCACTTCAGATCTCCCCCAATGTGACAAAAATAAAATATGCAGATACAGAAATGACATACTGCGATTGGAGTTGGTTTAAAAATCCCAAAGTTTGCCACTATCCTTAATAGGCAATTTGGTAAATGTGTGAGAAGGCAGCGCAACCGCACACAGGTAAGAGAATGATTTGCGTTTAGCTTGGGTGACAGTAAGGTACAATTAGTAATTGAGGTAGAATCAGTGTCGATGGGTTAAGTTAAGAATGAAACTCTGAAGTATTCTTGCTCCCAATAGCTGGTTACTGACCTCTGCTGTTGTGCTGTATTATCCAGACCTGCCCTTGAGACAGTTACTTGAATGAGATCCGAAAACATTGGTCTCTTTAATTTCCCTCAACAACAACAAGATAGAGGGAGAGTGTCCGGACGTAAGTAACGGCTGAAAGTTCGGCCGCCGATGGAGGATCGCAGCTGTGACTGAAAGGACTTGAGCAGTATTTACAGACAACAAAAGGAATGGGTTCGTGTGGTATATGCTGACATCTGACATTTTACCCGTATAATTTGTGCTGATAATTGTACGGATTCTTGACCACAGCCCCGACCCAAGTCGGTATTTTTTACCCAAGTTACTTGTGTAAGTGAGGTTCAAGCCTGCGTAAGCAATTAAGTCTGGACGTCACCACAGCAAAGGGTCTTTGGAGCACTTCATTATTAAATAACATTTGGTTCGTTTTATGCACAAATAATAATATAACAATCCTTGCATTTGATAGAGCGCTTTTCACGTCTTCTCGACGTCTCAAAGCCCTTCACAGGATAGACTGTAAAGTGAATCGACCGTCTATTTGAGGGCGAAATGCTTCCGTGTTCTGAAAGGACAAGCATGTTCAGGGACGTGTTCAGATGCGTGTATTTACCTTTCGGTTTTTCTTTTCTGCTTCGTCAATTACAGCTTTCACTTCGTTGGCGTAAGCCGCGCCAGGGTCAGGGTGCTGCTCCCTGTACTTCCCGCGGTAGGTGTCTGGAATAGGGGCCTTTCAGGAAATGACGAGAAATGTTCAGCTGTGACTTGGAACCGTTCACGAAGCAATATTTCCCGCAAATTTTTACACGCGAAACAGCAAACGTCACCGTACCACATGGACCCATTCCTTCTGTGGTCTCAGGCTCTTGAATTTATAGGGACTGATATCGATCAATGAAGTCAGGTGTCCATGATAAGCGCTTTGAATACAAAAAAAGTTCATTATTGATAGTCACGTTAATTATTGAAATAAGACGAGGTTAGATATGTATATATATATATATATAGTAAATACAGAGGCTGAGTGTGTCAATTTACATCACATATTACTTCAGACTTGGAGGAAACTAAAATACAGCATCACTCATAAGAAACGGTCATACTCCAAGTAGGTTATGAATAATATTCAGTAAACCAGGATAAATTTAATTGACCTGATTTTGCTTTGACTTTACTCTTGCAGATGAAGTGATTTGAATCAAGCGATGAATTATATAAACTCCAAAGCAATAATTCAATCCTCGTCAGCTAAAGCTTGGTAATTAACAAACTTTTAAAAATGNTTTTTTCTCTCAAAACTCCTTTGAGATTGGATGAAGTATCTCTTATACTGGTGGCTTTCATATTTTAATACTTTCTCACCCTTCTCCGAGTGAAATCAGACTTAATTCCATTGTCAGAAATTGGTAGATTCAACGCCTTCAGGATTTCTCTTTAAATCAGCAGCAGAATTAAATTAATTTCACGTTGGTTTCAACAGCCAGAAGTACAAACAATGTTAATGTATAATTTCTAACTGAAAGACTCTGTGGCCATTTGATATAGCGCCTTATTGCGTCTTCAAGACGTCGCAAAGCGCTTCACAGAATATACCGTAAAGGGAATTGACTGTATATTTATATAGATATCCACATACCATTTATTCATTGCAACTTACTTTTCTAGAACAACAATATCTTGGTGCCGGGTGTATTGCTGTGCTAACCGAACAGCAAGATCATTTGCCTCGGAGCTGAAAAGAGTTTCAAAGGATGGTAATTTAGTTCCAAATAACTTTTTTTTTAACACACTTTTTAAAAAAATTGACGGAAAACCTTCTCGAAACCTTTTCTTTTTAAAGAAAGCTTTTTTTTTTTCATTCTGCCCTGGAGAAAGCTTAAGGCTTATTCGGTATCTGAAGGAAATCAAATTTATCTCATTTAAAGTGGCAAAAACATCTTTCGTAATAATCTCTATCCTTTGAAAATCATTAATCATATTTTTAGGTGATTTTATTTTTTTAAAAAAAAATTGGGACTGATTTCATTACCCAGAGTTGACAAAATAAAAGGTGGAGAGTTCTGGTGGCAGCGTCTCTGACAATCTGTTGGCGTAGTGCGTTATATGGTCGTGTAGAAACCGTGTGTTTATGTTCAGCAATGCCATTTGGTCAGATCCAGCTTTGACGACATCTGGGTGACAATATCCGACTGCAGAGCGAAAGCAAGACATTGAGGTTTGGCACACGGCTTCATAATCTAACCGAGCGGGTGAGCTTTCAGCGGAATGAACAGTCATTTATTTCACTGCTCACAATTAAATCGGACCTTACAATAATCCTCCCATTCGATACGGCGCCTTATCGCGTTTTCTGAGGCGTCTCAAAAGCGCTTCACGGAGTACGCTGTAAAGCGGAGTGACTGTATTTTGTAACCGGATACGAGAGAGAATACGGAAGCCCGGTTGCGCCCACCAGCGTCCCCACAAGCGGACGTGCATCGGGTGACCAAATTATTATTTTAAATTTTTTTTTGAAAAGGGGCCATTACTCCCGGGAAAGCGATCCGCGAATCGACTGGCGACCGGGTTCCTGCTTCATTGCTGGGTGAACAATTCCACCCCCCAAAATGGAATTGTTTGGAGAAATACACATATTTCTTTCTTCCCCTTGCACTCTATAAGGAGACAGCAGATGGCAACCTTGTGTTGTTAGATCAATTCCGTCTATTTCACTCGAGGACTGTGTTCAGACGAATTGCTGATTTGTTCCGGGGTTCGCATCCTAACCTAATATTCCCATGTGCTTCCCCAGGCTCGAGAAGACAGTAACTTTTCACTCCCTTTCCCGGAGCGGGAAGTGGAGAACTTGCATTCTCGGCCAAAATCTCTCGAAGGAACAGTCCTGGATGAGGGTGAATTTCCTACAGTTGAATGTGAACAAGACTGAGGCCCTCCTGATCGGCTCGTGCCAGCGCCTCAGCACCTCAGTCTCTGGCACCATCAACCTGGTTGCACACCACAACTCACCAGCCAGTCAGGAACTTGGGGGTCTTGTTCGACCCTCAACTGTCTTTTCTCCCCACATTCAAGTCATGACCCACTCTGCCTTCCCTCACCTCCGTAACATTGTCCGTCTCTGCCACTACCTCACCCCTCAGGCGCTGAAACTCTTATTCATGCCTTCATCATCTCCAGGCTCGACTATGCAAACGCCCTGCTTGTCGGCCTTCCCAACTCCTCCCTCCACAGGCTGCAGATAATCCAGAACTCTGCAGCCCGTGTCCTCTCCCACACCAAACTCCGTGACCCCGTCTCCCCCACTCTCACCTGACTCCATTGGCTCCCTATCATTCAGAGGATCCAGTTCAAGATCCTGTTCCTCACATACAAAGCCCTCCATGGCCTCGCCCCACCCTACCTCTGCGACCTCCTAACCCCCTACCAACCTGCCCTTTCCCTCCGCTCAGCCGGCTCTGGCTGCTCCACGTCCCTCGACCCACCCACCCCACCATTGGCGGGAGAGCCTTCAGCCACTCTGCCCCCAACCTCTGGAATTCCATCCCCCAGTCACTCATCCTCGTCCCCTCCTTCAAGTCCTGCCTCAAGACCCTCCTCTTCGACCATACCATCGGTCACCCCCCTTCCCCCCTCCCCCCCTGACCCCAGCTCGGGTCTGAAATGCTGTCACTGTCCAGCGCCTTGGGACGTCCTCCCGACGTGAAAGGCGCTATACACATGTAATCCTGCTGCCGTTGTATATTTTGTGGGCGAAACGCGGCAGCCAATTGTGCACAGCAGTGTCTCCACAAACAGTTGCGGATTGAGTGCTCAGTGTTATATTTTGCAAATTTGTGGGCGATCTTCCATTTTAAGACCGAATGGTCCTACTGGGTGTGAGAATGGTGCAAGTTCAGGCCTTAGATTTGCACCAGGCACGGCTGTTGTACACGTGCAACATACAACAAATTATATTTATCCTCCTTTAAGAGTCGAGGTCCAAGCATTTAAACTCTGGTTGTGTGCATTTTCTCAGTTTTAATAATCTCCTTACCGTGAGCCACATTATTGATACAGTCCAGGTACGCCCTTTCCTTTTCATCGTACGCATACTGGCCCTGAGCTCTGACAATTTTGATAGGATCCTCCGGGAAAAACAGCCGACAAGATGCTCTGTGAATAAAAATGCACAGAACACAATGAGTTCTGATGTGCCTTAAATACCATGTGTTAGATATATTATTAATAATTGCAACGCGGAGTACTGCTGCAAGGTGGTCATCAGTCATCGCAGATCTATGTTTTGATTTATTGATTTTCATCACAGAAGATGTCTCCTCGCATATGTATGTTGATCCAAACTGCACAAGCATCCTCCAGGCTTGAGCCTCTATTTTTTGAAAGGTATATTCATTAAGAGAGGCGTAAAAACTGGGAAGCGGCACTGATTTGAATTGCTCCGCAAGCAATGGATCACATTGCAGGTCAATAAGCTCGAGCTGGAGGTCAAATGGGGCTTTGTCAACATCAAATGAGAAAGGTGAAGACAGGTCATTTTTGATCAAATTGAAATCCTGGAATCAGCGAGAAAATTCGGTATGTAAGTCAAGTAGTGACGAGGTATACTTTTTAAGGCTTTGATCGCAAACAGTAATCTGCTGCACAGTTGGAAAGTAGACGAAGAGCCTGTTTTCTATCTGATGCGATAAAATAAATAATTTTGTATAAATGACTTGACACTGCAATACAAATCGTGCACAAAGCTCCGCTTCCGTTACCGTTTTGAATTCAGTTCATTCACGTGGCCCACGATATCAACGGCAAATGCGAAATCTGAGCCAATGCGCATCATTCAGCCGCGGGAAATCCCAATCGTTTTGTTTCATGCCCAAAAATCAATCAATCTCTTCTCAAGACCTTTCCTAAACTAAGCCGTCTTACATTTGTGTGATACAGAACATCCGTGTGCTCGGATTCCAATTCCTCAAGCAGAGTTACACATTGCCTGTGGTTTAATCCTCTTGCTCGAATATAGTTGACCACTTTCGTAACTCTGTCCGTGACATTGCTTAGCTTTAGAACACTCTTACAGAGGACCTCTTGGCGGATAATGCAGTGTAGAAAAACACTATTCTGTTCTGGATTTGTTTCTTTGACTTGATCTTGAATTCTTTTCAGTAACCCAACATTTTTGCCTGTCAGATTTGGGCTTCCATCGGTGGTCACGTTCACCAATTGTTTCCACTCCACTCCTAATTTTAAGATACACTTATTTACTGCCTCCAAAAAGTCTTCTCCAGTTGTTGTATCTTTCGTTGACTGCGTTGATGCCAGTTCTGCTGTGAGCTCAAAATGTTTGGTGATACCTCGAATAAAAATGATCAACTGGGCTGTGTCTTTGACATCACAACTCTCATCGAGTGCCAGTGAAAAACATGCAAGACTTTGTTTTGTAACTGCAGATCCAGATTCGCAGAGACATCCTCGACTGTTCTCGAGCTGTTTTTTCTTGACTGAACATAAAATCGAGGCGGAACCAACCAGACATTCCTTCAGAGAATGGTTTGTTGTTCTTGCCGTTTTGTGTGCAATCACGTAACTCCCTCTTGTAATCTCATCCTGGGATGCAAATTGTTTTGTGAAAATGCTTTGCCCTCTCTGCATTCGAACAAGCATCTCGTCAGCTTTCTTTCCTTTTTCTTCGGCAGAAACGTTCTTATATTTGCAAGCGTGTTTGCTCTCAAAATGGCGATTCAAGTTGTAGTCTTGGAGCACTGCCACACTTGCTTTGCAAGTTAAGCACACGGCTCTTCCACCCACACCGGTAAAAAAAAATATTTAGAAGTCCATTCTTTGTTGAATATTCGGTTCTTCAGGATCCACTTTCCGCTTCTTTGATGAACTCATTTCGAATTAACGTCCTCTTCAGTGAAAAGTATCGCCGCGGTGGCCGCACTCGCACGTGTTGGAAAAATTTGCCGATCCGTACATTTCTGACGTCAGCCGATTCAACACTGAAGGGACCGTGCGCACAACTAAAGCCGTGTGATTGGCTGATGTTCCCCGTCTGATTCAAGTGCCAAATTTGTGGAGAAAAAAAACTAATGCCTTTAGCAATTAACCATCGACCCTGTGACAAAAATAAGAAATGTAAGGGACGCATTTAAAACTGATGCTTTTTTTTGTGACTGAACGAACTGTAATTTTTTCTATTGCTAGACACAGTGACGGGCCGAATAGAATCATTTGGTGGGCTGTCTCTTGCCCAGTCCTTGGTCTAACAGGTGCTCCCCATAATGTAATTAAACCATGAGAGCAACTCCCAAGAGTTCTCTAGTTCTTTATCTTGTTAATTACATGATTGAGGGCCGCCCCTGTACTTCCCTCTCTACACGGGGTTCACAGAACGTTTTACTCCAATGTTAAACGTTTTTTGCCCACAAAATATACAGTCACTACACTTTACAGCGTATCCCGTGAAGCGCTTTGAGACATCTCGAAGGCGCGATAAGGCCCTGTCTCAAGTGCAAGGATCATTATCAATATTATTATGTTAACATATTATTTTAGTATTAACTTGTACATTCTTCATACTGTATTTTACTTATAATATTTTATACAACTAACAGGGGGGGGGGGGGGGGGGGCGGGGAGGTCAGATGGGTTGAAGGGCCTTCTTTATCCGAACCGAACTTGTAATTTTGTAATTGAACTCTTACCGGAAATGAAGTATGAAACGTACCAGAGACTAGAACACGTTCACCTGCTTCGACGAGGAGGACGGTACTTACGCAATTCTTTTCTGGCGAAGGTTAAACGTCTCCAGCTTAGTGTAGGGTGCACGATCCATGCTGTTTATGAGTCGTGAGCGTCGAGCAGGAAGAGGTCTCTGCAATTACAGGTCTGCGTGTCCCAACTGGCTTTGAGCATTCGCTCGTGTCCTCGGCAAACCCTGTGCTGACTGCTCCCGGCTCTCCCGGGTTCACACCGGTTGACTTACAAAATGGAAATTAAACACCGTTTGCACAGCTGCTGTGATTCAAGCCACACCCTATCTCCGAGCGTTACGTAATCCCGAAAAATGTCATTCTCCCCCCCAAAATAAGAAAGTGTTTACAGAAAACTGGGCAAATTGTACAAAGACTCTGGGAAGTGTAGGATTTCCTGCAATTAGATTGGATGTTTAAGTGCCGCTGAATTCTGGTTGTATTCTGCATTGTATCACAATTTCTATAGTTTGCTTAAAATCGTGTTACTCTCTATTAATAGCCAAAGACATGTTAAGAGTAGGTTTAGCACAAAGATTTAAACCAAAATCTTACTTTTAAGAATCGCAGCCGGTGCAAAAAGGGTGGGTTTACTCAAACAGATTGCAAAGACACTTTCAGTTAAGCAAATAGTGACAAAGGTCGTATGATGCAACAAAATGTACTTACTTACTCACTCAGCATTGAACAACGCTCTGTAATTGTTAATTCAACTGCAGGTATGACAAGACAGCTGTTCAATTTCCACTGGAATCAATCATGCAAATAAATCATGCAAATAAATCCAGTTAAATGTCAACATTAAGCCCCATAACTGTTTTTCTTTATTTAAATCGGGTTTACATAAATGCTGACTTTACATTTTAATGTAAATGTTAGAATACAATGTCCAAGTCTAAAATGTACACAACTGGCCAATTTCACTAAACAGTCGTCTCCAGAGAGTAGGCTATCAACAACAACAACAAATTACATTTGTATAGTGCCTTTCACGTCGGGAGGACGTCCCCAAAATACTGGAATGTAAAAAAAATATGTTTAATACTCAAAAGTCACTGATTGGAAGCAGAAAGCAGAACTGCGGTGTCTCTCTCCTAAGCCTCGCTTATTGTAGTACATTACTAGGTTCAAAGGCAGAAGACCCAAAAAGGCAATGGATTGTTTGCCAGAACACAACACTTAAGCTCCTCATGTAAAACATGGCAAAATGTTGACGCCTCTCTTTAGAATATAATCATGAATTGTGAAAAGTTCAAACATTTGCGGTAAACACAACCATAGTAAGAACGCAATAAAGGTTAACTACATCGACTAACTGATTTTAGATGTCACAAATATCAGTGCACAGTTCTTTATCAAAAAAAATTTTATTAATCGCTTAACTCACTGTATTAAACAGTTAAATCTGAAAACAGTACATTCTGAAATATATCAATGCATACGTACATACATACAGTTTAAGGCAAGTTCTAAAAGGCATGAAAGTTAATCTAAGTGATTAAAGTCAAGCCTAGTATTTCTTTAGTGGTTACAAAATCCATCTAGTTTTCATTCTAAGGAAATATATCACTCCTAAATCTCTTCAAAATACAAGTTTACAAAAATACCTTTATGCACTTTTTTGATCACAAGAATTCAGCGCCACATCATTTACCGCCACAAGCTCATGAGTTGGATGTCAATGAAATGTGTCCCCCATTGAATTTCCTTCGTGAGTTAACAATCTGACACACACAACAGATTTTTCGTCCTTATTCTGGTAAGTCTGAAACATTTGAAATCCAATTCTTAATATTATTTAGCCCTGAATTGAACAATAATGACTCAAAAATCATGCCAGATCGAGGAGCTAGATTTAAGAGTTGTCATCTTCAAACTGTGAGGCTGAAAACTCAAAATACAACACAGGATGTACACCAAATGTTCAATGCATCAGTGGGGTTTTATGGTGCAGGTTTGAATAAACAGCTACGTGATCTTTGGGTTAGACTAATTACAGCTTTGGCTTCAGTACGTATTCATTCTGAATTCAAATGACTGCATTAAATCAATTTCATTGGCCTCTTCTAATGACAATTACATACAGTTGGAAATCCTATGGAAATGAGACATTGAACTAAAAAGGGCCATAATGTCCACAGTTTATGGAAAGAGCACCCGATCAAGGACTCCACCGCTCCTACTCGATCTCCTGTGGAAATCTCCTTTTAAAAAAAACCCAAACACAATCCACAAAAGCCTCCGCAATATTCGTCCGTCCTCTTCTCCACGACTCCCTCCTGCTTTCCTGCTCCACAGACAATAACGTTAGCCCCCACAAGCCTGAGCAGCACAAACACCGTGTCCAGTAGCACACTGGTTTATCTCAGTCTGTGTCCATTGGTCCCTATATTTTGCAAAGCTTTTCTGTAATCAGATACTTATCCGTTTTGAGGCATTTCGTCAACACTGCAATTTACTGCTTCTACTGTTGCGTCTGTTCTACCTCTCAATTACAGTGTTGGGAAAAATCCATTTTGGTATCTAGTCCTGCGTTTTAAAATTAATGTTACTAACATGAGTTATGGCCATCGACGTCCTCGACACGTTTTTAACAGCCTGTTCTCCCAAATTGTTCTCTGATAAGGTTCAGCTTTACAGAGTGTCCCGATAACTTAGAAATCTTAAGTCCTTCACTCATTCTGGTTGCACTTGTCTGAATATGAAATATTGACCAATGATCTAAAGGTCAGTATAACTCCTATTGATTAAATATGGAAACTATATTCCGCACAGTGTTTCCTAAAGTTGCAACAGAACGTTGCATCCTGAAAAATGTAATTACCACCAACGTCTAAGAAACTAAGACGGTTGCGGATTTAGGATTCAATTGGTTGAAAAATGACAGCACAGTCATTATAATTACCCAACATTTACTGAAAAGAGATCAAAGTAAAAATATAGTCACTATTGTGCCTTGTTTAACCATGCCACCTGTGATGTGCTTTTCATACAAAGGAAAGCATTTGTTAAAACCATCAGGACGGATAAAAAAAATGCTAAAAATTGTAATTTACTTAAGGTTATAAATTAAAACTTAGAAAAGGAAAAGTAACTCTTTTCATTTTTAAAAAGACTTTCAAAATAAATAGAAGGCTAATCTAATAAAACAGAGTATTTTAACCTTTCTTATGCATAAAATAATAATAATAATCCTTGCATTTGATATAGCGCCTTATCACGTCGTTGAGACATCTCAAAACACGACACAGAATCTACTGTAAAGTGGAGTGACTGTGTATTTTGTGGGGGAAATGCAGCAGCCAATTGCACACAGCAGCATCCCACAAACAGTTGTGGATTGACGTGACCAATTTATTATTATTATTATTATAACACCATATAACCAAAGCAAAAGGGTAATTTTTTTTGCAAAAAGTCTTGTTATGTTGTATGCGACTACGGGTAATGTTTGTGTGACCCACTGTTGTCATCTTGACATTGAGAACGTAGCCCAAAGATAATTCTTAAGATTGCAAAATGCCTTTTAAACAAAGGTTCTTCCAACGTACGTGTAAATAAAAGCTCAATCTTCCCGGTAGACGACACATTTATGTCAGGTGGGTCTGCCTCTCTCTCCCTAAAAACCATCAACACCTGTAAAACAATCTATTCAGTTTTTGCAAAATGTTTTAAACTGCAGATACAGTATTTAGACGATGGCAAATAATTCTAATGCTCACACCATGACAGTATCCAACTGATGTAAAGGTCACGTGCAGTGTTATATTCCTCTGCGCTGTCGGCCCTAACAGTGACTTTAGGCTTCATGGCTTCCATGAAGGGTCTCTGGATGTTGTTGCTATCAAAGCTTTCAAACCCCTTTTCAATGCTTCACACTTTAGACCTATGGCGAGGTCATCTGTGGCGAGAGCTGGCTACCTCTACGTACAACACCGCGGCATTATGTTGACGTGGTCAGTACCGGAGAGGTGGGAAAGGTCTCTGACCCTCCTCGTTCAAAAATACATCTTTATTCGGGTTTTAAGTTTGCAGTCGGGTCGTTGCTGCTTTAGCCAAAAATGGAGAGAAATGTCGAGTACACCGGAGGAGGTTTGTTCAGTACGTCGTTCAACTCAAAATCAAATTAGTCATGCATTCGATTCTTCAAACATAGTTTGAATGCTGCACAAATGGTCGATTAGAAGGCCAACAGCAAGGTTATATTTGTCGTGTAATACACATAGCAGTATTTGTAGCTGACAGCTTATTTGGATTTGACTTCTGTAGCTCATTCGAGGTCCAACATTCCTTTTTTCATTAAAATGAAAATAAAACTCTTCCCAGTGAATTTATCCAAGGGATACTGCCAAATAGTATTAGCCTTGGCATTCCTAAAAGCTATGCTGTGAATAATGCGATTTATTTGATGGCACGCTGCAAAGTTGCATCATTCATGCTTCTAAATCTAAAGCTTCTGAAGAGCTATTTCTTTGAGATGGTGTAAAAGTAAAAGATCTCACAGAGAGAACGGCGGAGGAGTCGGAGAAAATGTAGGACTGGAATTTTGGAGGAAGCTCTGAGGGCTGTGCAGTGATGAACGGAGTGACACGAGCACGTTTTTGGGTGAAAAAAACGCCCGAGCGAAACGGGTCAGTAAATCTCAGTGAACGATTCAGAACGGACAGAAGTTGAGCGACTTGAAAAAAAGCGTAAAAGATAACGCGTCAGTCGGATCAGAGGACGCAGGGCACCTCCACATTACGGGCATACTAAGGAAAGTTGAAGCTACACAGAAAACGCTAATGCGCTGAAATGCTGTTAAAAAAGTGGCATCAGTAATGAAAGATGCAAGGCGATACAGTACACAACAACAACAACAATATTACATTGGAGGACGTCCCGAGGCGCTGGAAGATATGAAGGTTTTCAAGGTTCTTCAAATTCCATTGAACATGAGAGACACATTAAAATCCACGGATCAAATCACTCGATCTTAAACTCCACTGCCTCCAATTATGCGGAACTGAGCTGTGTGGACAGCAATAGGCTCTGGACTTTCTGACTTAAAGCCACTCACATCATCTGAGGAAACTGCGAACTTGTTTGTGTGGGAACTTTGAAGGTGTGAGAATTGATTGCGATGCAAGAGAGAAAATTATTCAATTTTAAGCTCCAACTTATCCAAACCTCGCAGCCTATATTCTCACCCGCTCCAGGCTCCACTTCATTATTCCCATTTCAACAGGTTCCCTGCCTCCCAATGGATCACATTTAAGATCCTTGTCTTAACCTTCAACCACTTTCATGTTCTTTCCACTCCCTCCAATTACGATATCCTTCAACCCTCTTGACCTAGCCATATCTCGTGCTCCTCTGATCTACACGATTCCTCATTCCCCAAGCCCCTCATTCCAACTTTGCCATCAGCCTGTCCTTCCCCTCCGGACCTCTTCAAAACCTCTCTCTCAGCTCCCAAAGTCCCCTGGCTTAAAACATGTCTCTTTGTCCCCGCCTTTGGCCAATATCCTTAATCCTGACTACCCGGGGCTGCTTATCACTATTTAAGTGAGTTGTTCATTCTACGTAAAACCTACTGTACAAGTGCACCTCGTGTTGTTCTAAGTTCCTCTCGTGTGCAAGAGTTCAATGTCCACCCCTCTCTTTCCTCCTCCGCTGCCATGAATTACCCATCAATGCTACTCCACAACAACAACTTGCATTTATATATCGCGCTTCGTACAGAGTACAGTTACACCCATTCCTTCATTGAGAAATGCTTTTGTATCAGTTCCCTCAATGCTATGGAAATACTTGAAAATGATTTTCTTTGTTAAGCTGATTAATACCAGATCACCACATTAAATACTCTCCCTTCAATATGCCTTTGTACTCGCACAGTGCTGTAAAAGCTCCTTTTTAATGGTCTGTAACAAAAGCCTCCCCCCCACCTCCTCCTCCACGCAAAGTGTTTAGTGTTAATTTCTGAGTGTAGTAATGTACTGCTTCGGGCACTATGAGAACCTGACAGAGACTCCAGAAAATACTGCACCACTTAAAGGTAAACCATTAATATCGGTGTTCAGCATTAGGACATATGTGAACCTCAGAGAAAGTTCAAGTTGTTGCATGTGTTAAAAAGCTGAATTGTCAAAAGGAAAGTCAGGAACAACGTACAAAGTGACATTAAAACAAAAAAAAGGGGGAAAAACAGCAGGTTCTAAAGTTACAATGAACGCGCCAAGCTGAGAGCGTGAGGGTGCCGCGGTAAAGATTTGCGATGAATGCAGTCACCACTGATTCCTTGATCAAAGGTAAAGTGGATTAAGGCGACATTATCGCAATCTCCCCATATTCCAGTCTTGTTTACATCGTGGCTGCAATCGGGAACTGGAGGAATGTCCAAACCCTTTGGTTATTTGTGAGTCCAGGAGTGACAGATCAGGTTCCAGAATAATCAAGTTTCACATATACCTTCATTCATGCCAGATACACAAGGCTCAATATATTATCAGCTGAATTCTCTTTACAAAACGTTGAAGCACAAAATATACCATATTATGTACATTCCTAGCTCGCTGGTTAAAGTAATCACTGAAAGAAAGCACAGAATAATGAACTGGTTAAAGATGAGAATCACAGTACAATGCATCATTTATTCAGGCTGTCACATTCACTTAAACTGTATTTGTTTTGAACAGTCGTATTTTATGCAGAAGAGACTTTGACTCGATGAATTGCACCTAGAAAAACAGCGCATAGCTGCCGATGCAGCTTGGAAGCAGCTGAAATTATTACTGATGTCATTCGATAGGGTCAGCCAGACATTCGGTTAATTTGTGACATTATACAACGAAAATGCTTGTGTAACGCTAGGATCGAGCTAGTTTGTGGAAGCACTCTCAATGTTTTAATAGCCTCGCAGACTTCAGAAATAAAGTGTTCTTATAAAATCTACTATTTTCTTACACCAAAAATGATGTTTAATATTCTTATTTTGCTAATTCTTTTCGCAAAGCAAACCAGCATTTATTTCAGGGACCAGGAATCTTTGTTTCCCCCCCCCACTTCTGACGGTGAAAATAGAATTTAACTGATGTTTTTGGTGTAAAATATGGCCAATAAACAGGGTAGCTCTGTCTCTCCGACATCTGAGAGGTTTTGCTATTAATTACAAAATATTGGATTTAGGTCAAGATAAAAAAACCTTATTTTGAACACTTGTGACTCATTTCATTGGGAGTGTAAATAAATTACCTTGTGCCAACATCCTGGAATCGGCATGCCATCTTCACCCTACAGAGATTATAGATACAGAACACGATTAAGTCATACGTTGGCAATTTACTACAATTATTTATTTACAATCATAGAAATCTCAGCCAGCGTGCTTTTACGCATTCTGATCACGCTACCGTTCTGCAGTGAACACCAACTGCTGCTAAACTGTTAATATCTTCTTTAAGGTTGGGGGGGTGGCGAGGGGGCTACAAATGTCTGGGTTATAGAGAGGAAAATCAGCTGAGTTCCTGATCTTGATCATTATCTATTCACCTTTGCAGCAAAGTGTGCGTGTGGGGACAGGATTGAGCTCGGCTGTGAAGTGCGCTTCGGCGGAACAGCCCTACAACAATCACTGTCTGGGTTCGCGCAATATTACAATTGTACGTATGGTCTTACACTAATCATAATAATAATAATAATCCTTGCATTTGTCACAGCGCCTTCTCACGTCATCGAGGTGTCTCAAAGCGCTTCACAGAGTATACTGTAAAGTGAATTGACTGCATGTTTTGTGGGCGAAACTCGGCAGCCGATTGCGTACAGCAGCGTCCCCACAAACAGCCGTGGGTTGAGTGACCAAATTATTATTATTTATTTATATTTTTTTGAAGGGATTATTAGCCCCGGAAAAGTGATCCGACAACGACTATAATAACATATGTGGGATCTAAGAAAGAATGGCCCAGGGTAACCGCCAGGATAGACCGCTCATTTTACATCACATTATCTGATAGCCCAGTTATCAGGTAGAAATAAGATGAACATATAACCTGAAGAGGATTATAAATGTTTCTGTTAACTGGTAGAAATATCTGAGCTGTAGGATAATAAAAGTAGAAATGACCTACCACGGGACAAGGCTGGTCTAACCCAGGAGGACCTTGTTCTCCCTTCAGTCCCTTCAGTCCTTTTTTACCTGGATTCCCTCTCTCTCCCTGTGGACACAACTGTCTGGTTAAGAAACATCTAACTGTTTGGTGTTAAAACCCAATCAAGCATGAAAAGGAAAAGATACAACACTAGTATCAGTGCAAAGTGCATAAGATAGATGGCATTGCAATTCTAAATCAATAAAATTATATTAATCCACAACGGTGCGAAAATCGAACAGATTTCTTCAGAATAAAAAAAGATACAACTTCATTAAAATTTACATTTAAATGGCGCCTTTCATGTCGGGAGGAAGTCCCAAGCCGCTGAAGATAATCAGAAAAGAGAGGAAATTCTCACGTAGTGCGGGACAGACAGGAACCACTTAAATCGGAATAACTCAAGGTACATTTTGCGATTTACAAATTCATCAACTAAGAAATTCTGCGAAGGATTCTTGCCTTATCTCCTTTTTCACCGTGGTCTCCTCTCTGGCCCTTCAATCCTGTGAAACCCTGTAATCAAAACAAGATATGAATGCACTTTTGATCATTTTGCATGCATTATTTATGCAGGACCAGGACAAATGATAATAATAATAATAATAACTTAGTCACTCAACCCACGGCTGTTCGTGGGGACGCTGCTGTGCGCAATTGGCTGCCGCGTTTTGCCCACAAAGGATACAGTCAATTCACTTTACAATATATTCTGTGAAGCACTTTGAAACATCTCGAAGACGTGATAAGGCGCTGTATCAAATGCAAGGATTATTAATATTATTATTATTAATATTATTATTATTATCCTATTGTGTTGTTCTGGGTTTATATCTTGTTCAATCTTATTTAAACTTTATATACCTTGATATAGATATACATTGGGTGCATTGGGATTTTAGTTAACTATGTTATCGTGAGGCTCCACGGTGTACATACACTGAGCAGCTCAGAAAGCTGTAAAATGGTATAATATCACAATAACAGACAACTCTTCCTGTCTGACGGTACTTTTAAAAAAAAGTTTTTTTTTTTAATAAATTACATCTGAAACTGGGCAAATTCAGGTATTTGGTGAATTACGCTTTTTTCTATTACCGTATTCCCAAAAAAGGTAAATGGATAAGTTAATAAAAAAACTTATCTTTTATTGCACAGTAGGGATTACAGTAACATATATAAACCCACTGACTCATTCTCACTTTAGTTAGAATTTTGCTTCTCAACTGAATAAAATTATTCTTAAAAAATCCCCGAAAATTGAGAATAATTTTTAAATACTCACTTCTAACCCTGGTTCACCGGGTTTTCCCTGTGTGAGGTACAAGATAGAAAATACAAGGATTTTACTGCAAAATTAATTCACCTTAATATTTGCCCATTAAAAGTTTTGTTTTTGAAGTTGTCCTAACACAGTAAAACAACATTTATGAAGTTGATACCAATGTGTCCAAAAGCAAACACAATTAATCTACTGTATATTACTTTAAATCAATCGTTTACAATTACATCCAAGTTAAGCATTACAGAGACAAAACTACCTTGAGAAAGCTGTTGATTATGTGACCACAAATAATACGATTCATCGAAACAAAACATACCTTTAAAATACCCTTAAAAATGTGAAACGTTTGTGAACTTCTGACGTGTAATATTCTTGTGGTTTGCTAATGTTCTGAAAGAACTTGATTAACTCCATAGGAATGGGATATAATGTGTAATGTTTTAAATGTCCTGTAGAACTAAAGTATCTTGAATCCTTACTTACCCTGTCACCCTTTTGACCAGGTAAACCTGGGAGGCCCATGGAGCCTGTGCTTCCCTTTGAAAGAGGCAACACAATATTATCAATGAATCTGCCATTAACGTTAAATCAACACAAACGGATCTTGACTTCCATATCTAAGCGCTCTGGGACGCTATATAAATGCAAGTTGTTGTTGTTGTTGTTGTTATCCAGCGGCCACTTCTTTTATTTTCAAATTGCCAATCTTGTTTCTGGTGATGATTTTTCGCCCACAAGGCAAACTGACAGTGTGTTGCGCTCTCTCTAGTAGATTCCTTCTGCAACTGAATGTCGTTATTGTGCTGTTATGTGTTCCGAGAATGGTGCTTTCTCTCGCTACGATTTTGTGAATAAATGTCGATTTAGAGGAACACATTCTGCTGTTCAGTTCATGTATTATTCAATAAATGTACGTTTCAACGCGCCTGCTCCACTTACTATGATTGAGTTGGTATTTTGGGCTGTTTAGCCTACCTGTTACCTGTTACCTACTGACTGTCCGTTGTGTGGCTGAGGGTTAGTTAATGTGGGTTTTCAGACCTACACATAGGGCTCGCTTGGGCTTCCCGTCAGCTCTGTGCTGAGATGTCATCCTAACGTGAAAAGGTGCTACACAAATGTAAATTGTTATTGCGGTGTGTGTGGTGGTGTCAATCTGTCGTGCGCTTTCCAGGATTGAACCAACGATTACATTATGTTTTCTTGCCAGAGCAATAGTTGGGTCTGCTTCACACGGGAAGAAAAATATTCTTTTATTAAAGTAACGTTTTTCTGTTCTGCAGTCTCATTTTTTGCAGAACAGCGATGATATCTTTAGCTTTTGATTTGGACTTGGACGTGGAGACAGAAAGGTTCACACGGAGTATGTGGCTCGAGGCCATTCCTCGCGCTTTGTGAAATGCCCATTGAGTCGTGGCCAGTAGGGAAGTGTGTGAAAACAAAACTGTCTCGTCGTAAGTTTCGAACAACATCGGTGATTTGTTGCAAATACCTGTGAGCCAGGAAGACCTCGTTCCCCATTTACACCAGCATCACCTTTTTCACCGTTTATGCCATTTAATCCCGATTCACCCTAATGACAAATCAAAGGTGTGAAAGGCGCTACACAGACGTCACTTGTATTGCATTTGTCACACTGTCACAGTTTCACATTGCTATCGAGAACGAACAGTCGATCATATAACATCATGGAGGTATTTCTGTAGAATATTGGCAAGGCGCAACTTTTAGGTTAATCGCTTGTGCGTGGAGCTGGGTCCTGAATAGCTAAATGGAAACCATTCCTTTTTACAATATCGCTTTATCTGTAATTCCTCCTCAGACAGGAGTTTACCTACAAAAGGATTCCTTCTGGCATTGCTTCCATCTGCTGCACACATGGTTGATTACATAATGTAGTCCTAAACATCAGAATTACAAAGATGAAACACCGGAGATAAAATAGATTTTAAAAGGTTATAACTTACCTTAGTCCCATCGAATCCTGGAGGACCCTGTGTATCAACATAACAGAGTTTAGCTCATTTAATACAATTAATGGTGTCATTTCACATCCAGCATTCTGTGCTCTTCAAAGCTCTATTAATTGCCAATACTTTAGACAAAGCACTATCTAACTATTTAAGCTCCGAGACATCGTCCGGCATGAAGGGTGCTACGCAAATACAAATTGTTGTTGTTCGCTCAGATGCCTGTGGATTGCTGATTATGTGTAATATTCTGTCATATTTCAGTGATATTGTTATGAGATCTTTTTTTACGCTGCAGTTTAATAAATGGACTTACAATTGGCCCGGGTAAGCCCTGAGGACCGGGTGGCCCTGGTAAAATTGTCATTTGCACCTGAGAGAGAGAGAGAGAGAGAGAGAGACACACACACAAGGTTAATCCAGATGATTGCAAAATGCATTTTTTAAAATAAAAAAAATACATGTATATCTAGTTCCTTCCTCAGTTTTGACCACATAACAGATTGCGGTTGAAAACTTACAACATTATCCTGTAGACCAGACAATCCTGAGTCTCCTTTCCGACCATCGATGCCCTTTAGGAGAGGAATTTGGTTTCAGAATCATTTTAACAACAACTTGCATTTATATAGCGTCCTTCACGCGCTTCAGGTGAACAACTATGATAATAATCCTTGCATTTGATATAGCGCCTTATCACGGCTTCGAGACGTCTCAAAGCGCTTCACAGGATACACTGTAAGGTGAATTGACTGTGTATTTGTGGGCGAATCGCGACAGCCAATTGCGCACAGCAGCGTCCCACAATGTCTAATAAGTGTTAAAGAAATAATTTTTTTTCAGCAATTGTTATTAAAATAAATGGTATCACAACTTTTTGGTCACCCTGTAGTAACAGGGACCTCTAAGGACCTTTCAGATATTACAGGTGAAGCTCAAAGGCCCCAATAGATGAAATGGATGAATATTCCGAAAGAGAATATTAGATACATACAGGAGGTCCCGATAATCCCATTTCTCCTGGCTCTCCTTTGTCTCCCGGTAATCCAGGAATTCCCTCATCTCCTTTAGGACCTCGAGGACCCTACGAATAATAAATGACAAGTTCAAAGAACCCAATAATAATAATAATAAATTATTGATTGTTGAACCAATCAATAGTCAATATAAAGAGCTAATTCGTCACGATTGCACCACAAATGAAGATATTAAAGCCATTAATTGCTGAGTTACCTTCTCTCCATCAACTCCCGAGGGACCTGATAATCCAAGATCACCCTATTTGAAAAACATGGATCAACATACTCAGCTCGTTATTGGCATTAAACCGTCGGAAACATCCTATGAGAACATTTAAATCCTTAAACTTAAGGAGTTTGGGAAGAGTTGGTTTGTTCAGGTCTCAGCTGGACAATGTCACAGGGCTACAGGAGGCGGAGGAGATACTGCTCTAAAAAGGTTGGATAGTTATGACTATCTTCGTGTACATTCCATTGGTAATCCATGTTCACCCCTGTGGTTGCGTTGGGAGCGTTTCATTCTGTGACCAAATGGCCAAAAAAAAAATTGCAGTCTAATAACTAGAATGGTTATTCTGTACCAACAGGAGAAACCGTCTCTCACCTTTTGTCCTTGAGGTCCTGGAGAACCTGGAGGTCCAGGCAGCCCTTGGGATCCCTGAGGACATCAACAGTCACCGTGTCAGCGTAACATTCCAACAACACTCCCACACAGACCACCGTTTCCTAAACTACTTTTTTAACAAAACCCCCCCAACAAAAATTTCAGATAAACTATTCTGCAAACAAAATCCAAACTCCTGAGGGATCCCGTACCCGAGCCTTGTGCTCGCGACGGAATTGACACCCGAGAGAAAGGTGGGAGCGTTTACAACATCAAACGCAACCGACAATTCTGCTTGTATAATAGGATTTAAGAGGGTGGATTATTCTCAGTGTGTTCATGTTTCAGCCAATTCTCAAATCTTCAGTTAAACCCTATCACTGAACGTGATTTGCAAATGGCCAATATTTAGGGTTTTCCTAAATCTATTATTAATCTATCACTTTTTTTGGTGGGGGGGGGGTCGTTTGATACAAAGGGTATTGAAATCCTTCGGTTTCATCCTCCTTTCATTCACAAACGTTACACATTCTGGTTTAAGTGAAAGTGCTACCTTTAGTGCTTCCTGAATTTTCCCATCATAGTCTATGATCTCTGTTGTTCCTGGTTCCCCTTTTTGACCTGAAGGTCCCTGAGAAAAAGTACAACAGGGAGGGTTAGTAATCGGACATTAGATACAACAATTAACTCAAAAGACGTTCCATCTCAACTATTGAATGGATTCTGAAAGTAACATTTCAACAGCTCCCAAATCATCTGATGCCAGTAATACAAACACATGAGGGAAAACGGGTAAGATAATAAGATAATAATCCTTGTATTTCATATAGCGCCTTGTCACATCTTTGAGACATTCTGTGAAGCGCTTCACGGAATATACTGTGAAGTGGAGTGACTGTATTTTATGGGCGAATCGCGGCAGCCAATTGCGCACAGCAGCGTCCCACAAACAGTCGTGGATTGAGGGGCCAAATGAGTATTTTATTTGGAGGGGATCATTAGCCCCAGAAAGCGATCCACCAATCGACTAACAACCGGCTTCCTGCTTACGGCTCGGTAAACAGTGATTTTATAATAGTGAATGATTGATTGATTGATTGATTGATTTTAAAGTGTGTTGTTTTACAATGATGGATAGGCGGTGGATAGGCAGCTTGGGCTCAAAGGCAAACTTCAGATCCTACAAGAAGTTGACTTATTATTGTACATGGAATAATCCACTGAGCCAGAACTGATTAATTAAATAGATGTTGAGCCACAGCATCATGATCCAGATGTGGGAAGGATGCTTATTCACACGCCAGGCTCGCTCCCTGCCAGCTGGCCAGTTACATAAGGAAAGCAGCTCAGAACTGTGAGACGTTATAAGGTGAAACTGCTGGCGACTGAAGAAACCAATTTCTTCCTTTCTCTCCACATGCTGGAGAATAAACTTTGTTAAACAAACAAGCATGAAAGCACTTTACTTCTTCCCGAAGTGATGTGGCCCTGAAAAACATTCTGAGAGTATTATAAACAGACGTGTTCCAATATTCTTTAGTCTCTGTACGCTGTAAGGGCTGCAGTTCTGCAAATGACTACGTTGATGAAAATCACTGTTGAAATGTGTGCCATTGAACCATAAGACGTCAACTTTCAGCATACGCGGAACCCTTGTGTTCCACGTACTAACTGCAGGTGAATCACACGGGCATTTCATTTCATTTCATCTGGTGAGTTCTTAAAACCAGCAGAAATTATAATATTTTCAATCACTTGCACTTAACACAGCGCCTTATCACGTCTTCGAGACGTCTCAAAGCGCTTCGCAGAATCCGCTGTAACGTGAATTGACTGTGTATTTTGTGGGCGAAACGCGGCAGCCGATTGCGCACAGCAGCGTCCCCACGAACAGCCGTGGATTGAGTGGCTAGATCATTATTATTTTTATTTATTGGAAAGGATGATTACCCTCGGAAAAGCGATCCGCCAATCGACAAACAACTGGGTTCCAACTTGCTGCTGGTAAACAGAGCGTGAGGAGTAAAGAAACTTGCCCAACGTTCTGCCCTGACCCGGGAATCAAACCCAGGTCCTCTCGCTTGCGCGGCAAGTGCTGAAACCACTGAGCTACAGGACTGCACTATTATATAATACAATGCAACAAAATAATTACTTACTTTTGATCCCATGGGCCCCTCTTCACCTCTCTCCCCAGGTTCACCCTAGAGTAAATTGCACGACATCTTTGTTAAAATCTGCTGACTACAGATCAAAAATAAACAAAACTAGAATTAAATACAATGATATGTTTTATGATTTAATTAAACGCAGGTTGTATAAAGATAATCAAATCAGCATGAACCAACCTTTATCTCTGTCAGAACTTCTCTCTCTCTCTCTCTCTCTCTCTCTCTTTCTCTCTCTCTCTCAGAACTGAAATACCAGTCCCCCCGCTTCACGACGTTTAAAACTTAAACAGAATAAACAACTAATTCTGGGGCCAGACAATTGTATTAACCCTTTTGTGATGAAAGCACCTTTAATACCATTTTTCCAGATTCTACTATTACCAAACTCTGTTGTGTTTGTTATATTGTGTTTCCGAACTTTTAATTGTTGTCAGGGTCATGTTCTGTATTTGTGTAAATGTTATAATAATAGCATTTGATATAGCCGTGTAGACCCTCCCCATGTATTTTAAATGTTCAATGTCTCGGCGATATCGTAAATTCATTTTGAACATTTCTGTTAAATAATAAGTGAATTGAAACCCACTGAACTGCAATGCTGGGACTTTATTATGAAGATCGTAAGGTCAAACACCAATTTCTACATTGCTTTCCCCTGAACCAAACGCTGCAGATTGCTTTGGGAAGAGAAAACTGATCCAAGGCCCCTTTCTTGTACCCTTGTACCAAAAATAATAATAATAATTTGGTCACTCAATCCACGACTGCTCTGCGCCTTATCACGTCATTGAGACGACCCAAAGCACTTCACAGAATAAACTGTAAAGTGAAATCGACTGTATATTTTTGTGGGTGAAACTCGACAGCCAATTGCTCTCAGCAGCGTCCCCACAAACACTCGTGGATTGAGCGACCACATTAATTTTAAAAGGAACATATATATATATATATAGATTTTGTGTACCTATAAAATAATCACAACTCTTGAACCATCCTCACAATGTGAAAGGCGCTAGCTATAACAAATGCAAGGATTATTGATTGATTTTCTATAGATAAACAAAACCATGATTAAGTGCTTGCACTTAAGTTTCAAAGAGGGAAAGAGTACAGACCGTTCTGATTTAATTACAGCGCACACAGAGGGATGAACATGTGAAATGAACTACCAGGGAGGCAATATCAATTGCAGCGTGAATTTAAGAGAGGCATCTTACAGTTATCTGATACCTGTGCTCCAATATGTCTGAGGAACGCTTACTATGCGTGGCAGGCAGATAAAAGAAATCCCAGCGAGGNAAAAAAAGTCAGGAATTTATCTTCTTCAGATGAAACTCTGACACACAAACCAACCGTGGAAGATGTTTCTGTTTCTTTCCAATGAAGGAATTCTGTTCTATTCTTGGCGACTCCTCTCAGCTGGTCCAGTAAGCGGATTGTCTTTTCCCTGAGTGTTTGGGCTGCAGTTATAAATCTGCGTTCTGCCCTTACAGACATGCCACGAACCGCGTGTATGAACAATACGCCTTTGTATTACCAGAAGTGTCTATACTCTCTACCAACTCTCTCACAAGGCGAAAAAATTAAACGAGAGATTCGATTTGCTTCACAAGTTCACCTGTCACTAAATATCAAAGGCAAGATACAAATAATAATAACAATCATCATCCTTGCATTTGATATAGCGCCTTATCATGTCTTCGAGCCGTCTCACAGCTCTTCGCAGAATACAGCGTAAAGTGTAGTGACTGTGAGCGAAACACAGCAGCCAATTATGCACAACCCTCTCATATTAAATATTTGGTCCCGACAGATACGAATTAGGTGAGGTTTGCTGCGCTGGTGTTCAAAATAACATTAGCGTTTAGCTGTTCCTGTGCAGAACTCTCGTCAGCTCCAGCCAACGTGATGAGGAATGGGAAGTATAAATCATGTTCCCTGTTCTCTCCCACATCACTGCACTGCTGCTGAAAGTGATATCGCTTCACTTCCTGCAACATAAACAGGGGATTAGAGTAACACGACAGTGATTTAAGGTTTTAAACCCCAGCTTCGTTTTGTTGGGATATTGTGAACATTTTTTTTTCACAATGCCACCACCTTCTAGTCTATTGTTTACTGAAAGCTGCTGCACAGATTCGACGCACGTTATTTGTACATAAGGTAAAAAAAATAAATTCACTCGTTACCTTTGATCCTGGCAATCCAATTATTCCTCGTTCTCCCTGAACACCCACGTGGCCCTTTTCTCCCTGCACAGAATGAGAAAAAGAGAAATTGCAAAATACGCAGCAAAAACACAGACACCTTCAAAACCACCTTCCACGTAATCTCATTCCTGTTCAAATTAAAAAAAAACAACAAAGGAAGACCTATATCGTTATTGTTAACATACAGTTATCCTCTAGCTCACTGGTTAGAGCCCTCGCCTCGCGAGCGAGAGGACCTGCGTTTGATTCCCGGACAGGGGGCGAAACGTTGGGCAAGTTTCCTTACTCCACACACGCGCGCCTCTGGTTACCGGCAGTCAGGAGGAACCCGGTTGTTAGTCGATTGGCGGATCGCTTTTCTGGGGGTAATAATTCCTTCAATCCACGACTGTTTGTGGGGACGCTGCTGTGCGCAATTGGCTGCCGCGTTTCACCCATAAGATATACAGTCAATTCACTTTGCAGTATATTCTGCGAAGCGCTTTAAGACGCCTCGAAGACGTGATAAGGCGCCGTATCGAATGCAAGGATTATTATTATTATTATTATATAATTGATACAGATCAGATTTATGTGAATTTTACTGCACTGTGTTGTTGACCACATGGCAGCTGTGTTTTTATTAAAGTACCAAACGTTAAGAGTTAAAAGGCAGATCTTAACTCTCCTGTTTAAATAGTAGATATTATTAACCTCCTTAACACACAATAACCACAAGCATCTCAATTTCAGTGCATATTTTGTGAACAGACAGGCATTGCATTGCTATAATTCAAGATTATAATAGTAATCCTTGCATTTGATATCACGTCTTCGAGACGTCTCAAAGTACTTCACAGAATATACTGTGAAGTAAATTGGCTGTATATTTTGTGGAAGAAGTATTTTATTCAGACCTCTGGGATAGACCTTCAGTTTAAAAAAGTTCAGGTGAATTATTTTATCAACAAAAATGTTTGCACATTTTCGCAATTCTGATTCAGTCTTCAATAATCACATCATCCTCTGAGAGAAATCCAAAATGTAAACCAGGTGCCAAACATGATCTGTGTTGCGATACAGAGAATCTGTCTGGAGGTTCTGTCTCGAGCTAACAATAAAATCATGTTTATTATCTTACACATCAATCATGAAATAAAATCGCCCATGCCGTCAAATTTATTCTGTGTGCAAACAGCCCAGCAAAATAAGTATATTTAGGGAAAACATTCTTTTAGAAAAGAAGATTATTTTTATGCCCTTCATGTCGTAAAACAACTAGCTGATGCGTGCAATTTGTCAACTGTAAATAATAACCAACTAAACGGTAAATTACCAGAGGGTGAAGCGGCTTGTATTGTTAGAATTTGATAGTAATACATGAAATATATATTTAGATATAATCGTACTGAATTTAAAACAATTAACATATCAAGCCATTTGAGGTGTTCCTTTGACAACCAAAGCACCGTTTATAATAATAATACTTGCATTCGATTACAGAGCTTTAAAACAGTCGTGGATTGAGTGACCAAATTATTAAAGTGATAAGGAATATTATTTCAATCTTGAAAGTTAACGGAGGCTTTTGTGAATATCCAAGTTAATACGTTGTAAGTCAATGAAATACAAGAAAACATAGGTTGCCAAGTCAGCATTATACTACACCAAAGAAATTCAATCTGGGTTCCCTTGAATCAAGCCTTTGGTTGACTTGATAATAGGAGAGATTGATGACAGGTAAAAGAAAGGTTCGCAGCTCACCGACGTATCCAGGGAACTAGTGGGAACGAGTAAAATCTACGGCCGACTCTGGATCCAGTTAGTCATTTTTAAAAAAAAAAGCAAATTGCAGAAATATGAACCCAAACACATTTTGCAGTTTGGTTCTGTTCTGACACTTTCTCGTTCGGAACAAAAACTCTTACAATCGATTCCCCTGAAATATACACCGGTTCTCGTCCTTGCTCGTGGCCAGATTACACACTGGTACATTTGTTAGTCGGCACTCAGGAGGTGTGGTGACAATGCTTGAGGGCTATTTCACTTATTTATTATTTATTTAGCTGGATTCGGGGGACAGGTTTCTTTTGGGGAATCTTCCAGGAAAGCAATTACGAAACAATAACAAACAAATTCAATCATTTCAAACGCGTGCGGATTTAAGTAAAGTGCAAAATATAGGGAAAGAGTGAGTACATTGTGTACCCACTCCAGGCCGGTGTTTTTGTTGGCTCTCAAGAAATTGTGGGTGGAAACGTGGCGGGTAAAAGAGGGAATGCCATTATTTAAAGAGTCATTTTTTTATATGCGTACTTTGTGTGACAAAGTACAGGAATTTTCCTCTTAAATGGAATTAAAGCACAGGAATGAATTTCGAGCAGTTTGAGACATCCCTTTGTGAGACGAAATGTAAATTGTTATTGTATTGAATTTCACAAAACGCTGTGTTTCAAATGTTTAAACAGTTGCAGTACGCGTCATATCTGCAACAATCGTAGAGGGTTCAATCCAATTGCAAAGGTTTTAATGAGCTTACTTTCAATCGAGAGGATCTATACAATTTCATATGACTGGTTTTATTCTGACTGTACCTATTATTCAACTTTGAGCAAAAGTGACAAATCTCAGCGGGTGCTTTAAACGTCTGCCTCCAATGCTAGCGGGACGAGAGATAACTATGGACATAACAAACAAGGCTGGTTCTAATTTAAACACAAAGGTGGAACAGTTAACAAGTCCTGCTTGAACAGACTGTTTTATTCAGTCAATGAAGCCTCCAAAGAAACATTATGATAGAAATTACATTATACATTTCAGCAGGATGTCTCTTTAAAATATGATTCAGATGTATTGGATTACCGAAACAGAAGTTCAGCAAAACAAGAATGACACGGGAGACGTTTCTTAACATTATGTGACCTATTACTGAATTGTCTAGCCCAAAACAACAACAACATGCATTCATACAGCGCCCTTCACGCTGGGCAGCATCCTGGAGAACTTATCCTTGACCACCTCACATCTACAGGTAAAATTCCTGAAGTGGAATATTTGGCTTGTGGTTATCTGTGAAATTCATTTTTTTTAAAAAAAAGTAATTGAAGTTATGTGATCCCATCATTGGAATAGGATTCCGAAAAGACCTCAAAACTGAAGAGACAAAACAGGGAAAACAAAGATTTGTGGGGTTAAAATTTGTACTCACTATCTATAAATCTATACACCAGTAAATTTTGAATTCATACAGTCACCATTTCAACGTGCAGAATGTTTTGCAATTACTCTTAGAATATCACACAGGATCAGTTTTGACAAAGAAGGTCCTTCGATCCATTTGATTTCATTTTTCCAGAATACCCCCCACTCTACCATTCTCCCTGAACAGCATCCAGCTGTTATTTAAAATGAATCCAGAGTCTGGCTTTAAATACCCTCCATGGTAACGTGTTCCTTATGTGTCTGACCTCCTGAAACCTTCTCCCCTGCACTCGGGTAATTTGGACATTGCTGCATGTCCCCCACCCCTTCTGTACCATAATAGGTGGCCAACCTTTAGTTCCTACAGCCCTATTCTCTGGCCCTCACTCCCTCTACCCCTGCATCTTGCACCTTCTCGCTCCGTCTTTAAGTCCTGCCTCAAATCCTACCTCTACAAAGGTTTGCATAGAACGTGCGACACGGAATCAGGCCACTCGGCCCAACCAGTGGTCTAGATTCCCCTTGAATGTATCTAAAGGCATCTTCAAAGTGTATTTAACACTCCCCCCGCTCCCACTTTCCTAGTGAACAATCCCTGTAAAGCACTCTGAGATGTTACATGAAAGGGGCAATATATCTGCAAGTTGTTCTTGTTGTAATTACCTCTGGGTAAAGAAATATTTCCTGTTATCTCTCCTGAAATGATTCCTAGCACACCCTAAGCTTCTGTGGTCTTGACCTGCTGTCCTGGTGCATTTGAAAGTAATTGTCCTGAGCTCACTTGCCCATTCCCATTTAAAATCTTGCAATAGCCACACATCTGTACATCAATGTTTGTGTTCAGAACTGGGTAGGAATGACTATCCATTCAGCAAGTCACATTGCACTTCATTTACAGGATGTTTCAGTAGTTAGAATCCATTAGAATCTACAGCACAGAATCAGGCCGTTCGGCCCAACTGGTCTGTGCCGGTGTTTATGCTCCACATGAGCCTCCTCCTGCCCTTCCTCAACTAAGCCTTCAAGCAGAACCTTCTATTCCTCTCTCCCTCATGTACCTCTCAAGCTTTTGCTTAAATACATGTGTTAGTAGAGTTAGTAATAGTTATAGAAGCTGCAGATTTTAATACAGCGAATCTGGGTCCAGTGAATCTCAGCTCCTGTAATGATTTTGTGAAGGTTTTGGAGTTGATAATGGAGTAGTGATCAACAGTCTCCAAAACCCCAGTTATAGAGTTTTGTATTGACCGGTGGGAAGGTTTGCAATGTTGTGTATGATAACTACAATGGTGGAGTCCTGTAGCTCAGTGGTTAGAGCACTCGCCTCTCAAGTGAGAGACCTGAGTTCAATTCCAGGCAGAGGGCGAAACCTTGGGCAAGTTTCCTTACTCCACACAGAGCCTAATAATAATCCCTCCAAAACAAAACAATAATAAATTGGTCATTTTCAATCCACGACTGTTTGTGGGACATTGCTGTGCGCAATTGGCTGCCGCGTTCGCCCACAAATATACAGTCAATTCACTTTACAGTGTGTTCTGTGAAGCGCTTTGAGACATCGAGAAGACGTGAAAAGCGCTGTATCAAATGCAAGGATTATTATTATTATTAATACAAAATTACATTTGTATTGCGTCGGGAGGACATCCCGTTTCTTGGAAATATGGCACAAGAAAGAAATATAAAATATGCCAATGCATTTTTATGGCTGACCTTTTTAATACCTATTTATTGACGTGGGGCAGAGCAGACAGAACGATGTTTAGCGATGCCCTCTGATACTCACCATTAACAAAAGAAAAACAAGCAACAGCACAAACAACAACAAGGCACAAGAGACAGGAAGCGATGTACTGACCTTATGCCCCGGCAGACCAGATTGTCCAGGAAAACCATCTTGACCCTATTAAAACAGTGAAAAGTCCAACTAGCAAATTGTGCAACAAAAAGGGCAAAAATACCGCAGATGCTGGAGATCCAAAATAAAAAACAGACGTCGCTGGGAACACGCAGCAGGTCAGGCTGGTGCTATGGAGAGAGGAAAGTGGGTTCCGACGAAAGGTCGTTGGCCTGAAACGTCGACTAACTTTCCTCTCCCCATAGCAGATTGTACCACTTTGGGTTTTGCTCGATGCTGCTGCTAAGACAACGTTCACTCGCTCTTCTGCCTCCGAAACGCAATCAAAACGTTGTTAATAAAAATGTATTGGTTAAATGAAGCGTGCGATGTTCTGCCAGATTTACCGGAATATCCCCCCACCCCCCCACCCTCGAAGATTGTACTGACAAATCCTCAATTCGGATGTCAAAGCTTCGAGGTGTCAGGTCACGTGATTGCTTCTCAACCCCAAATTTCCTCCTGTTCAGAGAAAAAAAAACCCTAAATGGGTGGAGTGAGCAATATGATGGAAAATAATTAAACCCAAGACCCTATTTAATGGCCCCCACAGCCTAATCCATCCGCTTTAGCTTCTGTTGCTCAAGCTCCATCTCTGTCTCTTACTTTGTCATCAACAGCAGTATCGAAGACATTGTTTTATTTCCATGTGCCATTTACTTCTTCCTTTTGCACTGTAAAACACTGGTTGCAATGCTCATGTTGAAGATGTTTTCCTTGATATTACTAACAAGAGGAAGCTGGCCCTGTGTTATCTCAAAATGACTAATGTGTCTGGATTCTGGACAAGCGAAACCATATAGACATAGAAAAAGAATTAGACACCTGACCATAAACTGACTCATATAAAGAGGCTTAAACTGATTACATTTTGAATAATAAAATTCCTTCGCTCTGGGGCAAGCAATTACAGTAATGGCTTCCAATCGAGTAAATCATTTCTAAAAGAGATGGTAGTCAAATGGGTTCATCGATACATGTCTTTAAAATAGTAAATGTTTTGATGAGTATTTAAAGTCATAGTGTATTTGGTTTTTTTTTAATTCCCAAAACATAGTAGGCAAACGTGATTAAAATTGTTACTTAATAATAATAATAATCCTGGCATTTGATACAGCGCCTTATCACGTCTTCGAGACGTCTCAAAGCGCTTCACAGGATACACTGTAAAGTGTAGTGACCGTGTGTTTTGTGGACGAATCGCGCAGAGCAATGAGTGGCCCACAAACAGTCGTGGTTTGAGCGATCAAATTATTATTATTATTATTATTTTAAGGGATTATTACCCTCGGAAAAGCGGGTCTATAAGTCTATAAATACCATGCATTTGAACAGGCAGTGATTTCTCTTACAGGTGCACCTGGAATTCCTCTCAGACCAACTTGTCCCATATTTCCTGGAGGGCCGATTGGGCCGGGAGGACCTGGTGGTCCCGGGAGCCCAGACTGACCTTGATCGCCCTGTGCCGTCAACCAGAGAATAAAGAGTTAACATCAAACAGGAGAAGCCGGATGGATGGCAAAGTTACAGCCCAAATCTCAAGGTTTCCTTGCGTTCGACACAGCAGCTGATCAGCTCGTCATCGAGACCTCTCACCGTACAGGAAAAAAAAATAAACCCATGGATATTTTGCAGGGTAGTGGGCGCTCTCTTATTAACATGAATCGCCCACGGAAATATAGACAGTCAATCCACTTTGCAGTGCATCCCGTGAAGCGCTTTGAAACGTCTCGACGACCTGCTAAGGCGCTATGTCAAAGGCAAGGAATTGTTATTCCTCTACCCCCTCCTCGCTCCCTCCCTTCCCTCCCCTCACCCTGACATTCCCCCCCTCCTCGCTCCCTCCCTTCCCTCCCCTCCCCTGACATTCCCCCCTCCTCGCTCCCTCCCTTCCTTCCCTCCCCCTGACCATTCCCCCCCTTCTCGCTCCCTCCCTTCCCTCCCCTCCCCCTGACCATTTCCCCCCAATGCTCGGGTCCCGACCCAACTGTCCAGCGCCTTGGGACGTCCTCCCGACATGAAGGGCGCTCTATAAATGCCATCTTGTTGTTGTTGTTGTTATTATTAATATAAATCTTGAGAATAATTCTCACGGGCGGTGAAGAAATGGGCTGGCATCAAGATGCTCAGAAAAGAGAAAACTTCACCAACTTTCTAGCTAAAAGATATCGTGCTTGGGGTTCACAGTTACACTTTTACTTACTTTACGTTCACAGTTTACTTTCTTGACAAATATACACTCATCCACTGATCCAGTAGGGGGCACAAAATAGTAGCAGTTAAAACTACCGGGAAAGATATTCAAGTTTGGGAATAATATTCTCGCCGGTCCCAGCGTCAAAACAGCATTTGTTGACCGAACTATGTGACGTTTGTTATTCTGCGGAGTAGGGAGTCAAATCTTTTAAGCATAACCACCGCACATTTAATCATTGAACACCGAGCTCTTTTTATCAAAAAGAATCTCGTTTGCAGGTTTTGTCGTGTGCGCACATCTGTTGCTTTTCAACATCCAGCTCACTCCATTTTCTTTGCAGATTTAGGATCCACATACAATTGAGGTGTTAATCATTTCTCTGGCCACCTTAAGATTAGCGTTTGGTTTTGTACTTTACATTTCAAACACAGTATCTGCTTAATTCCTGATTAAAACTGCCTTCTAACCCCAAGGCAGTATAAAGCTCCCTGGAGCAGAGCTCATCCTAAGTAAATACGCTGCAACGAGCCTAACAATTCTTGGCATTGAGAGTGAGGGAATTCCATGAATTCCAAGAGTTATTGTTGTACTTTATTATTGATTTAATGAGTAAATTGTTGGATAGGAAATGTTCCTTGAACGGCTTTTCTCTGATAGCTATGGTGTCATATTGATGCCATGGCACACATCCACTGCGGCAGAAACACGGGGGATAATAATAATCCTGGCATTTGATACAGCGCCTTATCACGTCTTCGAGACGTCTCAAAGCGCTTCACAGGATACACTATGAAGTATTTTACGGGTGAAACGCGGCAGACAATTGCGCACAGCAGCGTCCCCACAAACAATCATGGATTTAGAGACCAATTTTTTTTTAAGGGGATCATTATCCCCGGAAAGTGATCCGCCAATCGACTAACAACTGGGTTCCTACTTACTGCTGGAGGGTGGGGGCGCGCGGGGGGAAAACAGTCATGAATCGAGGCTATAACCTTTGTCCCCAAAGCAGTTATTGGGCCCCACAGAAATGTCGGGTATTTCAGAGATCCTCAAATTTTAAGAGGCAGGTTACCTCTGGGAACTAACTGGCTGTTGATGTGCAATATGCAGCCACAAATGCTTACCACCTGAAAGTCCGTGCTGTAAAATCTTTCCCTATTGATGTCGGGATAGGTGATTGAAGGGCAATCGATCACCCGCTGTACCTTGGGGCAGGCAGGGAGATGACAAATGCTGTCTTGTGTTCTTGATGGCTATTTTGAGAGCAGATGGTACCTATGTGTTTTCAGGTGCAACCGATTGGTCACTGTGCAGTGGCCTAGTGGACATCTTCTCGGCCTCGACTTGCCCTTTGGCAAGTGCGTATCACGTGAAAATTAAGGGCAAGGGTGACTTTCAGGTTAACTTACACACAGTCCCTGGCCTGACCCCAACCACACAGCTGACCTCATGATATCCACCAGCTCTCTCACAGACTTCTCAGTCTCTGCTCCTCGAGCAGGTCTTCAAGCGCTCTGGGACACTATCCGGTAACATGTAGTGACTGTGTGTCTTTGCGGGGAAAGGCGGCAACTAATTTACACAGAGCAACGTGCCAACAAACGGCCGTGAAACAAACCAATCAATTTTATTTGGGAGATTGCTGGTCAGAAACTCCCTTCTCTTTTTGACATTGGTTGGGGCAGGTTACCCACCAATTATTTGAACCCTATGGCTGATACTAAATACTTAATATCATTCCAAATAGGATAAAATACCAGACCTGCCACTCTCACCCTTCAAACCGCTCATTGGTTTTGCAAACTTCCCCAAATCCACTTTATTACATAATTTTTAAAAACTTTTTTTTAAAAAAAGGCATCTTACCAACACATTTTGTTCAAGGTTTTTAGTTGAGAGTAAACGTAAAGCACATTTTTGAAAAAGGAAAATCTTTTTTGGGTCTCAAAGTGTTAATGAAGGTAGAGGTTCTTTCAAAACAACCTCCAACTAAACTCAGATATTTGTTACATCTTGAGAGAAAAAAGCAGAGTCCAAAAGGTTACGCCTCTGGGGCAGTCCCTGGGGAGATGACCTAGAATTCTAACCTCCAATTCACAAACTCCATATGTACTTATTCTAGATTCACTTTTAATGACATTTCATCAATGATTGATGAGGTTTCCGTGATGCACTACATATTCTTTAGGTTTTTTGATTTAGGGCATAGGTGTTCATAAAAGTGTCCGCTCGCTTTAACCTTTTTGGCAAATACCTTGTCCTTTCTCTCAGACATTTTGTGTTAGATTTATATTGTGTCTACGGTTTTCAGGATTTCACCTTGAGATCCCTCTGTGCAAAAACAGCATTCCCCTGCCAACAAGGCTGCCCGGCTCTCAGCTCACTGACAATGTTTCTCTGAAGCTGGAGATGTACAACAGTGATTTGGAGTGACTAGCTTTATGATTAGTCCTTTATGTTGGGAATACATTGCTTCTGCAAGGAACAGGCACCTGTCAAGCAGCTGAGATCTGGAATTGCAAGCGAAATCCCAGAACCTCCTATTCTGTGGTGGAAATGCCAAATTTGATTAAATGTTTTTGATTCAAAATTTGTGGATCAAACATTCAGGAAATGTTCATTGATACATTACAATTGACTGGGGGAAAAATGCAATATAGATGTATGATGAGCTGCTTCTTACGAATCTTAAAGGAAATGACTCTTAAAAGCGTTTGAAAAGTACAGAATAGATAAGAGAGGCAAGCAAAGGTGAGTACAACAAACTTAGGAAAGAGGTTCAAAAGACAATATATACATATATATATAAATAGAGAGAGAGAGGAACACAGCAAAAAATAATAAACATAAAAGCAAGGTTTTCTATAGGCAGACAAGCAATGAAAGAACGGAGGTTAAAGTAGGGATAGGACCACTAAGGAGAAAGAGGGATAAGATCACAGCAGATGGTAAAGGATATGGTCGGAATATTAACCGAATACTTGGCCTCAGTTTTCACAAAGGAAACTGATGAGGAACACTTAGTAAGAACAGATGGGGTAGCGAGTAAAACTACCACACCTAAGGATTGGGAGAAGGGAGATATTAAATAAGTTACACAAATTTAAAGAGGACAAGGCACATGACTCAGACGGACTGCGCCCAAGTATCCTCAGGGAAACCAAGGAGGAGGTAGCTGGAGCTCTAGTGTATATGTATATATATTGTTTAAGAACTTTGTAGAGAAAGGAATCATGCCAGAGGACTGGAGAATGGCCAATGCAATACCTATTTTTTAAAAAAAGGATGATAGAGATAATCCAGGAAACTACAGGCTAGTTATCCTAATATTGCTTGTGGGCAAGGTATAATAATCTGTAATGAAAGATGAAATATCTAGTCATCTGGAGAAGAGGAATATAAATAAGAGCAGACAGCATGGATTTAGGAAAGGAAGGTTATGCTTGACTAACCTTATTGAATTATCTGAAGATATAACTGATAAAGTAGACGAGGCAAATGTGGTGCATTTAAATTTCCAGAAAGTCTTTGATAAAGTGCCACATGAGAGGCTCATGACGACAAGAATAGGGGCTGCGGAATTATGGGACATGTCGCAGAATGGATTAAACTTTAAAAAATGCACTTTGTTTCAGTGTAAATATGCTTATTACAAATCTTGTTCTTCACCTACCCTGTACAAAAACAACTGCACAGATTCTTTTACCCAAAACATAAGAGTTTTGCTTTCTTTCAAACAGAAGAATGAAGAAATAAGTCCTTTATTCTGAGTTTTTCTGTCTGTACATCCTTTTCCTGCCCCTCACTACAGTAGTAAGTTGATAAAACCATACAGCTTGAACACAGTTAACATGAAACACATTTATTTTTCATAATGAAAAAGGAAAGGTTATTTCTTCACTGAATTTTATGGAACCAATTCCTTTAACCCTTAGAAACAAGTCTCAGGGGCAGACTGTAAAACAGTGTGTGTGTGTGTGAGAAAGAGAGAGAGAGAAAGATAAAAGCAATAAAAAAGGAAAGTACAGAGTACAAAGTACAGAGTGAACCAGGAGACAGGGAGACAAATGCCCATCTTAGAGAGATGTGACCGAGTGTGAATGAACCCACAAACCTTCACGGTTAGGATCTGATTACTGTAAAGTGCTGATCCTGCAGAAGAACCAGACAGGCCCTAGAAACACAACATACCACACGTCAGGGCAAATTGCAACGAAAACAGCCAAAGATTCACGATAAAAGAGCAGAAACAGACAGACATCATCGGAATTCATTCCCACCCTGGCGGAGCTGGAGGATATTAAAGACTTCTTTTTTTTAATCCCCGCTTGTCAGATTTAAACTCACCGTTACCGAAAATGAGACAACTAAAATATGCTGATTGCGTTTCTTCCTGTTTCACTGGACAACCAGATCAATTAACAGAAAATCAGTAATGGTTTTGATTCTCGTAATGGCTATTGGTAATTCACTGAGGTCAATGGCTGTTTGACACAGGTCAGGAGTGGCTTTGCAAGGAAACAAGATTGAATGGTTTCAAGAGACCTGACTGTTGTAGCAGTTAATGTCCCAAATCAGGTGTTCCCCTGATGTCTGAGGATGGGGGGGGATTGAGTAATAGTTTTCAACAGTACTCCCATCCGCTCCCACCACTCAGCAGGCTCCAGCCTGCTCCACCTCCCCCACCCCAACATCGGCCCTTCAGCCTCTCCGCTCCCACCCTTTGGAACTCCATCTCACTCCCTCCCTCGCCTCCTTCAAGGCACATCTCAAAAAACCTCCTTTTCGACCTCGCCTTCGGTCGCCCTCCTACCCCCACCCTCCCTGCCCTCCACCTTCCCTGATCCCAACCCAAAGCTCAGGTCCAAATCGCTGACTATTCAGCGCCTTGGGACGTCCTCCTGTTGTGAAAGGCGCTGTGTAAATGTGATTTTAGATTGTATTAGATTGTCTGAAGATGCCATATCTGATATTACAACTAGAAATCATAATGTAGCGAATAGATAAGACAAAGTTTTCCATATTATAACAGCATTTACAGATTTTGGAAAACAAACATCTTTCCTCTAATGTTGGCACTTACCCTTGGGCCGGGATCCCCTTGCTCGCCCTAGAGAAGAAACCCCACAAATATTAGCTTGCTACCTTTCAACAAACATCACATCAGCAGGCAATATGTATCACTGTAAATCATTACAGATGTTAGCACGTTATGTAGAGGGAGATGTTAGAGCCATATGTGATATTTAGCTAACATCTATAATGTTCTGTTTGTATTGCAGGAAGCAAATCATTATCTCTTCCAGTGCTGGGAAACAAACTTACATTTGTAATCAACAGCAATTCTATAATTAGTTGAGCAGAGTTTTGTGTCAAGAAACAACTAAGTGCACCTAACAAACTCTCACACTGGGGTTTAGAGATTATAGCCATAACGACATAATCAATTCCGAATCAATGCCTCCATCTCTATCAATATTCCTCAACTGGAGTCATAAATGCAGAAAGTGGCCCTTTTATCTGACTGACTGATGCTAATTTTGCTGCCAGAAATTGGGTTCAAGCTTTCAGGTTAGTTGGTAAAATCTGCAACCGCAGATCCAAATAGCCACCAAGGCAAGGTTACCAGAGTGTTGCTGAACTTGAAGAACTTGAATGTGGGTTAGGTTCACACTGAGATAAGAACAACCCAACCAATGGTTTCTGTACTAATGGGGAGAAGGGGCAGGTGAGGAAGAGACAATAGTAGTCTTGGATTGAAAGTGGGTGATGTGGGAACAGGAGGAAGGTCCTGGATATTATTCTGGGGGTTTGGTTGGCTTTGGTGTATAATAGTGGAGCTTACCCTTGGGGGGAGTGGGGGGAAAATCGAACGGATTGGGGTACAGACAAACGTAGATAAGTTCTGTGCATCTGGAAGGAGCAGGCTTGCTAAGATGATTTTTTTCCGCCCAACTTATGCTTCTTCTATTAAACTTGTAGATTGTCGATAGAGGGATTACACTGTCGTGAATTGAATCAGCTCCACAAACAAGTTCAGTTAAAGTGTTGTACATAATGTATCCTCATCGGCTTGGTAACCTGTACAAGATCAGCTCTGCAGTTCTAAGTGCTGGCTTTGCTAGCGATTGCATTTATATTGATCATTGGTCAACTCAATTTAAGGGCTGTGACTGCAGAAAATACCAGGACTTAGAAACTTGCAGAGGGTTGACAGCAAGGACACTGGTCCTTGCGAAAATAAATCTTTTGAAATGTTTTAAGTGGAGATAAATGATTCTTCTGATGGCTCGAATGAGAAGGAAATATTCTGGAAGGATACGATCAATTCGGCTGAAGGCACCTCACCCGAATCACTCACGTTCTTGTGACAAATTCTTGGTGCCGTGAATTGGCTAAACCCTTATCCTGTAATGTCGTTTTCTTTCCAATATGCTGCACAAAAGCTGTACACAATTCAATTATTCCTCTATTGTTTCCTACACCAAACCAGACCACCAAACTCTATTAAATGTTACATTTTACTTTGAGGTTAATACTGAGCATTAGAATTTCCACACAGTCATTCTTACCACTGTATTTTGTGCACGGAAATAACAAACGCAAATCTTAAGTAGAAAAGGAACACGAGGAGGGAATGCACTGCACAACTAATCATTCATACACAGAAATGCTATATTCATTAATAAAATGTACAATTTTCTACCTTCTCTCCTTTGGTTCCAGAAGGTCCCTAGAAAATGAAAGAACGCAATATTGTAAAGAAATCCAAATGTTATCTTATTCACCCACCAAATCCTTTATATCTTATTTTGTCTAATTATTTTGTGGGTGCTTTGCTGTGCTCCTTAAACGGAGAAATATGTAACTGCAGGAGAATTAAATATGCCGAGTTGTGCCGCTCAGTGTTGTGCTGTTATCACGGCTCGATGGAACGTAATGGGACACTGGTAAGTCCTCACGATGTGAAAGGCACTATACAAATGTCATTTTGCATTGTATTGCAATGTTCATTTTACTGTCCCACAACAGACTTTGTTGAGCCCAATTTCAACAGAGAACCAAATGGAAGTGTCACTGTTTTCACTTCCCACACTTGCCAAGTGTGACAAATATATATATATATATATATATAAATATCAAGCTCCAGGGAAAAGGAATCTCATAGTAAAATGTAAATAGGCTCATATTCAATACTTTTTTCCCAACATTGTGGAATGTAGTTATAATACCAGGTAATGATATGGTACATTTGAGTCATAAATCTTACATTGTTTTTCCTGCAATTTGCCTTTCAACAGGAAATACATTATCAAGTTGACCCTCGCCCAGAAACTTATACTTTACCTCACGTTGAGCTTTTCCATGTGTTCACAAAGCAACTTATTTACCCTATAATGTTGTCCGAAAGAATCAGTTTCCTTCCCCACCCGTTGTGAAGGGAAAATATATTTATTGGGCGAAGAGTTTTCAGATTTCTATATAAATCAACCATTCTGTACATAAGTGTTGCAAAATATGTGTTGCACAGGGTCAATGCAACTCAAGGATTTAATGACTTCATTAGGGCTTAGGTCAATGACTGTTTACTGACATGCGTTTCCTTGTAAAGTTCATTAAAGGCCACATAGATTAGTGTGGACAAAATCATTAATACTTTCTTCCTTTGGTTTACATCAAAACGTTTGAAGCTGATATAAAGTTTAAGAACTTGCAAAGTTAGTTTTTAAAGACAATTTCAATCACAATTGGAGAAGCCCTACATTCAGATAGAAGTTCTTGAAATACTTTAAGCGGAACGAAGAAAGAATCCACAGACAGCAGCTAAATACATTTGATGAGAAACATAACAGTTGAACATTTAAACTTGGTAAAGTTTACAGCCTTCAAATTCCACCTGCACTGCAATTGTAATCATAATAAGCTAAACACTGAGGAGAGCTCACGTGTAGATCACGCTATACCCAATTGCCAAAGGTAATCCCAGCTCTGCTTGAAAGGAGAAAAGATGAGTACAATTGCAGTCCAGAACAGTTAATTGTGTGGCACACTCACTGTTTAAGCAATAGGTGACATAAACAGAGAGTTTCTTTTTGGGCGCAATTTGCACTTTGGTCGAAATGGGACTTAGGTTGAAAAATGGGCATCGCGACGATATGCCATAACATAGGCCGGCCGTTACTTAAAATGAACTACATTTTTGCACAAGCATATCTTTGACCACCTGGCTCTGGTTCTTTCTTCTCAACGTCAGTGGAGTTCAAAGGACACAAATATGCAGAGCATTATGTATATTTTCTTTATTTTTTTTTGATGGAGGCTGATGGCTCAGCTGCTAATAATAGACTGCAGACATTTAGATTGTCCAGGCAAAACCTTTGGCTACCTTCACTGGTTCTGTTCAAACTCTCCACTGTCTATTATTTTAATCGATTGCTCTTTTAAGTAGGCAGCTGTTACAGCTTCATTAACCCTTGCATTAAACATTTTGATTAAAACTGTATTGACGTTCACTGTATTCACTGCAATACAATTTTAATCTAAAATACTAGAATATGACTAGGCTTCCTCTGGGGTCCATTCTCTCCTTGTGGTTTGTCCTTCTCTCCGTCTTTTACTCCCTACTCATCTTTTGTCTCCGCTCCCCACTGCCCTCCACCCCTCCTGATCCCTACCCCCAGCTCAGGTGTGGATCCCTGACTGTCCAGCGCCTTGGAACGTCCTCCTGATGTGAAAGGCGCTGCATAAATGTCATTTTTTGTTGTTGTTGTTGTTGTAGCCTTTCCTTGGGAGCCATTTTGTTTCCTCTCAGCACTTGCAACTAAACCAGCACTTCCTTGTGTTTGTTGCTGCGATATATGATTTTTTTTTCTATTTTAGGGCAGAAACAGGAGAAAATACTCAACAACTGTCATGGCTTAAATAATGTGCAGCGCACAAAATCAATCGTGATAGGGAACGATCAAAAGAGAAATCTGAAAATCTCAGAATCAGAGCTCATCTCCACAATGAGATGTCTTTTGATGACATAGATTTACATAGAGCTCAGAAACAGGCCATTCAGCCCAACCAGTCCCCGGCAATATTTATACTGGACACGAGTCTCCATCCACATCTTATTCCCTCCTTTACCTCCTGTCCTTCGGGTGAGATGTTAAACCGAGGCCCTGACTGCCTGTTCAGGTGAATGTTTAAGATCCTGTGGCACTATTCGAAAAGAGAAGGGAGTTTCTCTCTCTCTCTCTCCCAGTGTCCTGGCCAACAATCCCCCCAATACAATTGGTTATTCACTCCAGCGCTGCTTGTGGGACATGCATTTGCTTAGCGGAGGATAAGTTTCTTTTTTGGCCCAGCTACTGTGCAACTGGCTCCACAAAACACACACAGTCGCTCCCGCTTTACAATATATCCCGTGAAATGCTATGGGACATCCTCCTGACATGCAGGGCACGACACCAAATGCAAGGATTAATAATAATAATTATTAACTGTTATTATTAAACCTACAGCTTTGGTATGATCAATTGGATGATCAAAGATCTGAAAAATATCGAGAGAAAAACTTTTATTATTATCATCCTCCTGTTCACTTCCCCTTCATGTGTCTGTCTGCCATGGATATACCACGTTATATCAAATGCAAGGATTATTATTTGGGTCCGTAAATTCCCAACCGGGACTATGTGGTGGTCAACACTTCCACATTCATTACAAATACACGCAGAAAGCTGGTTCACTTCAAAATGCTGGTCAACTTTTCAGGTCATCTAACTTTCGCCCACAAAACACAGTCAACTGACTGTACAGTATATTCTGTGAAGCTCTTTGAGACATCTCGAAGATATGATAAGGCGCTGTATCAAATGCAACAACACACTACATTTGTATGGAGCTATTATTATTATTATTATTATCATCAGGGTCTCTGTGAGGCTTTGATACTGTGATAAGGCGTTACATTAAATGCAAGCAATATTATAATTATTATCACTGGAATATTCTGTTTCGTTTCTTCCCTTTTTCTTGTCCCGCCCCTCCTGAAGCGCCCGGCCTGCTTCAGTCCAGCCCGAGGCTTTCTCGATTCCCACTGCAACCAATAAAGCCGAGGTGCGACCGTAGCAAAGTCAGCTGACCACATCAGAACTTCATTTCCTCAAGTCGAACGTTTGTTTGGTTACAAAGCGCTCGACCCAGTATCTGGGCCAAAAAAGAACCTTATCCTCCGCTAAGCAAATTCTAATATCAAGCAGCTTTGGAATTCAAACTCCGACCATCTGGTGGGAAACTTACTGCAGTTACCGCTGGCCCTAACCAAGCTGCCTTTGATATTTATTTGTTTAAAAATAGGTAGTTTGGTCGCTCGAGTGTCGAGCACATAACACACTCGAATCTGGTGAATTAGTCCCATCGGTGCTGATTGTTGCTAAATCGCTGGCCTAGACTTCGCAGTTTTGTTGGGTCTCAGCCAGGCTACTGCATGCAATGATAAATGTCCACAGTTACATTCATTTCATTTTACAAAATCTATTATTATTATTAATAACGAATGAAAGGTTCGCCAGGTTCTGAAATCCATCAATAATCCTTAACCCTTGTTGGTTAATGTTGTTTCTTTCGTGTCAGGAGGATATTTCAAAGAACGGCGACTGTGTGTGGGGGGGGGGGGGTTTGTAGGCAAACCCAGCAGCCAATTTGCAAACAGCAATAACTCACAACTAGCCATGAAGTAAATGATCGTGTCATTTCAAGGATTGTTTACCAGGACAACGCCCAACAACGAACTGCATTTATGTAGCGCGCTTCACGTGGGGAAAACACTACTCTTTTCGAGTAGTGCCATGGGATCTTTAATGTCCACCACGGTAGACAGAAGGACAGCAACTCAAGCAACGCAATGCTCCCCCAGCGCTGCAATGGAGTACCAGCCGAGACAAACACACAATCCCAACTTGGATTGTAGACATTTATCATTGCATCCCAATCCCTGCACCTTCTGACTCTGAATTGGAGAGTGCTACCAAGTCAGCCAGGTCTATACGCTAATTCTTGTCGTCGCTCAAATGCAAGAGCTGTAGCAAATCAGATACCTTAGCAAATATTTCATTGCCATCACCTATAACACTGAGACAAATACACAAGTTTAGATAACGCAATGTATTCACAGTTTTAGAGAATCAATCAAGTGAAGAAAAATGACGAGAATTCACACTTACTTGTTGACCTGGAATCCCCTGTGGATGCAGAAATGATAAACACTGTAAACAAATCAATAAATTAAACNAAAAAACAGATCATTTTTGAACCTATTGGTTAGTGAAGTTGTATTTTAGTAAGTGCAGTACAGTGCGGTGGTAAAAGAATTCCACCCTTTTTTTAGTGAGTACAATTAAACTACATTTTACTGTTGGCGGAGAGATTGCGTTATATATTCAGTAACAAAATAGTTCGATTTTGATGTTCTGTTTTGTTCCTGACGTAACATTTTTCTCCGTTTGCTATTCCCACAGCAAGAAAATAATAAACAAACCATTTTGAATAATCAGATAGTAGAAAATACCTACTGGCTTTCCATCCATGCCAAGGGGACCCTGAAAAACAAGACATTTTATAAAAAAAACTATTGCACAGGATCACGGGATCATAAAAACATACTCGTGTGACAACGGCACAATACTAGTAATCACAGATTATATATGAAGATAGCAAAGTCAGCAAATCCAGCTATTTAGTACGCAAAATCTATCAGTATGATACCTGTAATAAGGATTATTTTGTTAAGAATGTTATTAATTTTTTATTTATAAATCACAAAGAATGCATTCAATATCCGATGTAGGAATAATTGAATTGTGTACAGCTTTGGTGCAGAATATTGGGGGAAAAACACCCGACATTACAGCATAAGGGTTTAGCCAATTCATGGCAGCTTCACTCGCAAGCAGTTTAGTTTCCAATTGTGTGATCGGTGATGGCAGCATTGTGGGCCACTGAGCGTTGACAAATGAAAGGAGACGCTCTGGTTTGCATCAAAGCACTTTGATAAGCGGAGGTTTCTGCTCTGGGTGATGGCAGGATTCGCTGCTGGAATGTAAATAGCAAAGCACTACGGAGGGTGACGTCGGTATCTGCCACGGCAGCCGTTATGTGATGACAACGCGAGGTGTATGACGTGCTGATATCATGCTTCAGGAGCATTTACTCCTGGAACCTGAGGGAATCCAGCCCACGTGAAATAACAGGGAACAAATCTCAAGCCACAAAACACGGTGAAGAGGCAATTGGCTAACTGAGGAATGCTGTATAGCCGATTACACACAGCGGTGTCCCACAAACAGTTGTGGATTAAGTGACCAAATTATTATTAATATTATTATTTTGTGAGAAGGGATTATTACCCTCGGAAACGCGATCCACCATTCGACTAACAACCGGGTTCCTCCTGACCGCTGGTAAACAGGCGTGTGCGTGGAGTAAGGAAACTTGCCCAACGTTTCGACATGTCCGGGAATCGAACCCAGGCCCTCTCGCTGGCGAGGCGAGTGCTCTAACCGCTGAGCTACAGGACTCCACAAATGTTGAAACTGCACTACATTTCCATTGCGTCTGTCACTATTGGTTCTCCAGAATGATAGACAGAAATCGCTAAAGGCTATGTTTGCTTGTAAGCCAGACATTCCTGCTGCCACTGCACCTTTAACACATTGCTTTAGATGTGAAATTGGATTATTTAAACAAAGATTTGAACGGCAGTCGGGCTTCTGGAGACAAGTTCAAGCTTTTTGAAGTCCTAAAATTCCTTTGTAAAACTCAAATATGTTTTAAGCAAATGGATGCAGGGATATTCTATCACAAAAGGTGGGTCGAGCTACATACTAAAAAAGGTGGAAAAGAATATTCAATGAGACTTTTTTTTAAAATCAACAGTATTGAGTCTAATTTATTTAGATTGTGATCTAACAATAAATCAATTAACGTAATGTCGGGAATTTGGGGTGTTGTTGAACCCAAAGGCAAGCGCGGGAAGTGAAAAAGATTTCCAATTATTGGACTCGGCGGAAAACGTGAGAAATAAGAAACCGAAGCCTTGCAAATGTATCACTAAATATTTAACTGATTTGTAACTTGTTAGAACTTAACTTAACTCACAGTAACTTGTTAGAAATGCCTTACACTTTGGCTTTGCCATAAATAAAGACCCAATCGAAATAAAGAAAGCTTTTACGGTGTAGCATCAGTAGAAATGTGTGTTTTATGAATAAGAGCTGTAGCAGCTGGATGCATTGGAATAAAATACTTTCAATAGTGAAATACACAATATAATCCAGATATTAAATCTCTGAACAAAACCTAGTGCACCCAACCTATGATGCAGAACTCTTTGGTTATAGGATTAAAATATCTTTTAAAATTTTTAGTCCCACTTGAGGCCTTTGCATTTAATCCTATGTTTCCTCCAGTTCTGCCCTTGTGGTGTCATTCAAAATAACATTTGCATCATCTATTTCTCTCGTTGATTTGAAGGTCGGATCATATCGCCCTCAGTCGTCTTCTAATGAGAATGGTGTTCAGTTCTAGGAGCCTTTCTTTATAAATGTAAATCCTATAATTGGCTTATATTCTCCGAACCTTCTCTAAGGCTTCAATGTCCTTTTGTAGGTGCTGCACACATTACCAGAGAGCTGTACAAGTTGATTATAATGTTCCTTAGTCTGCTCGTCAAATGCCCTCAAAATACAACCCTTGCAAAGCACCTTGATGCACGACATGGAATTGAAAAATCCAATGCAGCGTGTTTATCAACAATTAAATAAAAGAGAAGCAAATATATATGATGTGACTATTGCATGTTCCTTCCTAAACCCAACGATTAAAGTTTGCAATGGCTCATTACTTATGCACCATTTATACTGCTGGAAGCAATTTAAAACCGCTTCCAGCAGTAAAACAATTAGGAACAGGAAAAAGTATTCATATTTCCCACTGCAAAGTCACATTCACCAAAGGGCTCGAGAAAGAGAGTTCTGTGCATGCGGAGAGCTTGATGTCACTTAGTTTCTTAATATCATCTAACCAGGAGTTGGAACTAACTGTTTAATAGTAATATAATAATAATCCTTGCATTTGATATAACGCCTTATCATGTCTTCGAGCCGTCTCAAAGCGCTTCACAGAATATACTGTAAAAAGTGAAACTGACGGTATATTTTGTGGGCAATAATGAAATTCTCGGCTAGACCAAAAGACCACCCAATAACATACGGGCTATTTATCAGTAGAAACTGATCAATTCTTTGTTTATCCTGTTGAGTCAATGTGAAAAGAATAGCAGGAAATTGGGCATCAGGACAGGATCATCTGCGGACGTTTAATATTCACTCAATTCCTCTTTTGAGCTCACTTTTACAGCAACAACAAAATTACATTTATAGAGCGCCTTTCACGTCGGGAGGACAGCCCAAAGCGCTTGATCATAAGTGCAAAACCTGAATCTAATGCTTTCTAATCTAATATCTTTTGAGGTACAATTTCTGTATAATTAAGGAATGTCATTGCTTCTTGTAAAAACAGCTTTAGGGTAACATGCTTCTGGTCGAAACCAGCAAACAAAACATTGACTAACTATACAGTCAGTCAAATCTGCTTATTCTCAAGAGATTTATTGAGTTTCTATTGAAAATGAAGCTATGGATAATTAATATTTTAACAGAATTCCTGGTTATCGGATAGTATTATTATAATTACAAGCTACTGTATAAATTCAAGTGAAGCATCGTTGATTGTTAACATCTTCTACGCAAACGACCAGCGACGTCTGAATAAAAAAAAACACTTTTCTCCCGTGGATTTTTGCCTTTAAGAGATCCACGATTTTGGCAATCTGATATTTGCAAATCTGGAGGGGTAATCGTCAACAAATTCAGTTTGTAAATATTAGATTTTATTTCCTATAGTTTGAAAAGCGTCTGGAATAAAAGTTCTGTTAACTACACCAACAGTTCCTTACGGGCACTTTCCAGAATCAATCACATCTGGCAGTACTTTGTCTGGTGAATTTCTGGTACAATGCAATCACTTTTTTTCAGTGCAGCCTAATTCCTAGTTGCTCAGCCTCATGTGGGGCACTCAGATTGCTGTCTGGTTATGGTAGCACGACCAACATGCAGCATTTGAGGTAAAACAGCCTGCCAGAGAGCACTTGGAAGTTAATGAAATTGATATCTTCTGTCTTGTTTTGGACATTTTTAAATTAAGGTCATTACAGCTCCAATCTTCCATCCCGCTACAGGAGATAACTGGATACAGTAATTGGCAGCAAGAAACACATCTCTGACAATGCTGATTATCCGAAAGAGCTGGTTACACTATTACATTGGGAATAAGTGGAGGATCTGTGTGTAGTAGTACATATCTCCCAAGCCCGCGTTCCGTTTCAGTCGGTCCAGTTGCACAGAAATGTAAAATTACTTCCATGGGAGATTTACTAAAATTAGTCGAACGATCAAATTACTGTCAGATATCTTTGGGTCGAAACGAACACAGAGATCAAAAGCCAATGGAAGTAAAATGAAAAGCCGTATGTCTACCCATCTCCTTTTAAATGACAGATTTTTGTATGATCCACTTGCTTTTTCTCCCTTATAAACATAGGGTAGGGTTGGTGCTACCAGTGTGAAGCTTCTCAATGCTCTACAGTGCTGAACTGTGCAATTTGAGCTGGTTAAACACTAGCAACAACAACAACAACAATAATAATATCCCGATATACACTCTGGGATCTTCAGGCCTTGCTTCTTGCCAACCTGGAAATAAAGTCTCTAAGAATACACAAGTAGGGGAGAGAGAATATTCCCTTCCTACCAAACAAACAGAAACCATCAGAATAATAACCCTTGCATTTGATACAGCGCCTTGTCACGTTGTTGAGACGTCTCAAAGCGCTTCACAGGATATATCGTAAAGTGAATTGACTGTATGTTTTGTGGGCGAAACGCGGGAGCCAATTGCGCACAGTAGCGTCCACACAAACAGCCGTGGGTTGAGTGATCACATTATTTTTAATATACATATAGCTTGACACTGTTATAATGCTGTAAGTCTGTTTATAATGTATTAGTTTGTGGGCATGCAACAGACTAGAAGTGCAGGTACAACAAGAACTACAACTTGCATTTATACAGCGTTCCTCACGCAGGACAGCGTCCCAGAGCGCTTAAGCTTCCTGTGCTTCCAAGCTCTGTGCAGGAAGTGGTATCAGCTGTGATCTGATGAGCTGAAAGCAATCACTTGTAGTCATTTATTTCCGCACCCTTTGAAAACAGGAGTAAGGAATTTCTTTGTTTACATAACATAACATGTAGGAGCAGGAGGAGGCCATTCGGCCCTTCGAGCCTGTCCCGCCATTCAATCATGGCTGATCTTCTAATCTGCCTCCAGCTAATAACCTGACATTGCCTTATCCCCATATCCCTTAATCCCTTTCGCAATAAGAAATCTATCTATCTCAGTCTTGAATATGTTCAAGGACTGAGCGTCCACAGCCCTTTGGGGTAGTGAGTTCCATACATTCACCACCCTTTGAGTGAACTCA